TCACTTCCAAACTTTCTTTCTGCTGCTCGATTACCGTTTTTAGCTGAATATTTCACTACTTGCAGCAGGATAGCGGCTCTTTCAACAGGAGACATGTACAGTAAAGAGCAAAGTGAGTAACAGGAGCAGGAGATACACAAGCCTAGAGCGCCCTCTTGCGGCTGTCAGTTGAAAAGTTTAATGTATAAGTCGCACTGGAGTATAAGTTGCAGGAAACACCCAAACCATGAAAAAAAGTGCAACATATGGTCCAAAAAATATGGTATATTTTATATTTTACTGTAAGAGATAGAACATATTATCAATATTATTGGTGGTTTTCAGATTCTAGAATGAGATATTTTCATGCTCCAAGAAGGCCAGTTTTAATAACATTGTAATTTCATGACAAATATCTAAAAAGTAAATTCACAAATGATGACCCTCATCATTTCTGTTAGTGACTAGACTCACTGTACTACAACAAAAAAAATAATTTTAATAATAATACTTTTAGCTGCCTCCCTCTGTATTAAATAATATAGTTGAGATGTCAATACAGCAATACTCTACCTCTTTTTTTTTTAATCCCTTCCCCCATTAATTAGTGACCCCTCACAAAAAATAAATAATAAATAAAACTATAATAAATTAATAACCACAGACACACACTTTCACACACATACACACAAACAGACTGGCTCTTTGGTTGCTATAATACTCGCCGTCGGAATTTCAAATATAGAACTTGCCTCCAACTTCGCCCCTATAACCGCAGGCCTCGATGAGCTTCATTTGACTGGAATGCTATAGGTAAGACCAAAGTGATTTTTTAAAATGAATTTTATTTGCCATCAATCTACAGATAATATGTTATGATTATGCAAGCTGTCTAGTGTAACCTAATTGGCTTTCTAGTGCTTTCCCTCTTTCTCCCTCCCCTTCACTTTCTGTAATATTCATGTCTTCAGGCCTTCGTCCCTCTCCTTTCTCTCTACCCCTCTCTCTCCCTCTTTTCTCTGTGTAATATTCATGTCTTCGGGCCATCTCTCTCCACCACCTCTCTCCTCTCTGTCTCTTCTGATTTTCTGCTCCCTCTCTCTTTCTGTTTTATTCGTGTCTTGGGGCCCTCCTTTTCTCTCTCCCTATTCCTTCCCTCTCCCTCCCTTCTCCCTCTGTGTAATATTCATGTTTTGAGACCAGAGACATATAAAGAAGTGGACAAAACGAGTGTGGCGTTAGTTAAATGAAGCTCATCGAGGCTAAAAGTTATAAGAGCAAATTTAGAGCTAAGTTTCATATTTGGAATTCTGACCGCGAGTCTCATAGCAACCAAACAACCAATCTGGAACGAGGCTGTTGAAAGTAACGTCCCTTCCCTTAGTAACGTTGTCAATCAAACCTGTCTGACCTCAGATTATTAAAGGGCCCATCTCATGCAAAAAAACTCTTTTCACATTGTATCTTCTGCACATAAACAAGCACAATTTGGGTTTTGGAACATCCATTACACAATAGTTCTGAAATCTTACTGATTTCTTGGAGGCAGTCACAGACCAGGAACTATGAACTATGACAGGCCGACTATTGCTCATCCCCCCGCCCGTCCTGAGAAAGCACAGGCTCCGCCCTCCAAACGTGACGTAGGCTCTGAGTGAGCCGCCCTTCCTCCGCCCATCTCAGGGAGGGAGGGGGAGACAGGCGTGCACCCTGATAGTGGTAGGAATAAACTTTTATTCATCATGGAGATACAGCACGTTCAGCCGCATGTGTTGGACCCGGAATCAGACGAGGACTTTGAGGTGCACGAAGCTCAAGCACCACGTCGACATCAACTGAACATTACTGATTGGTAAAGTATTAATAAACACTAGGAAATTAACTTATTATATCATGAACACTGCAGTGTACAACAATTAGCTTATGTTGTTGCTTTTGTTTAGGTGTTCATGTGGGAATTGTCAGTTGATGCGGGGTGGAGGTGGGGGTGGAGGCAGTGGAGCGGGGAGGGGGGCGGGTGCGAAGCGCCTTCTGCTATTTCAAACGCGTCATAGGTGTAGCTGCCGCTTCATCGTTGTAACAGGCTTTAGTTCATTGTCACGTGGGAGGGTGGCAGAAATACGCTGCAATTTGTAAAAAAAGGTCGAATCAATCTAAAAAACACTTGGACAACATATACAAGGCCCACACATCACTCTGAAAGCTCTGAAAAGTTGATTGTGCATGAGATGGCCCGTTTAAAGTTCATGCTTGATTTATGGACAAAATTGCAAAATAAAAACAGCAGGATCATGTAGCGCGGGTTAATATGAACATTTTAAAACCAAAATAAGGAGCCTGACAGCAGCAAGTACAGAAAGAGAGGTGACGATATTCCAGTGTGAATGTGTTGCCTAGTGCCTAGTGTCAGAAAGCTTGGTCTCAGTCTCATAGGATAATGACCCAAAACATACAGCTAAAAACACACAAGAACATTGGACTTTTTCTAAAGTGGCTTTTCTATTTACCCTGATCTCAATCCTACTGAAAAGGTGAAAGGAGCTGAAACATACTGTCTAGAGAAGGCACCCTGAGACAACTAGACAACAGTTTGCTCACGAGAAGTGGGTCAAAATAGAGCAGAAGTCTCATTGAAAGTTACAGAAATCATTTGCTTTGCAGTGATTGCCTCAAGTTAAGGGTACCATCATTTTTGTCCAGGCCAGTTTCATTGTTTTATTTTATTTTTTATTTTTTTCAAACGACAGTTGAAAAGCAATGTTTGATTTTCATTCGGACAAGTTTCTGTAAATTCATATTTATTATTCATTTTCTCAGTTTCAAGTTATTTCAGTGACCATTGTTGATTTTTCTTTCATTGCCAGGGGGGCACCAATGATTTTGAACATCTTTCTCTCTCTTTTCTTCCTCCTCTCTCTCTCTGTAATATTCATGTCTTGTTGCCCTCTCTCTCTCTCTCTCTCTCCTTCCTCCTCTCCTCTCTTCTCTTTTTTCCTGTAATATTCGTGTCTTGTTGCTCTCTTCTCTCTCTTTTCTTCCTCCTCTCTTCTCTTTGTCCCTGTAACATTCATGTCTTTTTGCCCTCCTCCCCTCTCTCTCTCTTTCCTTCCTCCTCTCCTCTCTTCTCTCTCTTTTTCTCTGTAATATTTGTGTCTTGTTGCCCTCTCTCTCTCTTTCCTTCCACCTCTCTCTCTCACTCTCTCTCTCTCTCTGTAATATTCATGTCTTGTTGCCCTCCTCTTCTCCCTCCCCCTCTCTCTCTGTAATATTTGTGTCTTTTTGCCCTCCTCTCCTCCTCCTCCTCTCTCTAATATTCATGTCTTGTTGCCCTCCTCTCTCTCTCTTCCGTTCCCTCTGTCCTCTTCCTCTCCTCTCTTCTCTCTGTAATATTTGTGTCTTGTTGCCCTCCTTGCTCTCTCTTTCCTTCCTCCTGTCCTCTTCCTCTCCTCTCTTCTCTCTCTTCTCTCTCTGTAATATTCATGTCTTGTTGCCCTGCCCTCTCTCTCATCCTTCCTCCTCTCCTCTCCTCTCTCTCACTCCCTCTCTCTCTGTAATATTTATGTCATGTTGCCCTTCTCTCTCTCTCTTTCCTTCCTCCTCTCCTCTTCTTCTTTCCTTCTCTCTCTCTCTCTCTCTCTGTGTCTTGAGGCGCAGTGTGATTGATGGAGACAGGTCCTTCTACGGTTTCGCTCTAAACTCTAAACCGCGATGGCTCCAAAACCGCAGACACCCGATCCTCCCCGAGACCCTCGAACCCGCATCTGCGTGAGCACCCGCCACCGAGCGAGCACCCTCCACAATGTGAGCACCTGCCACAGCGTGAGCGGTACAGCAGAGTGTCAGATGCCCTCCCACTCTCCACACCTCTAGTTAGTGACGTTTGTTCGCTGTGTATTATTCATTGTCTGTCCTCACTGCTGAGCTGCTTCTGCCAAGTGAACATCACGTCTCCATGGAGACAGCAGATGGGGGATCCCTCTTCTGGGAAAGTTACATAGTGCACCTTTAACTAAATATGGCTCCCTTACACACAATTGGTAGTATCTGCAGTAGTATTCAGCTGACTCTGGGTCCTGTATGCAGTATTAGTAAGAGTAGTAGTAGTAGTTGTAGTAGTAGTAGTAGTAGTTGTAGTAGTGGGAGTAGTCGTAACAGTAGTTGTAATAGTAGTAGTTGTAGTCAGTCGTAGTTGTAGGATGAGTAGTAGTAGGAGTAGTACTAGTTGTAGTTGTAGTAGTTGTAATAGTAGAAGTAGTAATAGTAGTTGTAGTTGTACTAGTAGTAACAGTAGTAGTAGTAATTGTAATAGTAGTCGTAGTAGTTGTAGGAGTAGTAGTTAAAGTAGTACTAGTTGTAGTTGTAGTAGTTGTAATAGTAGAAATAGTAATAGTAGTTGTAGTTATTGTAGGAATAGTGGTAGAGGTAGTAGGAGTAGTTGTAACAGTAGCTGTAATAGTAGAAGTAGTAGTAGTAGCTGTAGTAGTGGTAGTTGTAGTAGTTGTTGTTGTAGTAGTAGTAGTAGTTTTAACTGTTGTAGTAGTTGTTGTAGTAATTCTCGTAGCAGTTGTTGTAATAGTAGTAGTTGTAGTAGTAATGTCCAAATAATTTCCCTTGTGGATCAATAAAGTGTGTCTAGGTCTAATTGTAGTAGACATAGTATCAGCAGTAGTATTAGCAGTAGTGTTGTGTACCTGACTGTATATCTCGTACGCAGTAGTCCGGACTCTCCTCCAGATACACCAGGTCGTGTATTAGTAGTAACAGTAGTAATATCAGTAGTATTAGCAGTAGTGTTGTGCACCTGACTGTATATCTCGTACGCAGTAGTCCGGGCTCTCCTCCAGATACACCAGGTCGTGTTTTAGTAGTAACAGTAGTAATATCAGTAGTATTAGCAGTAGTGTTGTGTACCTGACTGTATATCTCGTACGCAGTAGTCCGGGCTCTCCTCCAGATACACCAGGTCGTGTTTTAGTAGTAACAGTAGTAATATCAGTAGTATTAGCAGTAGTGTTGTGTACCTGACTGTATATCTCGTACGCAGTAGTCCGGGCTCTCCTCCAGATACACCAGGTCGTGTTTGCTGGGCCTCTTGAGCTCGTGGCCCCTGCGCTGGCCCGCCGGAGACCCTGCAGAGGAGTCCTGGTTGATTGACAGGTGCACGGCGCGTCTGTACCTCCTCATGAGGTGGTCTCCGGTTCGTCTGAAGTCGGACAGGGCGAGCCAGCACGTTCTGAGCGTGCACGAGCCACTGACGCCGTGACACTTGCACTGCAGAGACAGGAAGCGACGCACAGCCTACACAGAGACACCATCAACAGGGTTACACCACAGACTGTAAGAAGAAGTGGACTAAAGGAGCGTGGTGTTAGATATAAAGTTCTCCAGCTCCAGTCAAATGAAGCTCACCGAGGCTTGCAGTTATGGGATGAGTTCAATATTAGGAATAGGAATTGATTTACGGATAAAATAAAAAAGAGAAATAAAAACACCGGGATCATATAAGTGGCTACTGAACTTTGTTCTATGTAAGATCTACAATCTTAATTTTTCAAACAGCTGCAACTAAAGCCCAATTTCTCGTCATGGTCAAATTGTCTGCGTTGCCCTGAACCCCATCTGTGTCGACTGGTGTGCACTTCTGAAATTTTGTAACAACGCACTGAATCGACGGCAAGGGAAAGCGACGCAGACAATAAGGGCTGTGATTGGTCATCTCTACCAGCGCTCTACATACATTTCAGGTACTCCACTTTCCCACTTCATTTTGTATACATGAACGCCAGTTTCAAATCCTAGCCCCCTAGCGTTGTGGCGGTGAATTACTTTGCGGCACATAGACCTTGACACAGATCCATAAATCAAGCGACACAGCGACACAGCGACACAGCGACACACACAGCGACACAGCGACGGCGGCAGTGCACACTGAGGCGGTGCAGAACTATAATTCAGCCTTAAGGGGTAGGTGAAAACAGATTTTCTGAGCACTCAAGCCTCAAATTCAGGACAATAAAGGATTACTTAGGTGCACTGCATAACATTTGTAGTGGAGGGTCAGCCCCCTGATGTCTCCATGGAAATGTTATTGATTTGTCTAGAGTGTTCCACAGTACAGATTAAATCTATCACGAGGAGGACAAGAAGGTTACGGCACTACGCTACATTACAGATCTGTGGAGAGTCACCCCTATTCACAGAAGGAGTTATTGTATTTTTCAGCAATAGAAACACCTGTAATGAATAAATGCTAGATGGAAATGTTTAGTGTCATATTATGGAACATTGAAGTTAAAGCAACAGGTGTCAGATCCTGAACCAGAAAAGTTGCGCAATGCATCTTTAAATAATCGTGAATGAAATTATTTATTAAAGAATGATCTTGAGCTGTATCAGAATAATTATAAGAGCACATAGGCCCATGGACCACTATGAAAACTGACCTGGACCACTGAGGGATTACACACATATGAAACTGTATGGTAATATAAGAAAATACTATGATTTAATGTTGGAAATCACATTCTATTGTCTAAATAAAGAGTGTTTTTATTATCATCGTGGTACTGGAATCTGTATTAAGTATCAGGTTTATTCCTAAGTATCGAATTAGAGTTTGAAATGTTAGTATGGTGACAACACTAGTCTTGATGTGTTAAATAAACAGAAGAAGAGTAAAACCTTGCGTCCGGCCCTGTTGTTGTGCAGGTTCATTGCGGCTCTTGCGTCTCTCTCTCTCCTCTCACGCTCGTCCACAAACATCTGGCTGAACTTGACGGCGTGCTCTACGTGATCCGAGCAGCCGCCCCAGTCGAACACGCCCCTGTCGTCGCGGGAACGGCCCTTCTTGCCGGGGTCACAGGAGCACGAGTCCAGCGCCCCCTGGCTGCAGGCGCGTGCCACAGAGTGCACCACCCCGGCAGACGAGATGGCGTAGAGGAAGGCGACCTCACGGGAGCCTGGAGAGAGAGAACAAAGGAGTGGTTAATGTAGGGTGACCAGCTGACCCTCTTGTGGTTGTCCTAAACAGCAGCTTAGGCTCCTATTGCTAGTCCCACTTTCTGTAAAGATCTTACATTATACAAAATTGACTCATGTGAACTTTTAGCCATATTCTAATGTTGTTACCTCTTCAAAAACATACCTGGAATTGTGTTTTGTTTCATCCACACGTTTGAATAATTCTGCATTATTAGTCTATCTATACATCTCCAAAGCTCAAAATACTCTGTTCCACCTTGTGATGTCATGAAGCTGTAGTTTTCATGTTAACAGCTACTTTTTACCTATCAATTCTAGTACTGAAATTATCCTAATGATTCTACATAGTGAAGGTGTATGGGGTTTAAAAACACACTGGAGCACTTCCTGTATTACCACAAGACATCACAAATATACAGGTTTTGTATTTCAAATTTGTGAGTGAAACAAAACACAACTCCTGGTACGTTTGTGAGAAGAAAACTACATTATAGCATAGATCAGAAATAGCGTAATAGTTATTTTTAATCAACATATTCCATCTACCCGGTAGTAGCATTATTAGGAGTAATACTTGCAAGTATCAACAAAAGACTAAAAATACCTTTTGAATATTTTACTTACAGCTGCCTTAAGATGTATAACCATCAAATGGCTCAAACCAGATCCACCTTCTTATAACATATGGATTCAAAATGTATGGGACATAATGGAGCAGATAACATATTCTTGAAGTGTTCAAAAACCCATATTTATTAAGCGCTGGAAGCCTGTTTTGCCTTTGTTAATACAGTAGAGAACTGTCTCAGATATATAAAGAGTTGATGTATAATTATGTCATTATTACCCTGCTGTTTGCTTGTTTCTTTTTTCTTACAAACTTATATTGTAAAAAAGAAAAAAAGGAAATGTTTGCATTGATTTAAATCATTGTTTTATTGCTGAAAAAAAAAATTAAGTAAAAATAAAAGAAACTTGTGTAATGTGGACCCTATTATAACGTGGCTTAAAGCTCATAAGAGTCAATTTCGTGTAATGCAGGACCTTTAAATATTATTAGAGTATAGAATGCTGTGATATCATCTGAAACCCATCAGTAATAAGAATTAGAAGTAACTTGTGTGTGTCTTCTGTCTGTAGGTTACTGCACTGACAACCCAGGTTCAGTTGTTATTGGTGCAGATTTATTAAAACTGTAAGAGCTACACTCTACCTTTCAGTTTATATCACAAGAATTACCCCCCCTTATCACATGATATCACCAAAAAAAAGGAAGATTAAGATTAAAGAGGTCATGTAGGGATAAATCATGGTCATACTGCATAGTCCTAACAGCATATAGGTGAATTAGGGCCACATTATAAGCAGAATTAAGCAGAATGTATCTAGTGTCTGAGCTGGTCTAAAGTAGCACAAGCCTGATGCAGAGGGACAGAGACTAAAGCTGAAGACCAGAGGATTAAGGGAGAGGTTACACTGGAGCCTGGGAGAGCTACATCTCCTCTGTCACATGAACAAGGCTGCTTTAACTTTACAAGATCAAATATAACGAGTATATTAAACAATTTGGATTTTTGAATGCCTCCTTTAGACTCTGCCAGTGCGTTAAAACCGTAGACTGTATAAAGAAGTGGACTAAGGGAGTGTGACCCACAGAGTTCGGCTCAAGTCAAATGAAGCTCACGGTGCTAGCAGTTGTTCTAGAGATTTATTTACAGACAAAACAGGGAAATAAAAACAGCAGGATCATGCAGAGTGGATTACTACGAACATTTTAAGACCAAAATGATTAGGCTCACAACTAGGGCTACATACTCGATACATAAGCCATAATATGATACACATCTCGATACAGTAAGCTTACGATTTGATACGATTCAATACAATATATTTCAAATCGATTCAATATAGTTCAATAAAAATAAAGGCTAAATCATGGCTGTGATACTAAAAGTCTTTGTTAAACCACTTCTTGTGCAAAGTTAGTATGAAACACAAACATTTTAATCATCAGAACAGTGCAAATGTCAAATGTGTCACATTTCCTTCCTCTAAACAAACAACAAAACTGTAGCCCTGTAGCAAAATAATTTAGTCAAATATACCAAAAAATACTCTTGGCAATATATCGATATTTTAATATGTCTTCACACCCCTTCTTACAGAATTGCCGAATACTTGACAAATACGAATTCCTAAACTGGAACAACACAATCAAATATGCAGATTTAATTTTGGTATACAAAGTCTTTAATAATCTTGCTCCACCTGCTTTAAAGGAGTTTGTGAAAAGAAATTCAAATCACACAAGAGCAGGCACTAGAGGCGACTGCTCTGTGCTGTTTAAAAAAAGTGCTTTTGGACAGTTTTCTTTTGCTTAACGAGCAGGTCAAACATGGAACACAGTGCCTGCTCATATACGAGAACTTTCAACACTGGCAGCATTTTCTAAAGCCTTAAAACAGTGGTTGTTCAATGGTCAAATATGTCACCATGTTTAACCAAATCACATTTTCTTTTATATTGAGGGGTTGTTGGTTTAACTCTTGGTTTCACTCTAAAACTCTTGAATTTGAAATTCATTGTGTATCTAGTGAGTGTGTTGTATGTATAGAGAGTGTGCTGGTGTCATGTACTTTTGTGTGTTTGTTGCTGTACTTTTCCTTGTCTTGTAGATGATTTTACATCAACCTGCAGAGGGACTGAAGATGGAAATGTTCATTAATACGTGCTGTCCCTTTACAAATAAATAAAATAAGAAAATAAGAAAGGGGTGGAAAATTTTCAACGTAAAGTCAATTGGAAACAGACTCGATGAAGCCAGAAGCGCTCCATGTTCATTTCCTGTTTGGAACACGGCAGCTAGCAGGTTAGTTATGTCTATTTATTTTCGCAGTCTATGGTAAAAATTGTGTAACAAGCTGCTCAGAGTTGTTTAATCGCTTACACCATGGTCCCACCAACTAAAAATAGTTCTCTTTGAAATCTAACAACCTTTTGACTGTCCATTGATGTTCAAAGCATTAGTTATTTCTGGATGAAAGAAGAGACCCGAGGCATTCCGTTATGCTTCGCTATTATTTTATTTCATGTCAAAACACCAACGCGTTTCAACTTGCGTCTTCATCAGGGCACGTGATTGGCATTTGACATGAAATAAAATAATAGGAAAGCATATCGGAGTGCCTCGGATATCTTCTTTCATCCAGTACCTTATTTGCTCACTCCTAATCTCCCAAGAGCACCTGATTGTTATTTCACTTCAGCAGTGATCCAGCGCGCCCTCCAATTACATCTTTTTCTTTGCATTAGTGATTTCTGTTTAAGTAGAAACTAGCCCCTCCTAACTGTAGTTCATTTGTTTACTCGTTGCTATGGTGATGCTCACAGTGTAATGATATTGCTGGGTTTCAGATGATATAAAAGCATTCTATAGGCCAATGATATTTAATACAGATGTGGGACAGCTAAAATGAATACATTTAATTGCAGATTTTTGTTGTAATACAGCATGGGCTTGGGTCTAGTCAACAGAAATGATCAGGTTTCGTATTTGGGAATTTACGCTTCCGATATTTCATGGAAAAACACAACTGGCTCTTGCCCCCATCTGGGAGTATCATCACATTCTAGAATCTGAAAACTACCAATTGCTGTGTTTCAGATCAGATCACATCACAACAATAATAATGGAGGACAGCTAAAATTAATATTGTTTAAATGCAGATTTTGGCTGCAATACAGTAAGTTCTTGGGCCAACTCAGTAATAGAAATGGTCTGAGATTTGTGAATTTACCGTCAGGATATTTCATGGTAAAATACAATTTCATCAATACGGAAAAACGTCTTTTGCCCCCATCATCACATCACAGAATCTGAAAATGGCCAATACAACAAAAATAATGTACGACAGTTAGTGTTGGAATTATCGCTCGCCATGGTAGAAATATTTTGGATTTGATTCATGTTTTATCAATCCAACAGAAATGCACTAAAATCATACCCCTTCAAGTATCAGGCAAAGTGAATGCACTGTATAGTTAGAGGAACACTTTTTGTGCTAAAAAGTTACAAAGTGGGATTTAATTGTGGAAGATTATATTCCAATCCAACTTTATTTGTATAGCACAGTTTCCAAAGTGCTTCACATAGCAGTGTAAATCATTTAACTTCAAAAAGTCAGCAGAATTATGTTCCAAACAAAAGGAACTAATAGAATCAGTAGATAAAGAATAATAATAAAATCAGTGAACAAAAATAATAAAATCAATAAATAAAAATAAATAAAATGAAAGACACAGAGGACCAAACAACTGACACGATGTTAAAAGCCACAGAATAAAAGTGGGTCTTAAGAGACTTAAAACACTCCACTGTGAGGGCTGTTCGGATGTGGGGGGGCGAGCGTTCCAGAGCATGGCGCCCTGTCCCCCCTGGTTTTAAGTCTCGTCTTAGGCCCCATGAGCTGGAGCTGGCCCTCGGACCTCAGAGCGCGTATGGGGGTGTACGTTAGAATGAGGTCCGAGGTGTCCTGTGAAGCCAGTCCATTCAATTCAATTAAAATCAATTCAAAAATATTGTCAATTTCAGTTTAATGTTTTCATATCACAGACGAGCAGTAGCATGCAGTAGAAGCCATTTCTCTTTCCTAGTCCAACGTTTGAGCTCCAGACCACATGCTTTTACTGACAGAGTTCTTACAATAATATCGTGGACCATCACAATATATCGAATTATAAGTCTCTAAAAAAGACAGAGTGAACTACATAGACCATGATCCTTTGCTCCATTTCAGTGCAGACTACAAGAAGAAATAACAGTTCTAAGCACTTTTAAGTCTTAGTTCTTTGGATTAAGTCTTGTCAAGGCATTTTAAGAGGAAAAAGTAGCATATTAACAGTTTTGTTAGCCTCCACAAAATATCGCAATAAATATCGTACAGTGAGATGTATATTGTGAAACTATTGTACCGAGAGATTAGGATATCGTTACACCTCCAATCATGAGCCTCCCCACCATATCAGGACCTTTCCCACAATATTGCAACAAATATACCGTAAGGTTCATAACGTGACAATATCGTATCGCGAGACTTGGATATCGTTACACCCCTACAAAACAATAATATCTTGATGAATAGGTTGCATTTATGTTCTAGAATTTAATAATGTCATGATTTCAGATGGAGAACAGAGGCCTACATACAGTAACTCTATAGTAGATTTACTGTTGTTGAAAGAAATCTCCAAATGTGTGGTCCACGAATGTTTACTTGAACCTTATTATTTGTTTGGGATCGGCTCCACAAACTTGTCATGTTAATCTTATATCTTAAAGTCCTTTCAACTGACAACACTCACATCTTTAGAGATGAATAATGGCACCACTTTCTGAAGCTATTGTAAAAAATGTAAAATTGAGAGCTGTACTTTTATCTATTTTTGTCTGTTGCTAACAATTTGTATTTTGCTTATGATGTGTTATTGAAAAACTGCTTCAGTATCTTTTATAAGAATTTGATTTAGTAGTTTAGGCAATATATAAAGAATAGGAGTATCATTTAATAGGACATGGAAATAAGGAAATGGAAATAAAATGTTCATATGCTGTAAATTATTGAAAAAATATTAACAAAAAATAATCAATAAAAAATATATAATAATAAATCACTTTAGTTTATTTATACTGAGAAGAACACTGTGCCAGTTTTTGTTTCGTGTAAACCAGGTCAACAAATCTGTAATCTGACACTTCAACAACAAACTCCACCTGAGAATTCTGACCTGTTCTCCAGCTCTGTTTAAACTATTCATAATTAGCAGCTGATGTCATCAACATTCCCTGGGGATGTGAAGCTAACCGAAAGCACTACTGTGTTAAAAGCTCTGTTGCTCAAGTTGGACTCAATCTGATCTTTATTTGAACACTATCTGACCAGAAAGAGTTGACAGGTGAGCTGGTTTGTGCTGTTAAACAAGTCTCTCACACTTAAAACTATAGTCGCAAGCCAACAGATTTTCAGTTAGTCACTCTCACCTTTTTGTTAAAAATCAAACTCCTAAACAGGACCATGAACTCTCGTATTGATCACAGACTCCTGAAAATGTGCTGTTTAAATCCATTTTGTTGTTGTTTAATGTCCGTTTGTATTTTCATTGCCTTTTACCTGAACTGTTTTGTACATTTGCACTGTTTTGTTTTTAGAGAGACTTTTTTTTTTTTTTGTTAACAGAAATGCTGATTAATTGGCCTGGTTCATCAGCCGGTTTCACTTTGTTTCACTTCGTAGAAACCGTCTGACCTCGCAGTGTTGGAATTTGTTCATTCAGAGGTAGGCAAGTACTTTTTGTGTTTAACCAATCGCTGCTATTTGGTCGTGACGTATGTAATGTGCTGCTAACAGGGCTAACTGGTGTATTAAGTAGGGCTGAGTATCATTAAGGAGTTGCCGATACGATACATACCTCGATACACAGGCCACGATACGATACATATCTTGATACAGTGCACTTTCGATTCAATATGATATATTTCAAATCGATTCGATACAGTTCAATAAAAAATAAAGGCTAAATCGTGACTCTGATACTAAAAGGCTTTGTTAAACCACTTCTTGTGAAAAGTTCATATGAAACACAAACATTTTAATCCTCAAAACAGTAAAAATGTCAAATGTGTCGCATAAATGAGCTACCTTTCACTCCACAAGCAACAAAATTGTAGCACTGTAACAAAATAATTTAGTAAAACACACCTAAAAGTACTCTTGGTGAAATATCGATACAGTAGTCCACGATATCGATACTGTATCATCACATTAAAAGATACGATATATCAATATTCCGATATTTTTGCACACCCCTAGTATTAAGCTTTTCCCAAATTCTGTAGGAAGAAGGGAAATAATGTCTTTCCCCTTGAAGAAATTCACCAAACATTCTCTTTGTTCCAGTTTTAAATCCTCGATCTCGGGAATCGTTGACAACACTGAATATATGACTCTTCGTTGATAGGCTGCCCGAACTTGCACTTCCGGGTTTTTTTTGTAAACTGTCTAGTGTATTTTGATTCCTGACCTAGTCGCTGGAGAGAAATGAAATTGAGTGGAGGCACTAGGTGACACCTGTCCTGCTAAATGAACCAGTGTTTTTTTCTTGAGTTGAGTTGACTTTTTGTCTGTGTTACTAATGTATGCTTTGTATCACCATGGTAACTACTGAACATTCCGCCAGTAGAAATACATGTAGAACACCCCCAGCATGATGTCACTGCAAAGTATCTACAGGGATTCTACAATGTTGTGGTGTCACATGAACCTAATAATCAGTCATAAAGCTCTAAACCCGGCTGTACTCACCGCGCAGCAGCAGGCGCCCGAACAGGTTGTGGTCATTGGTGGTGTTGCAGTTCCAGCGGTTGGTCCTGAACTGGTGCTGACATTCCTGGATCCAGTCGCTCACGCCGGCTCCGATCACCTTCATCACACCCGGGAACTGTCGACACATCTGCCTCTGTCTGCTCACCAAGCCCGGGACATGATCACACACCAGCCGGGAGCCCAGCGAGCCCATGAACCTGAGGAGAGGAAGAGTCAGGAGTCCAACCCACAACCTCCTTACTGAGAGGAGGAGACGGGATAACCAAAGAAACTCACACTGATGTTAGCAGAAAAGGCCTGTTCAAATAGCAGCATCAGAGGAGGTGGTGGTTAAATATCCTAGAGTACAGCTCTATGATATGGTGCATAGATTGTGAAGTCCTATAAGGCTGGAAAAATTACAATATGTGAATTCCTTTTTTGATACAAGAGAAACAAAATATTTAAGAAAAGTTATTTTATATAAATTTGTTGTTGGTCTTACAGCCCCCTATTAAATAAACAGAAGCTTTCTAATGTAAAGGCAGTGTTGTTATGTTGTTGTCATTGATGTTACACTATAGTGTCACTGATGTTACTAAAATATTTACCATAATTTCACATAAAATTATTAATAGATTCAATTAAAAAAAAAAAACTATTTTGTAAATTTAGAGATCTATTATGTTTATCTTTCCAATTTGGAAAAGAATTAAAATAAAACACATAAATTACAATTATGAAATAAAGAACAATATTTAGGTTGTTAACACCAGCAGTGATTCTAATATAGTACTGAATGTATCTGCAACATTTCATAACGGCCCATGTAACCTTTTGGAGATGGCATGTCACCTGCATGATTCCATGGAAATAAAAAGTTAAAACTACTCTTCTGAACATTCTGCATGGAGATATACAAGTTTTGTACCAAGTTTTATACTGTGGAATATTATAACCAAAAGAACATTACCATGGAAACATGCAAGAAGAGGCCAAATAAGAGTCAGGGTTTTTCAGTGCAATAAACTTAACCCAAAAAAGGAGAAAAAAAGTCTAAAAAGTTACATAATGTGGCTTTAAGTCATACTTCTAGATACGGGGAGGAATATTGTGTAAGTCAGTGTTTCTATGTCATATTTTGCGATATACTGTCCAGCCTTGGTCTGTTGCTTGTTACAGTTCTAACGACCGAATGATTCTTATGACAACAGAGAGATAGAGCAGACAGGAGAGGAGAGGATTACAGTTAAGACAGCTGGAGTATCACTAGCAGAGAAAGCGATTGAGTTTCTCTTGTTTACACTGCCGCAGTGCCTTTGAGCCAAGACACTAGACACCAGACTGCCCTGAGGTTCTATTCCCTGTGTTTGGTGAAGTCTGACACACTAATAGGCCTACAGTTCTACAAAAATAAACCTTGCTACAAGAATAAATGTTCCAAGTTGTAGCTCCAAACATAAAGCTCCAAACATATAAAGCAGACACCTAGTTTGGACAACAAAGAAATAGAATAAATAGATTAAAGTTGCACTATGTAACTGTCTGGATGGAGGGTCCGTCACCATGGAGATGTTGTTGCTTTGCCTGGAATTCTTCCAGTATATTAAATGTATATATTTCAATGGCAACAGGCACTAAGTAAAAGATGGGACCACTTACAGTAGAATACATATTTTTCAAGGTATTGTTTTAGTGTAAAAAAGCACCTATAATTAAATAATAAGGAAATTTAATGCAATACTGTGGTACATATCAGGGAAAGCAACCTCCTGAGCATATCTCCATGGACACAACCAGGTGCTGGACCCTTACAAGAAAAGTGCACCTTTAAAGTTTGAAAAACAGAAGGCACAGTCCTCCAGAAAAATGACATAGTGTATCTTTAAAGAAAATCTATTGTACTTGAGCCTGCTTTATGTTTTTAACCTATGTCGCCTGTGGATCATTAGGTTATAATTTGGACATTTTAAATATGACTCTAAAATGAGTTAATAAAAAAACGTCTCCACTCTAGAAAACTGTGATACTCAATGGGAGCTGACTTCGCCGAAAACATCAACAAAGAGCCGTGAAGTTGTCTGCACGTCCAATGGATAGCCGCAGATCATGCTAGCGGTGTATCAGATTATTTTTTTTTATTTGTACTAAAATGACTACACGACGCTGCTGAAGTCTACATGTATCACCGATTAAGAAAATAACATTGGAGAACAAAGTAAGTAGAGCAGTGGGTGTGTAGCAGTAGTGGTGAAAAAGGCAAAATGGTCTTGAAAATAAACGATTAAAGATTGCTCAAACTTGCATGAATCAAATGGTGAGGGGAAACATGTTTAAAAATTCTGAAAAGTTCTAATATAATAGGTCCACTTCAACTCAAATAGGTATTTCATGCACAACCAATATAAAACTAATTGACAATATTTCATTTGGGGAAATAGAACATAAATTAACTTATTAAACATATATTTTATTTATTTTGACAGTTTACATGTCATTTAAAAAGGGGTTTAGTTGGCAATCAGAGCTATGATTTAATGCAATAAAATAATCAAAACTAGTATGTTCCCTTATGACATGATGTTGTGAATCTTGGGCTCTGGACTAAATATTATTTACAGATTATATAATTTAACCAGATAAGAAAATGAAATTTGTTAAATTGTGTTTGTCCAAATACTGCTCAAAAGTTCTTAAGACTTTTTGGGTTATTTTAATTTAAAGAGAGAAACAGTTAATGATATATTTCTTTTTGTTTGGCTTTCTTCCTTAGCTTGTTATTAGTACATGTAGTAGAGCTAATAACAGTAGTGAGTTGCAGTATTAGTATTAGTAGCAGCCTGGTAGTTGTAGTAGCAGCAGTTTAAAAGTAGTAGTAATTGTAGTATTCACAATAGTAGTAATAGTGGTGGTGGAAAATATCAGGTAGAAATAGTAATGGTAGTAGTTGTAGTAGTAGTAGCCTAAAAGAAGTAGTAATAGTTGTAGTAATAGTAGTTGCAGTAATAGTAGTAGTAGTATTAGTTGCAGTAATAGTAGCAGTAGCAGTATTAGTATTAGTATTAGTATTAGTAGTATTAGTAGTAGTAGTAGTAGTAGTAGTTGCAGTAATAGTAGTAGTAGTATTAGTTGCAGTAATAGTAGCAGTATTAGTATTAGTATTAGTATTAGTAGTAGTAGTAGTAGTAGTTGCAGTAATAATAGTAGCAGCCTAAAAGAAGTAGTAGTAGTTGCTGTACTAGTAGTAGTTGCAGTAGTTGTAGCAGCCTAAAAGAAGAAGTAGTAGTTGCATTAGCAGTAGTTGCAGTAGTAGTAGCAGCAGTACCCTAAAAGAATTAGCAGTAATAGTGCAGTAATAGTGGTAGTTGCAGTAGTCGTAGTAGTAGTAGCAGTAGCAGTCTAAAAGAAGTAGTAGTTGTTGCTGCAGTAGTAATAGCAGCCTAAAAGAAGTAGTTGTAGTAATTGTAGAAGTTGCAGTAGTAGTAATAGCCTAAAAGAAGTAGTAGTAGTTGCAGTAGCAGTAGTTGCAGTAGTTGTTGTAATAGTACCCTAAAAGAATTAGTACTCGTTGCAGTAATAGTGGTAGTTGCAGTAGTAGCAGCTTAAAAGAAATAGTAGTTGTTGCAGTAGTAGTAGTAGTAGTAGTAGTAGTAGTAGTAGTAGTAGTAGTAGTAGTAGTAGTAGTAGTAGTAGTATGATAAACCAACTCACCACCAGGACGCGTCCACTTTCGCCGTGAGCCAGCACACTTCCACAGACAGCAGCAAACACAATCCACATAAGTTCATATTAACGGGTCCTCACGGGTCCGGGCGCAGCATTTCCACGGGCGAAGAGTGTGCGGTGACCCGGGGGGAGAGAGCCCTCAGAGCGGCGTGGGGTGAGCGGACGGTCCGGGGCAGTGGAGCGGCGCAGAGGAGAGTGCGCGGGTCATTTTACGCAGCGGAGAGCCGAGTGGAGCGGTGGAGTGGAGACGCGGTGGAGGTGCGGTTATGCGCAGAGGGAGGATCTGTTCGGGCGGGTTTGGCTCGTCTCGTCTGTGGGTTTGACAGGAGGTTTGGAGAGCGGCCAAACGGCGGAGCAGCACGGGGAAGAGACGCGGACAAACCGGGTCCAGCGAGAGCCTGCAGGGAGTACCGTGCGTAAAGAGGAGACAAGAGAGACAAAATGTATTGATGCACAACAGAAATAACTTGGACACAATAGCTCACACATCACTGTAAACTATAATAAAGTCTAGAATGCCACTTGCGAATAAAATATCACTTTTTATGTTTTTTGTTTGTTTTTTAGCTGTTTAGTTTCATTATGTTGAAGCTATAAATTACGTTTTTGTGCGCAATTTCTCGCCGTCTTCTATCGTACAGGTGGGGCTTGCACATGCAGATTAAAAACGTTTTACTCATACCCTACTTGCAAATACTAACACATCTAAATACATTTTAATTCAGGAATTTTATACAGTCAAGAAACTGGGAACAGAGGACAGCCAAATAAGTCATCCAATATTTGATGAAGCCTGACGCGCAGTAATTTCAGTGCGTCAAACGTCGTCGGCTCTTGCGGTCACGTCACCACTGTAAAAATTAGAGCCTTAGTGGTGGGAAAACAAACACGGTTATGGTACTTAACTGCATTTTTATCGTCATTGTAGTAATAACCAATAAGTACTTCTTGATGTTTTATTTTCTTGAATATTTCCTGGTGAATTAGCTCATGTTAACGCAAGTCAACCTTTTTTTGTTTAAGTTAAAGTGGATCTAGGCTACTTGTTTCATATTTAAAACACATCTAAGTGTGCACTATTTATGCAAGTTTACCAGTAGACAGAAATGGGACAGTGAAATCTTATGTAAACCAAAATTAAGAACATATATTTTAATTAAAGACAACTTTTGGTCCCTCTGAACTGGATGGGTCTATGTGCTCTGTGTGACTTAAAAGACTTGAAAATGAAAAGTATTTTGGGTTCTACTGTTCCTACTGTCCCTAAAGTGGAAGTAGGCTACTTGTTTCATATTTAAAACACATCTATGTGCACTATTTATGCAAGTGTACTGGTGGAGAGTTTTGTGAAAAAAAATCTTTGCTAAGAATGGTATGGTGTAGTGGTGTAAACAGTAATGGGACACTGAAATCTTACGTAAACCAAAATTAAGAATATATATTTTAATTAAAGGCAACTTTTGGTCCCTCTGAACTGGAGCAGAGGTCAGAAGTCACTAGGTGAGGTGTGAGGACTGGACTTCCATCCAGTTTCAGAAAAGTATATGTGCTCTGTGTGACTTAAAGGACTTGAAAATGAAATGTATTTTGTGTTCTACTGTTCTTACTGTCGCTTGTCTGCTTCGAGTCAAGTTATAAACGTATATATCTTTCATTCACGCCATTTTACTATGGACCTCAATGGACTTAATGGACTGATCAGCCACCTAAAAATGCACAAAGCACACATTTAGTTCAATCTGTACAAAAACAGGACTTTTACTGAGAAAAATGATGCAGCTCTACCCAAGTATACTCATTGCTATTGGGCTTCTGCTTTTCCGTGGGATTATCTGTCTGTCATTTTCAGTTTCCTTCATCTTTGATCTGATCTGAGGCCAGAGCACGAGACTCAAACGTCCAACCTGGACTTTCCCATGGGCCTGAACAATTACAGCAATGTTGAATATGGAAAATGGGAACAATATTTATTCAAAATAGTTCAAACATATTTCAATTCAAACAAGGTCACTTTTTACATATCTCTAATTTGGCACCATTGACAACTGAAGTGTGTGAAAGTGCTTCTCACTTCCAAATGTTGATTCACAAAACAATTTGTACATAAGGTTTGTATAGATATATAAAAAAATTAAAAAATTGTCACAACACATCACAAACAGAATATCTTGCAATGATAACTACAAAAATACTGGTGAACTGGATATAACATGCAACAATCTTGGCCTGTCCTGGTTTAGTCCTGGTTTGGTCTTAATTTAGTCCCATTTTAGCCCTGGTTCAGTGCTGTTTTAGACCTGCTTAAATCCTGGTTTAGATGTGGTTAAGCCTGGATTATGTTCTATTTTAGCTGGTTTAGTCCTGGTATAGTTGTAGTTTTTGTCCTGGTTCAGCCTTGGTTCAGTTGTAGTTTAGTCCTGGTTTAGTCCAGGAATTACTGTGGGCCAACTGCACAGGTTTTTTAGGTCAAACTGTTACTATAACCTGAACAAAGTAAAGTTTTATAAATAACATAAATAGTTGAAAGATGAAAATAAAAACTGGCATTTTAGAAACAAATTGAAAAAAAAGAAGAAGAATCCAAGAACAGGAAATTGACACAAAAATGTCATAACAGTATATATTTGTGATTCTCCCAATAACAATTATCAGATTAGATTTTTTTCAATCCATCAGAAATGTGCTAAAATGTCACACAAGAGTGAAAACTAAAACACAAAACTGTAAAAATAAACCTTATTTAAAAGATTATAATCAAAGTTAGTTTTTTTTTTTAGATTATTTTGGTTCCCTTTTAAATATACTGGTCTTATTTTAATGAAACCTTTTGTTCTTAATTAATAAAAAATATAATATTATACATGTCCTCAAAACAACAACAGAGATATAATAATTGTTTCCATATATTGTTCACCTCTACCATAGACGTAATATTTTCCAGTTTGAACAACAACATTAACCAAAATCCAAACTTCATTGTTGTCTTGTGGCTGAAGCTCCTGAGGTCTCCATGGAAACCTGTTACCTGCACCTGTTACCACCGGCTCCACTGGCCCAGGTGGGTTCGCACACCTGGGCCTTTAGCCAGTAGCAGCAGGGCTCCGGCTCCCAGCATGCTCAGTGCCGCCCCCTTCAGGACCCGCCTCCAGCTCAGTTTAGAGGAAATGACAGGGACTTCAGAGCAGTCATCAGCCTGGTCCATCTGAACGCAACAGAGACAGGTCACGTCTTTCAAACTGATAATGCAAAGGTATGAGAGAAAATTAAACTTGGTGGTGTTATACTGGGATGGTTCAATATGGATTTGGGAAAAATTTGGATAGCTGCTGTGACCCTAAACCAATATTAACAGAGATTTGCAAAGATTCATGTAAAGTTACAATAAAGTTCACAAATCAACAATTCACTTGTAAAAATAATAAAACGGATATCTCTGGGATACACAAAAAAATGTCTAATTTTAAAGTAAATCACATGACCACTGTGATCACATGACCAGTACAGCAGTGAAAGCAGTGGGTCAGGTCTAAACTCTTGGATTTTCCTTAGTTTGATGCCCACAAATGTCTACATGTGTCCCATAAAGGTCCTATATTACACAAGAGTCTTGTGAAGTTTAAGCCAAGTTATAATGTTGTTGCATCCTCAAAAACATACCTGGAGTTGTAGTTTGTTTAATTCAGGTTTGAGTAATCCTTTATTATTAGTCTGTCTACATCTCCAAAGCTCAAAATGCTCCGTTCCACTTTGTGACATCATGAAGCAAAGGTTTAAGTTAACAGCTCCTTTTACTTTTAGTTGAGTAGAGATTTGTAATTCCAGGGCTGAAATCATCAAATGATTCTAGTGAATATCTATGGTGTTCAAAAACATAGTGGAGCACTTTTTGTATTACCACATGACATCATAAGTTGTATTTTCAGTTTCAGAGAAGAAGTCTAAATGTGCAGGCTTTCAGTGTTAAACATGTGTGAATGAAACAACACAACTCCAGGTATGTTTTACTCTAGCTGTGAGGAAACAACATTATAACATAGATCAGAAAATAGTGTAATATAGCCCTTTAAAGAAACACTTGATGAAAACATGAGTTAAAGACAGAAGATGACTTCCTGTTGAACTCTCCTCAGACACTAACAGGGATGAACTTTTCTAATCTGAGGATGATTTGACCTGACATGAACACAGATGACCTGGCACGGCAGCCAAATGAACTTCCCCATGCACATATGGCAAATTTATGCAAGCGACCACAAGGAGACAGCCCATAGATTTATCTGAGCGCTCACCATCATTTTAAATTTCCATCTTTAAATCAATTTGTGACTTCCAGCTCAATGCCTCGCAACTGCAGTGGTGTCCCGAGCTCCACTTTCAGAACCACTAGTCTAACTTCTTGCATGCACAGAAATAGCTGGTGGCCTAAAAAAGTGGTAAATGTTTTAATATTTTGCTAAGATATTTGTGTTTTATAATCTTGGTTCTCCCTAGGGCTGGGTGATTTGCCAAAAAATGTCACAAGCCAGAGCACAATTTAAATTTGATCACAGTTCATGTATCTTTATGGGCCCATATTACGCCTTTTTCTTATTTAATTTTAATATATAATGTTGCTTCCTCGTCAAAACTTGTGTTGTGTTTGTTTCGCACATGTCCCCACACACAAATCCTGCATATTTAGGTCCAAACTGAACATGTGTGATATCATGTGGTAATACACAAAGTGCATCAATGTGTTTTTATACCTCATACACCTTCACTAGAATCATAACAATAATTTCAGACTTGGAATTTCCATTCTCTACTAAAAAGGTAAAAGGCATCTTTTAACTTGAAAACTATGGCCTCATGACCATAAGGGGAAACAGAGCATTTTGAGCTTTGGAGATATACACAGACTAATAATAAAGCTTTACTTAAACATGTGTGAATGAAACAAAACACAACTCCAGGTGTGTTTTTGATGAGGTAACATTAAAACATGGCTTTATTTTGTGCAATATAGGACCTTTAATAGGTAACAAGCTATCTGCGGTTTCTTAAAAGTTCACTCTTGACTTGTGATTGGTTAAATCCACCTGTCACTCACTCAGAGCAGGATAGAGGCTAGAGGCTGGAGGTGGAAAGTGTGTGCTTTTGAGCATACAGCAACATTAAACAAAGAAAAAAACTCAATATGGTGATTTGACCAAAACAGCAGACTGCCACAGGAATGAGCTCATGAATCAGTTTTTGTCACCCTAATTCCCCCATTCTGCAGACAGATTTTCCATAGTGTTTTTGTAGGTTTGGAGGAGCTTAAGTCATATTCCATATTTTCCATCTTTGCTGCAGTGACCCGAGGATCAGGTGCACAGACCTGTCTCAGCTCGCAGCATTTCACAAACTCAAACTCAGACACAGACAGAGCATATGACAGCTTAGACTGCTCACTTCATTCAAACATGGGTCAAATTATTCTGTAAAAAAACAACAACAACAACAACAAAGAGAGAGGGGAAAATATAATCTGTGTCAGTTAATAATAATCAAAATAATAAGAAAAATAAGAAAAAATTTAATTATATTGCAAAAATGGTGGAGGGTGTTTTTTAAACGTCTACAAATAAGTTCCAATGCATGCATTTTTAGTAGTGCAGCATTATTTTTTTTATTTTTTTTTAGAATTACAGTAATTCACTTGTTAGCAATTGACACTTTGCAGCTCATGTCAACATTCCCTGGGAGTGTGATGATAACTGAAGGCACTATTCTGTTAGAAGCTCCATTAGACTGACTAGACTAGAATCTGAGTTTTATTTTAACACAGTCTGATTGTGAAATTTATTAGGACAAAAATAAATGTTCTAATAAATTTCACAATTTGCAAGCAAGACGGTGTGCAGGATTTTTCTCTATGTTCTTGGGCTGCTCCCTCTCCTCCGACGCACCCATCTCTAGTAATTGATGTGCGAAGTTCTCATTCTTTTATGACACAGTCTGATCTGAAAGAGCGATCTTAGTTGGAATCACAACAGGTGAGCTGATTTATGCTGTTAAACAAGTGTCTCACACCTTAAATTACTGTCACAGGCTAGCTAGCATTAAGCCAATAGTTTTTTAGTTAGTCAATCTTACCTTTTTGTTGAAAATAAAACACTTAGATGACCATGAATGCTCTTACTGATAATACGCTGCTGAAAACGTGTTGCTTAAATCTTGAGTTTTCAGACCATCTTAAAACTTTTTTGACAGTGTTTGCTAATGTGTGCACTGTGGTATGGAAATTCCACCATACACTTACATGTTGAACACCTCCAGCAAGATGCCATCGCAAAGAATCAATATTTTTATGATTTTCCGACAAATAAAAATCTGATTTTTTTCAATTTTCCAAAACAGCAGCCTGACCAAAAAAAGTCTATTAAGCAGAATCTGAGAACTTTAGATGTTTGACAGTTCATGTCTAAACTGTGAGTTCATATGTTTAATGTGAGGGGCATGTCAGAGCAGGTCGATCTGTGCAGGTATGTACCAGCCAGCAGGGGGCGGAGCTTCAGGGGTCAAATCCCAGATCAGAAATGAGGACATGCATGATACGGCAGCCATGTCTACGTCAGGCTGCCCCAAGGCATCTGTAGCACTAGAGCCATGGAGGGGTTAGGTATGTAGGTTATGCACATGACATCACCTCTTAGTGTCAGTGGTGAGTAATGACATTTTTTTCTGTAAAAGCTCAAAACGCATCTAAAATGTGAAAGAGCTGCTGCAGCTTAATAACAAATATACAACTACAACTCCCCTAAATATTTAGTTTGTCCTTTCCTCATCACAGACATACCCGGACTTGTGTTTTGTTTCATTCACGTTTAACACACCAACTCTGTGTAAGATGAGTTCTTCTCCCAAAGAGAAAACACTCTGTTCCACCTTGTGATGTCAAGCGGTAATTAAACTCCACCTTCACTAGAATCCTTTGGATGATTTCAACCCTTGTATAGCCCATCTCTACTGAACAAAAGATAAAGGAAACTGTTAATTTGAAAACTAACACTACATGATATCACAAGGTGGAACAGAGCATGACTGAAACAAAACAGAACTCCAGGTATGCTTTTAAGGAGGTAAAACATGAACAACATGGTTTTAAGCTTTTCATAATATAGGGCCTTTAAAGAAAATGTTTCTGAGCCCCCGTGTTGAGGAAATAATTGTTAAATTATTGTTAAATATCAGAACAAAATACCAAAAAAAAGCACATTTTGTCAGTTGTGCTGCTCACAGTTCTGCCACTCAGAGCCACTTTCAAATAAAATGATGTCAGTGCATAATCTCTATTGGTATTGTATCTTTTTAAATAGTACCGTAAATTAGACATTTTATCACTTGGCTATTCTATAATAATACCACATACTTGCATATACTTTCAGATGTAGTTTTCTGTACGCCATTCTATCAATCATTTGCATTTTTGATAATGAATGTGTAGTTATCAGTCAAAAATAGAATGAAATTTTCTGATTTTGGTCCAGATGAAACAATTTGAACCATATTTTCAGAATTAAATGTGACTGGAGTCTGAAGTGGGGCATAATAATTCCATTAATAATTAATAATTTAGTACTTATTAGGTAGGGTAGAAGTTATTCATTCTACCCCTCTACAGCTCAAAAATGACCTTATTGCATAAAAATGGTATGTACTATTGGAAAGAAATTGTACATATGGTAAATATTGAGCCACAAAACATATTGAGCTTCAGACAGAGTAGTGTCTATAGTTAGATTCAAAGTATAAATTGGTCAAGCTTTCATGTACTGAACGGTAAGTCGATGCAGTCGTTATGGTGACCGGCCCCTGTACCTGGCAGAGCAGGTTCCTGAGCAGAGTGACCTCTTGATGCAGATCTTTGGTTTGGATCAGGAGCTGGTTACACACAGAGAGAGCCTTTCCCTGGGGGTCCAGAGAAAACACCAACTGCAAAGAGAAGAGAGGGAAAACAAAGGAAAGAGATGCCATTGTAAATGTATGTCTATTACACAACTCATACATTAAGCCAGGCATGTCCAAACTATGGCCCGGGGGCCAAATGCGACCCTCAGACAAATTTTTCTTGGCCCTCAGGCTTCCAGGAGAATTGGCCCAAATTGCCGTGCATCAACAAAAAATGTACTTTTTATTGCAAGTTTTTTGAAAATCTACCTTGATAAAGCCAATATTTAATATTTAGTGTGTAGTTTTGAGGATCTTAGCATGAATAAAGACTGATGTCTCATTTTAACATGTTAAACGCACATATTTTAGTTATTCACTGTTATGAGCACCAGTCTACGGCCCTTGATCGGCCCTCTGCGTCGTCTGCGTTTAGACATGTGGCCCTTGATGAAAAAAGTTTGGACACCCCTGCATTAAGCGATTCACTGTTACTATATTATACTTTAATAAGAAACTTTTTTTTTTTTTTTTTAATTAGGCCTGTCACAACTAATTTTGGAGTATGGTTTATTGCTACAGCAAAATATTCCGATAAACAATAATACTGAAACTATTTAAGTACTAAAGTAAGCACGATAAATATTAAGACCCAAAACATATCGGTCCAGCTATCGTGTACTGAATGCTAAATCGATATAGTAATTATTATGATACATAGAGAGAGACAGTGTGTCAGCGATTGGGATGTAACAATAACAACAACAAACCAACAACTTTAATAATTCCAAAGTGCAATTCAGTGTGCAGATCTCTGGTCATGCATATTGAGATATTGTGGGCCATCACAATATATCAAATCACAAATGTCAGTTTAAACTCATTGCTATGGTACAGAAATAGTTGAAAAAAAATTCCGTTGCTGTATGTCAGTGCAGACTGTGTGAATAAATAACTTAAGAAATTTTAAATGTTAATTGTGACAAAACCAAAGGCCTGTCAAGGTATTCAAAAACAAAGTAGCATATTCAAAATTTTGTAAGCCTCAACAAAATATTGCATTAAGTATCATATTTTGAGATGCATATTGTGAAAATATGACACTGAGATATTTGGATTGTGTTGCATCCCTATCAGAGAACACCTATGGAAGCCTGAGTTGCAGTACCTGAGAGGCCCTGCAGGGGAAGCGGTTTACCACGTCCTGGATGGTCTCTGTGAGGTAACAGCACTGCTGCCTCATGCTGATCAGGAACGTGTGCAGCTCCTCGCTTCTGTGGCACAAAAATCAGCTGAAGACTAAATATTCCACAGTTTGTATCTGACAATTTCATATGAATCAGTTTAAGACTTGTTTTATTAGTGGAAAAAACTGAAGAATGTTAATGTGAGCAGGCTTGCAACATCGCAAACCTGATTCTAATTTTGCCTGTAAGAGGGCCTCCTCCTGCTTTGCTCCATGGAAATGTTGTTCCTTTGGCTAATTCTCCACAGTATGGCATAAATCTATCTACATGGAGGTTTTAATGTTTCATTTTCATGGAATAACACAGGTGGCGAGCCATATCCATAAAGTCACATTCTGTACATTTAATGCTAATGTCAAATGGAGGAAATTAAACTGAAAAAATATATCTAAAAGAAAGTTTAGCAAAATTAAAAAGCTTTATAAGGATTGTTATAAGGAGGAGTGACAGAGTGTGACACCTGCTGCTTAATGTCTGATGTGGGTCTACAGGGAAAACAAATACATGTTAACACTCACTTGCTGTCTATGAGAGATGGAGAGCAGGTCGAGTCTGTGTTAGTCCACCTTAAACCTGCCCATGTAAAATAATAAACCTGGTTCCACCTTAAATGATAAACCCGCAGGGCTTGTTTAAATGTATGTCTGCTCTGTTTGAATGCACTGGCCTCCTGCTGTCAGCCTGTATGTGCTAAATGGGGCTGTGGTCGTGTGAGGAGACTGGTGTCAGAGTGAAGTGTAAACACTGTCAAAGAATCACTCCATCCTCCTCAGCAACAAGACCAGAAACAAGCAGAGCTGAGAGCACAGAGAGACCAGAGAGTATGGGAGAGAGAAGGGAACGGTGGGAACTGGGTGTAACTTACAATGGTCAAGACATCAACAGACTGTGCAAAATACAAGTATAAGCAATAGGGATGCACCTATACAGTACTCGGAGTGATGATAATTATTATTTATCAACATTTCATATATGAACGCTGGGACAATATATTTGGGGCTCAATAATTATCATATGTATGTTTTCTTTGTAAAAGTGGGAACCTTGGGGTATTTCTGTTGTAATACAACAAGACTGGAGCTGTAAAGGGTAGAATAACTTCTATGGCTCATTATTTGTTCATTCTGCCATTTATTTGTTGCAGCTCAGGCCTTTTGAATGATACTGTCTAGTTAAGTGGTTTACTGAGAATATCTTGCATTATTGGTATTGTGACAGTGGCATAAAATAGTTTCAGTATTATCGCTTATCTCAATATATCTCTGTACCAATATATCACTCTTCAAAATGTGTCATTACAGGCCTAGGTATTTGTAAATTGTATTTTACTTTCATTTTGGTATGTTTTGTTTTTTAAACTGTGAATGCATCACTATTACAGTTATTATCACAGTTATCACTACACTCAACCATTAAGCTGATAGATAACATTTTCATAAATGAAGCACTTAGGTCAACTGCAGTTTTAATTGAGCTGTAAAATAAATGAATTCAATAAAAAAATTAAATTAATCTAAATGTCAATGTCATGTCCACACAGGGAAATGTATGTGATGAGGACAGTTTCAGTCTGGTAAAGAATGTAACACTTTTTGATTTTTATTTGGATTGGATTTGGTGAATGGATCGGGTCAATGCATCGAACAGCTTTAGGAACAGAGGCTAAAAGATCATCTAATGTCTTTGAAACTCCTCCACTGTACAGCAGCTTCAGAACATTGTGACAGACAATTTGTTGTAGTATTATAAAATAATAGGCTATATTTGTAAGCATGCATTTTTACATCTGGTAATAACTTTATACAACTGGGGCTAAATTCATCATGGAATATTACTTCATTATAACAGCACAGCCTAAATTGTATAAATAAAATCATTACATGAAAAGACTGGTATTGGGATGAGTTTGGTATCAGATCGTGAGCCAAAAAAATTGGATTGGGACATCCCTAATTCTGTTGGCTGGTGTAAATGTATAAGACCATTAGAGCGCCCACTGTCCGTGCTGGCTTGCTCAGTGTCTCCTGCGTTCATGTTGTATTCTGGGGTCAGTGTTTGGATGAATGGAGTGTGAGTGCAGCTCTGTCCTCTCAGCACTTGTTGCTTCACTCTCACATCACAAATCTCACAGTTTTGACCCAAACGGCGTTTAAGTCATTACAGCGCGGCGCATTAGCACAGATGCACAAGAGACACAGACTGACAAACGACTTCCACCGAGCTCTGCACTGGAGATCAGCCAATAACACTGACTTTTAACAACAGTTTTACAGGAAAAGCTCTGGTTTCAGTGAAAAGCTCATTTACACTAATGAGATAACTAATGTCAATTTAAAGTTGGGGAACCAGACTTATTCTTGTAAAGAGTAAACTGTTTTTTCCACTGTATTCAACTTACAGTGTGCCCTGCTGTCATCATTCAGAGAACATATTGAGAACAAATACGTACTATAAAGCAGCTTTAAAGCCCCAGTGAATTGGTGCAGTGTGATTTGTTGGTGCACATGAAAATGTAAGATTTTACACAAATGAACCTACTTTATGCTATCAGAAAAAGGTAACGAGTATGTAGGAAATGCCACACATTTATTTCTTGAAAACTATAACACAAGACTGTAGCTTGAAATATTTCCTGTTCTTACATTGACAGATTAATAAAGCCAAACCTCCTTGTCAATGTCTGATCTCTGGTTAGTGCTTGGATGAGAGAGCACAGGGAATATCAGGTTCTACACTGCAACAGTGACTCGAGTCAAAACTGCCATTGTGTTCTTAGGCAAGATACTTCACCCATATTGCCTAGTATGTATGTGGTGTGTGCGTGAGTGTTGGTAATTGTCACAGGGGCCAATCTGCAGAGACTGGCAGCTTCACTTCAGTCAATCTGCCCCAGGGCATCTGCGGCTACAAAAGCAATTTACCATGAGCGTGGAATGAATGAATAATGCATGAAATTCCATTACACATGAAATGACTAAAATGAAGTGCTAAATAAAACTAATGCATAATAATTATTATTATCTATGCAGTAAAACACACATTCCTACCCCAGAAAAATTTAGAATGAAACTTACAGTATTTCTAAGTAATCAGTCTGTTCTGGCTAAAAACAAATATTTCCATATTTCCCATCCTTTGTTACTCATAGTGTTGGAGGGCCCAGTGTACATTGTCTCATAGCAGAGGAGGGTCCAGTCTCACTCATATCTCTGTTTCTGTTTGTGTCAGAGCTGAGATTACACATGTTCATATCTGAAACACTGCCATAAAGACAAATGAGGAGGAGGCGACGATTTAAACCTGGAGACAGAGACAGATCAGCTGGAGTCCAGTAAGAGTATACTATATACAGTTACAAAGTGTGGTAATGCAGGATTCCTCTTACAGGCCAAGTTATCTTTACTGTCATATTTTAAGGATTAAGATATATAGTGTTTAAAGGCACCATATGTGATTTTTACTGTCTTAAAACTGTGAAAAACACCAGATTATCAGACAATAAAATGCTTTTCAATTAGATGCAAACAACACATAGTGATCATAAGAACCGCTTACATAATATATGTATTGAGGCAAAACAAAGTTGGCACAAATACATGGGGAAAATGTATGTAATAATATATTGCTCCTTGGTTAGGCCCTAAAATGCTGTGCAAAGATTTGGAGAAACACAGAAAATATGAGGGCAAAGAAAGTAGAGATTAGATCTTAGGATAAATAAGATAGATACACATGGACTGATGGTTGTTTTATATTATTTGTCACATTACAGACCTAAATATGTATATTATAAAGACCAAAAATAAGACGTGAGGAGTGCTACTTTGTCTAAAGACACAATGAAATAAATGAATAAATTCCAGGAATTATTTCTCATTCATTTTTCCCAAAGACATTCTGAAAAATAAAAATATTAAATGTTTGAATGCTTGCTTGGGGCAGTATCTAATGAGGTTGAACTTTATAAACTTAAACTGAAAGTCATTAAAATATTTTGTTAAATCTTTTTAAATGTGCTGTTTGTACTTAAAACAACAGCGCTATTGATATTAGATCTGCCTCTGCAATGCCTTTGAAGTCTTAACATTTGAATTTTTCTATGGCAAATGAATGAACTTTGAAGTGGGTGGAACTGTTGAGCTCCAATGACACCCATAGTGGCATAGTAATACTGTGCTATACCTATTGACAGAGGCTCACCTTTTGTACAGTGATTTGGACTTAATTATAATTCATACTTTATTATATTTTTGTCATGAGTGTAACACTGCTCACACTGACCCCATGTTGGCTGCTCCCAGTTCACTGACGGTCTCCAGATCTACTCTGTCCAGCTCCAACTGCTGCACTGCAGTCAGAACCTTCTGCTGGTCCTCAGGCTCTGTGATCCCGATCTGAGACACAGCAACACACACACTGTGTAAATTGAGCAGTATCTAAGCTAAACTGCAAATGACAGGTTTTCATGGTTTTCTAATTATTTGGTATCTAGTAAATATTTATCACAGTTTTACATCATTTAAGTGAGAGAAAAAATGCAATTCCTCCATGTCTATGTCCACGCATTTCCAACCAGAATACATTTACACATTTTTCTGGCAGTTTAAATGTTTTAGTAAAATCCATGTTAACCCTAGACTGCATAAAGAAGTAAAATAACAAAGTCTGTCATCACCCACAGTGTTCAGCTTCAAACTAGAAAAGGCTAGTGGATATAGGAGCAAATTTAGAGCCAGTTCTACATTAGAAATAGGAATTTATTTATAGAAAAAACTGCAAAATAAAAACACCAAGACCATGTAAACCGAACAGATGAACATTGTAGACCAACAAGACCAACAAGACCAAAATGACGAGGCTCACAACTGCAGTTACAGAGTGGATGGAGCTGGAAGCGTTCCCCTGAACACTTCCTATTTGGCAGCTAAAAGGGTAGCTACGTCCATTTATATACAGTCGATGATGTTAATTTTGTTTTAGTGGAATGAGCAGTAGTTTAACATGTCAAATGCACTATTGTGGCTTTCAAAATAATCACATGATAAGCCGTTATTTTGAATAAAGTCTCTACAATGGAGGTGTTTTTTGTGGACCCAACTCCATTTTTCCAATCATGCCCCATTGAGAAACAGCTGTGTTTCCTGTAACCACTAAATTATTGCATTTCACTGAAGCGGTTTTACTCTCCACTTGACTTGTGTCAGATTATAGATTAGATTGAAATCTTGATAAATGAGTTTGTACCTTGTGGAGGTCGGTCTTGTCCATGGTGAGCAGTTGACTCCAGCTGATGTCCTGGTCCTTCAAAATAAAACAAAATGAAAGTAAGGTTCTGAAAATGAAATGACAAAGAGGATGGGCAAATATAAACATCCGTCTATTACACAGGATTTCAGTTCACCTGAGTATCACTGATATTTAAATCAAGATGTGACTCTAGTTTGATGCAGGTCAGTGACAGTTGGAGGATGGAGGAACCACTATGAGACACTATTAAAGAATGTAAACTGTACTGCAGATGTGTGAATCATATCACTGGTTCACACATCTGCAGCTTCAGTGAGCGTGGAGGTGCTAACTGAAGCTCGCAGAAGCTAACAGACTCACAGTGATTATGTCAGTAAGGTAGCCCAGGCCCAAACCGTGAAACAGAAGCTCCAGTTCATCCAGTTTGCTAGCACTGAAAAAGACACAGAGAAATAAATTGCAAACTAACATTCTGTGTGCTCACTTAATATCGCTACTATATAGGGTATCCCCAGGTTTGACTATCCCAAATTTAAGACTTTTTAAAGACCTTTTTAAGACCACTTAAATGAAAATTAAGACCAACATTGTACCTATTATGCAGGTGAAAAACACCAGCTCCAATTCTAGTAATGACCAACCAACTACAGAACTGTATCTAGACTCTAAGAGACCTACACTTCCCCATCATCCATCCAACGTCTTCCTCCACTGTACTGATTGTTTACTCATTGCCGCCGGTGCCAGAAACCAAAGTATTGTTTACACATATTTCAAATTAGATGTTCATTCAAGTTACGTGATTTCACGTTGTCGTTTTTTTTTCTCTCCAACATTGCACTGCAGCCTGATTGAGTATACAAAAAAATAGGTTAATGAAATTTAAGACCTTTGTGAAAAATAATAAGACTTGGACAACATAATTTAAGACTTTTAAAGGCCTTAATTTAGGAACATGAAATTTAAGATCTTTTTAAGACTTTTAAGACCCTGATATAAGTTGGGTTCATGTAACATTTTTACATTTAAAAATCACAATAGTAAAAACTGAGCTGCAGGACAGGGCCAATCCCAAACAAATAATGATAAGGTTCAAAACTTACGAATCATAACTTTGGATATTTATATATACTTACAATTTGCAAGATATGCAAGATCTTTTGTTGAATATTTTGACATAATTTTTAGTAAATAAAATGTCACCTTTAGTATGTGACCATGTTAGTAGTAAATCAAACATTCAGAACTATATTAATTCTCTTTTCTGAGCAGTTTAAGTTCTTTTGTATTCCATGATTGACTTCTTGCACTTGTGCACCTACTTCATTCTGTCCAATAGTAATGAATTATAGCACTTCTGCTTCCTCTTTCCTTGGATTTTAACCTTTAACCTCTGAGAACAACCAGAGGATCAAACGCTTTGAGGGAAAAGTGTCAATGATGAACGTTTTTTTAAATAAAGTTGGTGATGAATGCTTTGAATGACTTTTTTTCATCAGAGTGTTTCTATGGTGATTTCTCTCGACTGTCTGAACCGATAAACACAGAGCTGGAGTTTATTATTGTTTATGTCTCAGACACCACATGCTGTTCACTCACACAGCAGCAGGGGGCAATATAAAACAGGGAGTGCAATGATGTAGTACAGGTCTACACAATTATATTATTATATTTAAATGATGTTTTGAAGCAATGCAAAATTTTAAAATCAAATATATAATCTATAACAGAGCTTCTAAACCTTTTCACACAAAGTACCAAGATAATATTTGGCTTTCAGAGTAATCTAAACCCAGACTTTATAAGGCCTACATTTGGGCTAAATCAGACCTAAAACAGCACAAAAGGGAGTTCTAAATAATCATTAACCCAAACCCAAATAAATTTGTCACGAAGCAAATCTTTCAAACTAGGGCACAAAGTAATAGTTCTGCTTTTTTGGTTGAATTTTTCGGTCCATTCCCTTTTGGGCTACCATGAAACCTCATCATTCACTGTCAAAAATATTAGAGTTAAATGCTGATGATTTCACAGTCTGTCTTGTTTATGTTCAAGAAACTAATATTTAAAGACATTTATTAGTTTTTAAAGAGAAAATAAAATCTAATTGAAAATCTGTATTGATTATGAGGAAAAAAAGATTTCACCAGTCTTGAGATTCCTCTGAGAAGAATGGATAGGCACAGGGGTTTTGGTTGGAAGTGGATGTCAGTATCCTAGCAATCTGAGAGACAAAAGATCAGAGAAAAGATAGAATTAAAACATTGAATACAAACGTCCATGAACCTGTGTATGGTATAGAAGACAGTATTACACTAAACTGATTTTGTGTTCTAATGTTCCCTTATCAAAAACATGCCTGAAGAGGTTTAAGATGCCATTCATGCATGTTTGCCCACAAGCCTACATCACCTATTCCACACAACAATTTTTCATAAATATACAAAAACATGATACAAAACAATACACTACAACTGGTAAACTAAACATGCAATGTGTTAGCATTCTCCGTTAATACCCCATAGACGTGTGATATGGTATACCACTTCGAAGCACAGATTTATTGTAATGCAGTGATATTGATAAACAACCTGTGTATGTTTTAACTGCAGTGCCAGATCTGTTGCGGTTTTCCCGAGTTTGGTCTTGAGGTTTTTATCGGCTCCGAGCTGCAGCAGTTTGAGTACAGACTCCTCTCGGCCATACTGCACAGCGTAACACAGGGCCTATATGAAAACAACACAATGCAAGGCAATGAATATTTAATAGGCCTGGTTTAGTCCCTTGTTTAGTCTCCTGGTTTAGTCCAGGTGGTTTAGTCCTAGTTTAGTCCCTGGTTTAGTCCCTGGTGGTTTAGTCCCTGGTGGTTCAGTCTCTGGTGGTTTAGTCCTCGTTCAGTCCTGGTGGATTAGTTCTGGTAGTTTAGTCCTGGTGGCTTAGTCCTGGTGGTTTTGTCCTGGTGGTTTAGTCCTGGTGGTTTAGTCCTGGTGGTTGAGTCCTGGTGGTTGAGTCCTCATTTAGTCCTGGTGGTTTAGTTCTGGTAGTTTAGTCCTGGTGGTTTAGTTCTGGTAGTTTAGTCCTGGTGGTTTAGTTCTGGTAGTTTAGTCCTGGTGGTTGAGTCCTGGTGGCTTAGTCCTGGTGGTTTAGTCCTGGTGGTTTAGTCCTGGTGGTTGAGTCCTGGTGGTTGAGTCCTCGTTTAGTCCTGGTGGTTTAGTTCTGGTAGTTTAGTCCTGGTGGTTTAGTCCTAGTTTAGTCTCTGGTTTAGTCCCTGATGGTTTAGTCTCTGATGGTTTAGTCCTAGTTTAGTCCCTGGTTTAGTCCCTGGTGGTTTAGTCCCTGGTGGTTTAGTCTCTGGTGGTTTAGTCCTAGTTTAGTCCCTGGTTTAGTCCCTGGTGGTTTAGTCCCTGGTGGTTTAGTCTCTGGTGGTTTAGTCCTAGTTTAGTCCCTGGTTTAGCTCCTGGTGGTTTAGTGCCTGGTGGTTTAGTCCTAATTTAGTCTGAGTGGTTTAGTCTCTGGTGGTTTAGTCCTCGTTTAGTCCTGGTGGTTTAGTTCTGGTAGTTTAGTCCTGGTGGTTTAGTCCTGGTGGTTGAGTCCTGGTGGTTGAGTCCTTGTAGTTTAGTCCTGGTTTAGTCCTGGTTTGTGCAGGTGGTTTAGTCCTAGTTTAGTCCCGGTTTCTCACAGTGTATCCGTTCAGATCCTGGGCATTGACACTGGCTCCATGGGACACCAACAGGTTGATGACTTTAGAATAACTGCTTCTGGAGGCCAACATCAGGCACGACATATGAGACCTGCAACACAACAATATTGAGACAGTCAAAGTGAATTGATGACACAAACTATGGCTGAATAATTTGGTAAAAATATATGATCTATTCATGTTTTAATAATAGGATTCTGTTCAAAGTTCAGTCAGAAAATTACTGAAATACAGTATGAACAGACAAAATAATACAAGAATCACATTTCAGAACATGCTTGTACAGATCTAAACTACAGTTTTCATGCAAAATAAGACAAGATATTTTGTTGCTTGTGTAGGAAATTGCATTACTTCAACAACTGCAGCCTTTGAGATCTGCTAATTGCATCCATTCAATTAATAACATGGTCACTTTGAAGCTCTAAAACTAATAAATTAATAAAAATATGTTTGAAGCAATGTTTCGAAGAGGACAGTGTACTGCCATATAATAAAATTAACATTATTGCTACACATTATAATACTGTGATAAACATGATGTAGATCATTATGGAAAGAAACAACTGATATAACAGTGAAACTATTCACACATCTAAAAGGTCTTAAAAATATTTAAAAGGTATTCTACAACTGATTTTACTTTCCATAATTTTGCATATCATAGCCACGTTAAGAGCACACAGTATACTGTATGTAGTGCATTCATTGTAGTAGTAGTAGTAGTAGTAGTAGTTTTGTAGTTAATCAAACCACATGGGGGCAGCACTAAAACATCTACATTGGACTACCATGCCATGAAATTATTTGGGCAACAAAAAAGGAACCAAGCTACTGAATTCTGGACAATGGAGATAATGGTTAGAATTTTGGTTAACACCTGAATACAGTGCATTACAATTATTATTTATTATTTACATTAATCATGGCGAGAATTGATAAAAGCATGAATAACTTGGAAGGGTGATGATGCTAAAGATGGCAGAAACAGACTTGGACAACACAATTTGTTTGACCTCTAAAAGACAGACTCAAAATTGAACAAGGTACAAAGGTTTTTCATTTAGGCTTGATATTAAAAGCCAAACCCCTAGATCTTAGTGCACTGCCAAATTCTGGGTCTCCAGAATTACCATAGCTTTTTTTTTTGTTATTAAAGCAGAGGTCAATCAGTTAAGCAGTCTGAGCTGGAAGTGCTGACTGGCATGTCAGTTTGTTTGACTGTATTAATTGCCAAAGATACAAAGTAAAAAAGGCCTAAAAGCCTTGGAGGAAACCATACTTTAGGCTGGAAAGTGCAGAGTGTGTATTGTTAAAAGTCACATAAAATTAGCAGTCATCAAGAAGAATTAAAATAGACTGTTCATCAGAGTGACTAAAAAGTGACTAAAACTACATTAAATGCCATTGTTGATGAGTGAGATGTTTTAGAAGTTTGTGTGTTTGTTTAAATGTGACCAGGTTTATGACTAACTCAGCTCCGGTCCTTATCTGTGACGCAGAGAAAGTGTAAATCTATCACACAGGGACAGCGCTGGGAATGTCGACATTATTAACGCGTTTAAGGAAGTACTAGGGAAAACACTCACACATGTGAATAATCACTTCATGTTTAACTACAGTAAAAGTGACTGAGAGCTTAAGGAAGTTAATAAAAGTAAAATGACGTGTTCTTGGAAACTGTAAGCTATGTGAATATATTATGTCTAACAGCCAATTATCCATCAAGGTGTGTCTTTGTCATAGCTCAGCTCAGATACAGTGTACTCAAAAAAGTAAAAGTACTGATTTGAAGTAACATAACAACAATATTAAGATGATAATATGTGAAACCAAAAGCTGTTGATGTTAAAACATGTCTTTAAATGTATTGGTTGAGGTTTAAAGCCCCACTGCATAGAGAGAAGACATCTTTACATCTTAACTGGGCTTACATCTCAACAAACTTGACTTTTCATTTTATTTGGCCAGGAGGAGGGTGTCTTCCTGCTTGTTTCCATGGAAATGTTGTTTCTTTGGCTATGATATTCCAACTATAGTATAATATTTTAGATATTTTTATTAAACAATATACCTGAATTATACTGACATTTAAAAAAGCCCTATGATGGTAAGTTCTGCATATTATGTTCTACAGTGGAATCCAGGTGTGTATGTTCTCCACAGAGAGCCACAGACCCCCCATGGAGTTCAGCCCGAGATGTTTACCTCAGATCTCCATGACACATCTGTATAAAACATCTGTATCAAACATCTGTGTAACCCTCTGCATCAGTGTGTTAGACATGTGGGCACAATCAGAGCAGAGACGTCACACTGGACGGAAGCAGAGCCCAAACACTCATTTATTTACTCAACACTTCACTGAGAGACAGAGGGTGAGACCAGGGGGTGAAACCAGGAGTGAAACAGAGGGGGGCAGGAGGGAGGCCAGGGTTAATTTGGGCTTCTTTGAAGAATATTTCGAGTTGGACTTGGTCATGTATTGAAATATTTCTCATATATGTTTTTAAATTATAACTTTTATCATCTTTTATTGTACATTGCCTTTGTAAACACGCTTTTCCCAATTCTTCAGAGCCCTTGGTGGCAGAGAGGAGAGGGGCATGTTTATGAGCATATAAATTAGGGTTGTCAAAAGTATTAAAAAAAAGAAAAATCTGATACTAAATGATACAAAAACTAGTATAGAAATTAGATACTCATTTGATAGTAAAATGCAGTGTTTACGTGACATTAGATATACAACATTCCAGATGCCAGTTACAAAAATTATTTTCATGACTCATGTGAACTTGAGTGTGTGTGTGTATTGCCTTGAGGAGGTGGCTGAAAACTGCCTGTTCTGGAGCTGTCACCATGTTGCACTAGTGGCAACCGCAAATTGTAAAATGTGAATGAAATTTTAGTATCGTGACACCAATAAATATATGTGAGCTGTGTCATAACCATTCCCTGATTTATGAGGAAAATGTGAACAGAACAGTCCAATGGAGAGTCAGTCCTGAGCCGTTGTGACTGCAAGTGCCACTCCACCCATACACAAGGAGAACATAGAAAAGAACCTGTCAATTTAATTGAGTCTGTCTGGGAATCGGACCCATCACCTTGTTGCTGTGAGGAGAGCCCCACATCAGGCTGGTTCTCCACAGACTGACCGTGGGCCACTCCATTTCCACTGCATTCTCCCCAAATCCTCTTAAAATTGACTCAAATATTTGGTTTATGAACAAAGTGCTCTGCCCCCTAGGAGCCTTCAGTCTCTGTATGTGGTGGGTTGCAGTTATGGGTCTGGTAACATGCACATATGGTCCAGAAGAGCACATGTGAGTCCTGCATGGTCATTACAGATACCAAATAACTAACGTGTTTCATCGTTTCATTATGCCATTAATTAACAATTTATAAATACTATGTTTTATATAAGGCTTTTAGGCATAATCCTGTGTTAGGGTTCTTGTGTCAGAGGTATAAACTTCTTTCAGTATTATCATTTATTGTCTATTTTCTTCAGCAAAACAAGACAAGCACTGCACTAAAATTTTAGACATTTAAATTTTTGACACTTAATTTTTTGGTGACACAATTTTTGTAAGTGGGTGTGGTTATCCTGCTTAATGCCACAGTATGTAGCTATTTTTGCCAAAAAATAGACTAAAATAAATGCATTTTTTTCCGTGATGGGTGTTTTTATTGGACTAAAAAACAGAACATGCGTCCTTACACTAAGTGGGTTTGCATCTCCATAAACCTGACACTTACTTGGGCTGAAGGAGGATTCCTTCTTGCTTGTTTCCATGGAAATGTTATTGCTTTGGCTATAATATTATACAGTAACAGATTCAAAACATATCTATCTCCATGGAGAATAAAGTGTGGCTTTAACTTTTCCATTTCCAGGTAAACTGCCATCTCCAAAAAGTTACATAGTGTTACCTTAAGTTCAATATTACAGTTTATCAGGATATTTTCTGTTGCAATATATCACACTTGGAGATGTGTTATGGTGACAGGCTGACGTCGATGTGGTTTTGTGTGAGAGTTGGGTGCGATGTTGATGCTTAGAGTGGCAGTGTCTCAGCCCAGTAAACAATCACATTTCTGAGTAAAACTGAGCTGCGTTTGAAAGCACCGCAGGAATCCCACATATTTACAGATATTTACTACGGTTGGAGGATCGCATGAAGGCACCAGGAATGTGAGCTCCAGTGTCCAGAGGAGAACACAGAGGTTTACTACAGAGGCATGAGACAGAGGAGAGCAAACTGTCAGAGAAAGCAACAGAGCAGAGAGTGATGACAGCTCGTGGTCAGGCTAACCACAGGCTGAGGGAAAAGCTGCAGTTAAACAAGGGTGATATGGTGAAAAAAATACTACGATTTACTTGGAGCCAGATCATGATTTAGACTGTATCATGAATCGTGTATTTTTCTATTGCTTTAAGAGGTGGGGCTGCAAGATCAAACACAATCAAATAAAAAGCGCAATTTGAATGGATGCAATTAGCAAACCACAAAGGCTGCAATTTTTGAAGTATTGTAATTTCCTCCACAAAAACAAAATATCCTGCCTTAGTCTGCATACAAAATGGCTAACCCTGTAGATTAGATCGTACAAACACTTTTTGAAATGTAATTCTTGTAGTAGTTTGTCAGTTCATATTTCAGTCTTTTTGTTAATTCCTTTGGACACATTTATACTTTGAACAGAATCCTTTAATCAAAACATAAATAGCAAAGTGTGGTGTACCTGTCCACTATGTTGGGGTCTACGTTCCTGGACAGTAGAAGCTCCAAACAGCTGCAGACCTTTTCTTCAGGGACAGAGGCCGTGCAGCAGGCCATCAGCACCGTCCAGTTATCTGAGAAAAAGGGGGGAAACGTTTAGTGAGCACAACTGAATTCATAACTTTGTCTAAGGGAGTTCAAGAATATATTAGTACCACAATTGTTCATTAAATTCATACTTGTTTCATAGACTATGAAGCATCAAGAACCACATCTTGATGCTTTATAGTCTGTGACACACATCTTTTGAAGTTGTGGTTGCCATCTTGAGGACCAACAGACAATCAAATATGGAGCTGCGTGCCAAGACTTGAGGGGCTCATAGTGACAGTCATCAATATGGCACCTAATGACAATTTAAAATCAATATACAGAGACTGTACTTAAATAATAAATAAAGTTAATACATAATATTCAAATTAATAATATTTAGCTGGATGTAAAGAAAAGTGCACTATGTAACTTTTTGGTTGAGGGGCCATCACCTGCTTGTTTCTATGGATTTGTCATTGCTCTGCCCGGATTGTTCCACAGTATGACTTTAAGCAGCTCTGTCTTACCTTTATTCAATTACAGGTGGTTTTATAGCTCAAAAATACATAGAAAAAAATGGCATTATGACTGTGAGCGGGGTTTCCTCTCCACAGATCTGACCTGTAACATGGTCTGGTTTGGTTTCCATGAAGATAAAAGCAATAATCTCCATAAAAAAAAAGCATCTGACAGACCCTCCACTAGAAAAGTTACACAATGCACTTTTAAGATAAAAAGCCTGTGCTGGTCCAGATTATTTTATCCCAGTGTAGTCTGGATATCCATGACTCAAATCAAACCTTTTATGCTATTTTTGAGTTGACAGCTAAAGATCTACCTTGTCCTGACCTGAAGGTTCACTCAGAGTCCACAGAGGTCAGGAGTGTCTGAGGAGCAGAGCTGGACTTCCTCACATACTTTACCTGTTACCACGGCAACCGAGGGAGCTGACCCCGGCCTCAATGTACACATTTGCTTTTCCTTGTAATTTTTACTGCAAAACAAATCTGAACAAGGAGCATTTAAGAGCACTCCAGTCTAAAGCAGGTTTAATGTTGGTCCAAAAACAGGTCACTATGTAATCTTCTGGAGGCTGCACGTCATTAGAGAGTTAAACCATACTCCAGAAGTCATGCCATCTGCCATGGAGATATTTGTTTTGTCATACTGTGGAATATTTCAGCCAAAGCTCCATGGAGATAAGCAGGAAGAGGCCCTCCTTCAGGCCAAAAACAAAAAGTTCCTTTAAAAAAAAAAAAAAAAAAACAGCAATAAAAATGCTTATGTTTTTGTGTATTTTTTTGGCTAAAAAGTTTAATGAAGGAAAAAGCTAACTAAACTAGCTAACTAAACTAGTTTACAAGTCAAATTTTAGGTCTAAATGAGGACTAAGCATGGACTAAACCGCATATTTACCAGGAGTAACTCAGAACTAAACCAGATCTAATCCAGGTCTAAATGAAGAGGAAACTAGGACTACAAAGTTTTTGATTTTGTTAGGTGAATCCTTGTTTAGTAAATCCACTGCCTCTAAAATAAACATGTGAGTTTGAATTTTCCAGGATTGTTGACAGGTGAAAGTTCTGTTGTTCAGGTTCATAAATCGAAAAAGTTGGTAAGGCTACCTGGGGCTTGTTAACTGAATAATAATAATTGTCCCTTTTTCCAGATGTGTCCTAACCCCAGTTTCCAGTATTGGAGCACATGTCTAGTCTATTGTCAGAAGACATTATTTTAAGTTCTAAAACATGAAATGCCAAAGGTACTCAAGAGCATATTTAACGGTCATTAACAATACAAATAATGCATAATATTGGTTCTTTAACGTGAATGGTAGTTGCAGTTAATTTTCTCCTCCCAATATCTGAACTATTGGCTTATAAATGCCTGTTTGCCAGGTTTGGTCCTTTCACCTGATTTTGATTTTCCTTTGACGCCAGACTCTGAGCTGAAGTGTGGATCATATTAAAATAAAAGAATCAGATGCACGTGTTCGAATAAGGCAAGTCTTTGGTAAATTAATGTGTTTATTAAACTTCATTTGACAGAAACAGGGCTTCTACTGCTCACTACTCAGGGGCACCTAGCGAGACCAGAGCTTTCTAAAGTCATTTCAGAGCCACGTTTAACATACAAATCATACGTCTTTATCATTCACATCATATTTATTACTTGTTTGCATTTATTTAACTGAAAAAAACAATAATATTTTTTTGTCATTTTAAGGTTTTACTCTCAAACAGTAGGGCTTCAAGATTAATCAAAATGAAATTACAATTATTAAACATAGGATTCTTATATTAGTTTTGTTCCAATTTCAGTCTTCTCTCAAATGTTAATGCTTTTTTTAAAACGTGAATTTTGAACAAAATCCTACTATCTAAACATGAATTGAAAATGTAATTGTAGTCGCAATACTCATCAGAAAAATCACAATTATATATTTTTCCAAAATCGTGCAGCCAACAGTAACCAATAGTATGCAGTCTTTCATTTATATACTTTATTGATCCCACTGGGGAACTTAATCCTCTGCATCTGACCCATCCTTCAATGCCGCTGGGTTAAACCTATCATGAGCAGTGTGATCCATCTGCAATTCCTAGGTTAGGTTTGGTCAGGACTACCTAGCTGAAGGAGTTCTGAACATGCATTGTTCTGCATTTGAGGCTTGAGTACTCTGAAAATATCCCTTTTCGCATATCCCCTATCTCCACCCACTCTACTTGCCATTTTCAAATAATAGATAAAAAAAAGATTTTAAGCCACAGTATGCAACTGTTTAGCCAAAAAATAAACTGAAATAAAAGCTTTTTTTTTTTTTCTGTTGTGTTTATTGCACTGAAAAACTTGCAAGACTGCTCCCAGTAAGGATACATCTCCGCAAACCTGGCTCTTATATAGTTTTACCCATCTACATGAAGAATGTTCCAAAAGTACAGTTTTAACTTTCTATTTCCACTAAATCATGCAGGTGGCATGCCTCCTGATAGTTATATACTCTGCCTTTAATAATAAATATAAAATTGTTTACAATGCCCTTTGATGTTTATGTATTTTACTAAACTTTCTAAATATTGTTTCTAATGTTATGAATAAAGAGGAATCTAAAATATCAAAACAAGAAAAAAAGTAAGATTTTTTTTATAATACATTTTCTTTTGTCCATTCATTCCTTCTTTATTATTTGCTGAAGAGAGAAGCCCTGATCCTGGTCACGTCTAAACTGAGGGTGCCCAGACTGTTCCTTGTGAAGAGATTGATAACTGGTTTGTCACAGAGAAGTTTATTTACTCCAGACCTGAACAGACGCAAAAGCAGCCGAGCGGTTTACTGCCCCAGCTCAGTGTAAACAAAGAAAGAGGGCAGAGAAAAGAGAGAGAGAGGAGAACAAGAGAGGAGAGAGAGAGAATGATATGGGAGAAGAGGAGAGGAGGGGGAGGGAGACAGAGAGAAAAGAGAAAGGGGGAGAAAGGAAAGGGGGAAAGAGAGACAAGGTCTAAGTTTAGTACAGCCCTATCAGAATGGCACTGTACCTGATTTTTATTGTTTTAATGCAGACCTACGCAAAAATTAAATGATAACATAACGATTCACCAGTGACATAGATTATAGCTATATAGGAGGCTCAAGCACACAATGTCTTCCTTAAAAAAAAAAAAAACAAAAAAAAACTTCAGTTCTATTTGTTCAGTTATTCCCAACTTTCCTGGCATCCTAATTATTCACTGTGATGAGTTTAAAATCACTTTTCACAACATGCTAACAACACACTTCCTGATTTCTGGGCAATAAAAATACTTGACACCATAATTAGATGCAGTCAGCACAGATTGGTCTCATTTTAACCCAAGAGCTGCTTATGCAATAGGTTTAGATGGACACAAATCAGATAGCAGAAGTGCTTAAAATGCAGAAATGATTGCACTCTAATTTATTTGTTTAATTTTAAGGTATCTAATATGTTAACAGTAATAGAATAATCAAAGCCAATTTTTTTATTTATTTATTTTTTTTCAATTTTGGTGATTTTTTTGTATTATGCTCCCAATCCAATTATCTGATCTCATTTTTCATTATTTGTCGTTTTGGAGGTAGGGAACTTAAATCTAAAAACACACGAAGAGCATGTAAACTCCACAACACCAAAAAGCCCCATTCAGTTTAGGAGTAGAACCTGGGACCTTCTTACTGTGAGGGGTGAGTGTCTTAGTGCTCTGACCTTTGCTGAAGTTGGCACTGGCTCCCCGGTCCAGCAGCATCTTGGTGAGTTCGGGGTTTCCACCACTGACAGCACACATCAGAGGAGTCCAACCATAGTCCAGTATACTGTCCACATCCAGGCCTGAAAACATGACAGGATTACTAATGAACTCTCAGTGTTTCCCAACAATAGAAGAAACTGTGGTACCCTCCATAGTCATATATAGTCCCTGGTTTCAGATGACATCATAACTTTCTATAGGCAAATAACATTTAATACAGATGGGAGCAGGTATAACGAATATTACTAAAATGCAGAATTTTGTTGTAATACAGTGAGTTCTTTGATCTATTTGCTTATAGAACAAATAATGATCAGGTTCAACAAACAAGATGAACAAAAAAAAGGTCAATCTAATTATACTTTTTGTGTTGTCATTAACATATTTGAAGTAACTATATTCAATCTGTAATCAGTCTTTTATTAATAAGTGACATATAAGTGACAATTATGCCACCAATGCCTCAGTATACACCTATGGGAAATATTAACTTCCATTAAGGAGACATCTGCAAAATTAACAGGCATCCCTCTGTACTCTTATCTAATCTTCTTTCTTCTCTTTCCCACTCTTTCTTCTTTCTCCCTTCAGTCATTATCTTTCAGATCTTTCTTTTCTCTTTCTCTCTCTTTCCCTCTTTTCCTTCTCTCTTCCTCCATTTCTAACTCTCTTCCCTTTTTCCTAGTATCATCTACTGTGTCTCCCTTTTGTGCTAAGGCTTATCTACCGTACCATTATCCAGTAGTTGTTCCACTGTCTCTACATCTCCTTTACTGATGGCTTTCTTCAACAAAGACACTTTGTTGTCTTCAGCAGAAGCAGCTTCAGAGTCAGCTTCTTTCTGCCAAAACATCAAATGGCAAACAGTTTCAAAGGTATAATTACAAGCAAAATAATTTAGGCATGATTTATGATGCTAGTAATTTCATAAAAAAACATTACCTAAACTGACCTGGTGGTGTCTTCCCTGGCGCCATGAGCTTTTCATATTAATTAAGAAATATTTCTGCTCTAGCTGCAGTAAAGAACTTTTTCAAAGGGTCTCAATGGAAATTGAACTGCTTTGCCTGGAATGTTCTACATTCATGCAATAAATGTATCCATATCTAAAGCAAGAGGCAGATGGCACGATCAGGTTAAGTAACAGGTCACATCTGTGGAAAGGCAAGCCCGCCCACAGTAAGAAAGCATGTGTTTCAAGGTAACTGAATAAATATTATATAGTATAGATATGTTTAAAGCCATACTACTGAACATTCCATAATATTTCACATAGATGAGGGTAGGGCTGGGTATCATTAAGAAGTTGTAGATACAACACATACCTCAATACACAGGCCATAATACGATATGTTTTTCGATACAGTGCACTTTCGATATAATACAATATATTTCAAATCAAGTTGATACAGTTCAATGGAAAACAAATGCTAAAAGTCTATTAAGTCCACTAAGTCTGTACAAAGTTAATAACAAAAACACTAATTGTATTCAAAACAGTGAAAATGTCAACACAATAGTAACTTAAACAAAATTATTTAGGAAAATATAACTAAAAATACTCTTAGCAATATATCGATACAGTGCCGATATCGTATGCTGCTGTATCATCAAATTAAACAATACGATTTATCGATATTTCAATATTTTTTCACACCCCTAGATTAGGGGCAGCTAAAAAAAATTTTTTTAAATTTGTTGTTAAAATGCTGATTTTTGTTGTATTGCAGTGAGTACTTAGGTCCAGTCACTAAAAGAACTCATCAGGTGAATTCACTTTTTGGATATTTTGAGACAAAGTTCAATGTAATGAATAGAAACTGTCTCTTGCCCATTCGGAGTGCGACATAATCACATTCTAGCATCTGAAAACCACCAATTGAGCAGTAAATAGAATAATTAAAATACAGCTACGCTTCTCTTGTGTAAATCTCACCAACATTATGATATCGACATTACAATGATAAGTTAGCGCCACAGTTAGCAGCATGTTGACGTTAGCTGTTAGCGTTTAGCAGATGGCAGTTCCCACGCTGTATAAAGTTCTGGCCAAAGTTAAGATTATTTTATTCGTGTACCTTTTTAGTTGAAGGCTTTTTGTCCGGGAAGCCGATGTCCCACTCATCGCTGCTGAAATCACTCTCCTCTCCAGCGGGAAAGGCGAACTCCAAAGACACCATCTTTTCAGGGCTAATTCAGGTGAGCGGCCAGGGCAGGGCGAAAAATATACTTTAACTTTAGCATTTAGCCTAGCACCGCATATTTGACCGAAAACTATAGAAATATACAACTTAGTTTATTAAAGATTAGAATGCAAATGGAGATTTTATATTTTATCTAGATTTTATATTTTCTTGAGATTTTATAATTTATTGAGATGTTATATTTTATCTAGGTTTTATATTTTATTGAAATTTTATATTTTATTTATTACTTATTTTTCTATTTTATTTTGACTTATGCATATACATTTAGATCATGCCTTATTTGACACCTCTTGCTATGGTTTTTGCTACTTATTTAGAATGTGTTATTACCATTTATATTTTTTCACTTTTACTCGTTATTATATTATATTGTGATAAGTGAGCTACTGTGTCCATATAAGTTCCCTTGCGGATCAATGAAGTTTGTCTAAGTCTAAGATGCATAATACAAAAGCTTTTCTTTTTTGACCGTCACTAACAGCTTTGGGTCAAGGGCTAGCTGGAGGCTTCTAGTTTAGCGCGTAAAAAACGTAAGACGCGCCTGTTTTGCTGGAAGGATAAGTCACTATCAAAAATAATGTAAAGACGATTCAATTCAACAATCAACAACGATATGTGGCGCTGTAAGTATCAATGTATAACAAAAAAAAAAAAAAATAGAAATGCAATTAAATGTGCTATAGTCCTACTAGTCCAAATGGTAGGGTAAACAGACGTTCCTATTCACCCAGTCCCAGTTTTGAGCAATGTGTCCCCTGTCCCAGCAGATTTATACAAAACCAATGAGTTATCCTAGGTTTATAATACAAGAAATGTCACAGTTGTCCCTATTTTTGACCAATTTGATCTACACCAAGTCTAAACCAGGACTAAACTAAGATGAAACCAGGACTACATCAGGTCTAAAACAGGACTAAAACAGGACCATCACAATTTTTGACTAATCTGATCCCTGCCAACAGTAAAGAGGAGCATAAATTGTCATTTGTTTAGCCACAAAATAGAAAACCGTGTTTGCTAACGACCATAAATGCGGTGACAAAAGTTCCTCAACTTATGACTGACAAGAGAATGCACAATTTTACACGCTCTCTTCACGATTTACCATCCAAACCCGGGTGTGTCCCAGTTTAGAACTTTGAAAATCAAGTCACCCTACGAAATAGTCCTATCCTTTTTTGTTGGCACTTCTTCCACACAGTTTTTTGTCACGTTTTATGCCCTTTTAGCTATGTTTTTTATTAAATCGAAGTCCAAATAATGCACATTTATAATATAGTATTATATTATGTAGTATTGATCTTTTTCTCTCCTTAGTTGCAGTGAAGGTGGAAGCTGCAGAGAGAGGTGCAGAGACGTGCCATAACCAGCAGAGAGCGCTCCTTCATTCGGATCCCATTCTTTTCCTTGTTTCTTCAATGCAGGTGCTTTCGTGAGAATTATACCAAAACGGCAGAAAACAAAATATATTCAGTTGGAAAAGTCTATACCAACAACACTATATTCTTATATTCTGTTCTTACATTTGGCTGAATAGGACTTTGCTTGTTCAAAGTTGTTTTTTTTTTTTTCTTTTCCCCAGCAAATTCCCTTTTTATGTTAGCAGCAAAGAACTTCAATAATGCATAATCCAGTCCAATCACTTTCTGACAGTGAGTCTAGGTAGGCCTATAGACACAAATTATTGTATCAAGACTTAATTAAAGCCCCCCTGTGTAATTTTATTGTCAGATTAGATTAAATAAAACTTCATATGTGGCTGTTTTATTTCACAAACCTGACTCAAATGTGGCCTTCAGAAATGACTCATCACCTTATCACCTGAACTTTCTGTTTTCATGCAGTGCAGTTAAGGTGCTGCTACCAAAAAGTTAGACAGTTGCATTTAATTATTTATACATGACTAAAATATATTGAAGCTATTGATCCTCTTACTATAAAAACCTGTCAGTATCTATTAATCATCTGCGGGAACTGACTTCTTATCTGTGTTCCCAAGAGGAATGCATTGTGGTTCAGTTTTGATCCTCCCTTCACTCCAAGCTCTCCAGAAACTAAAAGGAGATAAAAAGTTTAATTTGTAAACGTCTCGCTTCCACTGGTTTAGTCAGAGGTGCTGTATCTGACGTTTTATGAGACAGACAGAGAGAAGAGCCAGAGGAGTAAGACTGGGTGTGATGGTGGCACTTGACAACCACTACTACTACTACTGCTACTACTACTTCTACTACTACTACTATTAAAGTTAGTTGATCTTGTTTGCTTCCCTAAACGCATAGTTAGACCCCCCGCCCAAAAAAAAAAAAAAAAAAAACTCGTGTTGAAATTGGAGATTTGGATAAGATTACAGATAAACCTATTTCAGTTTGTATCTATTTAATCTCTAGTTGTTTGTTTATTAAACATTTGACGCACTCCCAGTGTTTTAACGCACGCGTCTAATTTGTAAAACTCAATTTGCATATGAATCACGTGACTTTGTACTTATTCATTAATTGCTTTGGCGTTTCCCGTATCTCGGTTTGGGATCGGCGTCTACTCATAGTGCAGTTTATGCCCGTGCGTCAGATTGCGCGCACACATGTCTCTCCTTTTCTCTCTTGTGTTTGGATGTTTGGGGATGACGTGCGCGTTCACAGCGGGCTCATAAAAGATGGGACAGTCCTGTTTGTGCCACTGAATGCGACAAGTTTTGGACAAGTGACTGGCAACAACACAAGCGAAAACACAGCAGAAGCAACCGACAACTAAAACACCAACTTTTGGGATTACTTTGAAATTATCAGCGTGTTTGAACGGTATTTTATGTGGCAACAAGGATCTTTTTAAAGTGCATTTTATTTGGACAAAGTGAACGGTGCAGCCGGAACTGAAGGATTTTAAAAGCCCATAAAAGGAGACCAATGTAAGAGGTGGTCAGGTGCGCGTGAGGATGCAGAAATCGCCCGTGGAAGATGCCAACTTCTTGTCCAAATACTTCTTTTGGTAAGTCTCTCAGAAGCGACTCAAGAAGTTATTTACAGCGTTTAGAATTTTTATTTTAACAACAGACAGTTGGAAGAACGTTTTGGAAACTTCAGAGAGACCATAACGCGTGGATGAACATGGAGTTTAAAAAGTTTAAATCGATCGTTTTTAAATAACTTACGACATATATTTTTAATCGCAAAACACATTGCAAGAACATAAGTTATTTTGTTAATTTCAACCACGTGCTTTGTACAGAACCCTGTTTCATACCGTTTGATGCCATGCGTAAACGTGCGTAAAGTTTCTGTCACTTGTGTCGTTATTGAGTTAAGCAATATTGCCCATTTAAATATAGTTATTAGCCTATTTAAAAATCGAATTAGTAACAGCACAATATTTATTAGTATTGTTTAACTTTTGTCATTTTAATTAACAGCTGTTTTCAATATGGATCCTTCACAGTGTCACAGTAATTAAACATTTTTGTAAATACTTTGGAAGCTTGAACTTGTATATTAGATGTTGCCAGTTTAACATGTGGCAACAAAGGTCACACCATGCAAAAGGTAGAGTTCTTCAAATCGTGACTGTCATTCTATTACACTATCTGTTTGAGCATAGATCTTTGTTGTTTGTTACGTTTTTGCAGCTGTTGACTTTTCTGTTTAACTTCGTGTCCTGTTCTGAGATAATGAACCTTTGCTGAGTCTGGAATAGTTTTCATGTGACCAAGAAAATTATTAAACGTGACTTACAGATGTCATTCATACCAAAAATGTTCAACCCTTATCAGATTCAATGCTCTCACTCAAGTTTGTGCACGAGTAGAGTAGATGAAATTATTTTATTTGTTTTTACTACTACACTATACTTTGCCCTTGACAAGATCTAAGTGATTTTAACAGTTTTATATTGGCTATTCAAACATAATGAAATCTTTTATATACACAAGCAGAAAGGTTGTGTATTGGGGTGAACAAGTTGCCCTTAGAATAAGATTATGTTCTAACTGAACTGGGTGATATTGATTGTGCAAATTGAACAAACTACATAATTGGGTACAGTTAATGAATGCATAATATAGTAATCAAAACCTAAAAAACTAATATAATAAAGGTCCTATATTATGCAAAATTGACTCGTGTGAGATTTAAACCATGTTAGAATGCTGTTACCACATTAAAATTATACTTGGAGTTGAGTTTTGTTTTTGTTTTTTTGTCATTCATACATGTTTGAGTAATCCTGCATTATTCCATCTACATCTCCAAAGCTCAAAATGCTCTGTTCTAACTTGCGCTGTTATGAAGCTGTAATTTTCAAGATAACAGCTACCTTTTCCTTTTTTTTCAATAGAGATTGGCAATTCCACTTCTGAAATTATCCAAATTATTCTAGTGAGGGTGTATGGAGTTTAAAAACACAGTGGAGCACTTCCTATATTACCACGTGACATCATATATATAAATATACATAAATATGCAGGATTTGTGTGTTAAAGATGTGCATGAAACAAAACACTTTATGTTTTTGAGGAGATAACAACATTATAACATAGAGCAGAAATTACTTTAATATAGGCCAATTAAATCCTGAGTTGTAGCTATTCCATGCAACATTTGTTTTTAATGGACCACCACCATAGAGATGTTATGGTATTACCTGAAATGGTGTTCCAATTATTGCAATAAACTTACGAATAGAACACGAGACCTCATGTTAAAATTTAACTCTCTTACAGCTGTTTTATTTCTCAAAAATGGACAACAAACATTCTTTATGTGAGCTGGTTCACCTCTCCAGATCTGACCTGCTTGCCTCCATGAAGACAGATAAGTTTAATGCCATACTGTGGAACATACCAGACAAAACAATTGCGTCTTATTGGAGAAAAGCGGATGGCGTACCAACCAACTTAAAATGCTGGCTATATATATACTTACCAACTTAAATGCTGGCTATATATACTTCAGCTGTTGCCTCTCCAGTCCCTTGTTAGTGTCTTGATAGAGGTCACATGTCACTGCCGCTAAACGTAATTCTGTCTAATCCTACCATAATGTAATTCTGTGAATAACACTGTAAAACAACCCATAAAACAAAGTGCAGACACTGTGTTCCAAACAGAAACAAAACCTAATCAGCTTCGTCTGTCTAAAAGGTGCATTCTTCTGAACCTCATTGTTCCTGTCAGAAAAGTTGGAATCGTACTGTTAACTAAAATACAGTTAGACTATAAATTCTCAGTTTCTATTCATTTTGATACTATGAAATAGACTCAATACTCAGTGGTTAGATAATAAAATGTGGTTTTAAAATTAAATTATCATAAATTATCTAAATGTTTTTTTTTTATCATCCATTTATTTATTAACATATAAATCAAGGCCTAAAAATAGAAATGCTAAAACAATCAACTTATGATTTGATTTATCTTTAAAGGTGCGCTATATAACTTTTCTGTTCAACAATTTGTCACCTGCTTGTCTTCATTATTTAGCCTAAAATATTCGACAATATGGCACTACACCCATCTATCTTATGTAGAAAAGCATGACATGGCACAACCAGGCCAAGTTACAGGTCAGATCTGTGGAGAGGCAAACCCACTCAGAAAGAATGCATGTATTTCAAGGAATTTTATAAGCAGCAATACAGATTATATTGATAAGTTAACAAAGCAGTAACATCTCCATTGTGTCATAACCTTGTCTGAACCTCCTAATGAATTAATGCATTAAAGCTGCACTATGTGACTTTTCTGGTTAAGTTTCAGCTTGTCGATGAAACATCTATGGACCCAAACAAATTATGATGATGTCACCTTAACTACCGCATAAATACCTACTGTGTATTCTGTGTATGACGGTATGTTTGTGCCTGGTGATTGTTTAAACATATGTATTTAAGGGTCTATATTATGCTTTTTTATGATCTATGTTGTAATGTTTCGTCATCAAAAACATTCAGAGTTGTTTTTTGTTTCAGTCATACATGTTTAACACACAAATCCTGAAAATTGTGGCTGTGTTCACTCTTAGTTTGTGATGTGGTCTTGTTGTAATACAGGAAGTACTTCACTGTGATTTGTAACTCCATGCACCTTGTATGTATAGAACATTTTGGATAACTTCAGCCTTGGAATTGCCAATCGCTACTGAACAAAAGGTAGATTTAGGTGTAGATTTAGGTAGACAGATTAAAAGGTAGACAGACTGATAATAAAGTGTTACTCAAACATGTGTGAATGAAACTATACACAAATCTTGGTATGTTTTTGAGTTTGTTTTTTTTTTTTTTTGTTTTGTTTTTTTTGAGGAGGTAACAACATTATAACATGGCCTAAAGCTCACAAGATTCAATTTTGTGTAATATAGGAACTTTAAAAGTACTTGTCCGGCCGATAGTCGAACCTCAGATCCAGGAAGAGCAGTGTGGTTTTCGTCCTGGCCGTGGAACACTGGACCAGCTCTACACTCTCCATCGGGTGCTCGAGGGTTCATGGGAGTTTGCCCAACCAGTCCACATGTGCTTTGTGGACTTGGAGAAGGCATTCGACCGTGTCCCTCGTGGTGTCCTGTGGGGGGTGCTCTGGGAGTATGGGGTTCGGGGCCCTTTGCTAAGGGCTGTCCGGTCCCTGTATGACCGGAGCAGGAGCTGTGTTCGCATTGCCGGCAGTAAGTCAGACCTGTTCCCGGTGCATGTTGGACTCCGCCAGGGCTGCCCTTTGTCACCGGTTCTGTTCATTGTGTTTATGGACAGAATTTCTAGGCGCAGTCAGGGGCCGGAGGGGGTCCGGTTTGGGGACCACAGGATCTCATCTCTGCTGTTTGCGGATGATGTTGTTCTGTTGGCTTCATCGAACCAGGACCTGCAATGTGCACTGGGGCGGTTTGCAGCCGAGTGTGAAGCTCCTGGGATGAAGATCAGCTCTTCTAAGTCTGAGGCCATGGTTCTCGACCGGAAAAAGGTGGCTTGCCCTCTCCGGGTGGGTGGGGAGTCTTTGCCTCAAGTGGAGGAGTTCAAGTATCTCGGGGTCTTGTTCACGAGTGAGGGAAGGACGGAACGGGGAGATTGACAGGCGGATCGGTGCAGCTTCGGCAGTGATGCGGTCGCTGTATCGGACCGTTGTGGTGAAGAGATTTACCGGTCAGTCTTCGTTCCTACTCTCATCTATGGTCATGAGCTCTGGGTAATGACCGAAAGGACGAGATCGCGGATACAAGCGCTTGAAATGGGTTTCCTCCGCAGGGTGGCTGGGTGCTCCCTTAGAGATAGGGTGAGAAGCTCAGTCACACGGGAGGAGCTCGGAGTAGAGCCGCTGCTCCTCCACGTCGAGAGGAGCCAGTTGAGGTGGCTCGGGCATCTGTTCCGGATGCCTCCTGGGCGCCTCCCTCGGGAGGTGTTCTGGGCATGTCCCACTGGGAGGAGGCCCCGGGGAAGACCCAGGACATGCTGGAGGGACTATGTCACTCGGCTGGCCTGGAAACGCCTCGGGGTCCCCCCGGAGGAGCTGGAGGATGTGTCTGGGGTGAAGGAAGTCTGGGAGTCCCTGCTTAGGCTGCTGCCCCCGCAACCCGGACCCGGATAAGCGGACGAAAATGGATGGATGGATGGATAAAAGTACTTGTTGTTCTTGTGTGTTTCAGGTGGACATCTCCACTGCTGAGAAAAGGCTTCACAAAGAAACTCGAGCTCACAGATGTGTACAAAGCTCCATCCTTCGACCATGCAGACAACCTGTCTGAGAGACTGGAGAGGTACTTGGAAAATAGTATACTTGTACTGTATTGCTGGGTTTCAAATAACATGACTACACACTGATATTATTTACTACAGATGGGGGCAGTTAAATGAATACTGTTAAAATGCAGATATTTATTGTAATACAGTCAGTCTAGCAATAGAATTTATTAAGTTCAGCATTCACACGTTGAAGAACATTACATTTTATACAGTTATATACCACTAAATGTAATGACAGCCTATGTGAGAGTTACCTTTTGAATATTTCATGGGAAAGCAGTGTAATCAATAGGGAAATCTGTTTCTTGCCCCCATCTGGGAGAATAACATCACATTCTAGAATCTGAAATACACGATGTACAAATACATAATAGGTCTATGGAACCTAGAGCTGTCACCTGATCCCTAAAACTTTGTCTTAAAACAGGTAATCTCTTAACTAATGTGATTCTCATGTTTAATATTTATACTCCATACGTGGCCTTTTGAGCTGTTTACTGTCTCTCCGCTCTAAAATATGGGCCATCATTTTTTCTGTGTGTCCAAACAAACATGCCAGAGGACAGTGAAACAATATCAGGGCACGGGGATTCTAGGATCACTTCAGACCCGGTTTAGTTTTGGTTCAGAGCTAATTAAGTTCTGGTTTAGACCTGGTTTAGTTCTGGTTTGGATATGATTTAAGTTCTGGTTTAGACCTAATTTAATGCTGGTTTAGTCATTATTAACACCTGGTTTAGAGCTAATTTAGTCCTGGTTAAGTCCTTGTTGTGGATCAAGTCGAGGCTGGAGGTTTGGACTTGGTTTAGAGCTGGTTTAGACCTGGTTTAGTTCTGGTTTGAGTATGATTTAAGTTCTCGTTCTCAGTGAACAGTATCAGGGAACAGGGATTCTTTCTATGGATTTAGTCTGTATTTAGTTCTAGTTTACTCCTGATTTAGTCCTGGTTTAGTTCTTATTGAGCACCAATTTCAGACTGGAGATTTAGACCTGACTGAGCCCTGATTTTATATTGTTTTAGCCCACAGAAATAGAGTTTAGTTATTTGAAAAAGTTTATATGACTTAAATTCATGATATGAATCTAAATATCAATAGTTTGTTTTTGATTTGCTTTTAAATCTGACAACATTTATTCTGTCTAAGCACCATTATGTACCAGGAGTTTTTATTTGACATTGGTTTACACCTTGTTTAATCCCAATTGGTCCTGTTTTTCCTGTAAAACGAAGTCACGTAATATTTTATTGTCCTTGTTAAGTCTGTCATAAAAAAAAACAATGCAATATATTGCTGTAGTAAATTATGACAATGCATGACTAAAGACAACTTTATACCCCTAATACAATAACCTTTAGAAAGTATAATCTGTGTAAACACGATTCTAAATGAATGTTATCATATATAATCATTTATAGATATATTAAAGCCACGATATGTTTCCTGGTACTCAGAATACACACTTCTTCAATTCATTACAAAGATGTGAGTCTGGTCACTGGTGAATCTCCCAGAGTTCAGATGGGCATCAATGAGAAAATCTCTGTTCATGTGAGGTGACATAAATTCAATTTTATTTGTACATCATAGATGTCTAATGAGCTCCTTCATTTCACATGCGTCACTGAAAAAAAACAAATGTGAAAAATTTTGAATGACGTTGACTATGCAAATGTAATTCTATAACATGAAGTCCTTAAAGCTATCACCCAACTATCTAATAATAAGGCTAGTGGGCAGGATGGTGTTTGAGCAGAGCATCTAAAGTTTGCAAGTGTGAGGTTAGGCACCACTGCTTTCCATCTGTCTCACAGATTTCCTTGTTCATAGATTTTTACCTGAAAAATCCATGAACAAGGAATTTTTACTTGTGTTAACTGTGTTTAAAAAATTGGGGGAAAAATGGGGAAAGTTGGCACTTCTGACAATTACAGACCTATAGCTTTGACCAGCATAGTGTCAAAAATTATTGAAATAATCCTGCAGGACAGGATCTCACAATTTATTAAATCTACAGACAACCAGTTCAGGTTTAAGGCTCTGCTGGGCACAGATATGTGTGGGTATACTCTAAAAGAGATTATTGATAAATACAAGAGGCAGAATCCATCAATTTTTATGTGTTGTTTAGATGCATCCAAAGCATTTGATAGGGTGAATAACCAGAAACTATTTATGAAGCTGATTGAGAAGGGTGTACCCATATACATGTGCGTATTTTGATGTACTGATATGCACAGCAGATAATGCATATTAAATGGGGAAACTGTGTCTGCCCAATTTAGGGTCAGCAATGTGGTCAGACAGGGGGGGATTCTGTCCTGTTTTATTTAATTTGTACTTAGAACACTGGTTGTGTGGCTGCAAATCTTGTTGTCCATCCATCCATTTTCTTCTGCATATCTGGGGCCGGGTCGCAGAGGCAGCAGTCTAAGCAGGGCCTCCCAGACTTCCCTTTCCATGCACACTTCCTCCAGCTCTTGCAGGGGGACCCCAAGGCGTTCCCAGGCCAGCCGAGAAACATAATCCCTCCAGCGTGTCCTGGGTCTTCCCTGGGGCCTCCTCCCGGTGGGACATGCCCAGAACACCTCCCGAGGAACGGGGCCAGGAGGCATCCGAAACAGACGTCCTAGCCGCCTCAGCTGGCTCCTCTCAACGTGAAGGAGCAGCAGCTCTACTCCGAGCTCCTCCTGTGACTGAGCTCCTCACCCTATCTCTAAGGGGGCGCCCAGCCACCCTGTGAAGGAAACTCATTTCGGCCGGTTGTGTCCTCGATCTTGTCCTTTCGGTCATTACCCAAAGCTCATGACCAAAGGAAATCTTGTTGTGAATCATTTAATGTATGCAGATGACTTGGTTGTTTACAGTTCAAGCACCGCTGGTCTCCAGGAGCTACTCAACATCTGTTCAACTTGCAGTGTGGAGCACAATATAAAGTATAATGCAACCAAGAGTATGGTCATGATCTGTAGAACCAAAGAAGATAAGCAATTGAGATTTCCTGACTTTTGCCTGTCGAATATTATATTGACTGTTACAACAAAAATTAAATATCTCAGTATATCATATCATCACTGCGAACATAACAGATGATGATGATATGTACAGACAGTGTAGGATGCTCTATGCTCAGGCAAATACTCTTATGCTTAAGTTTGGTTCTTGTACAAAGGATGTAAAGTTGTTATTATTTAAATCATATTGTACACCGTTGTACACAGCTCACCTCTGGACTAATTATAAAAAAGCCAGCTGGCAAAGACTGCAGGTGGTCTACAATGACACTTTGTGGAGCTTTTGAGGAGTGTGACTGAGATGTTTGTTAGTGCATGAGTGAACACTTTGCAAGCTGTACTTAGAATTTTAATGTACAGTTTTATCTGCAGACTGAACAAATTGGACAATGAAATAATAATGTCACTCACAAATATGAGATTCAGTGCAATAAGGTATCAGTCCAATATGTGGAGACACTGGTATGACTGTCTTTTAAAAACATAAATGTTTATTGTTTTGTAATGTCACTGTCCTTGTTTGTTTTAATAATGGACCATGAGTCCGGAAAAAAGATGATGATGATGATAATGATGATGATGATCATGTTTGATGTGGCTGGCAATGCGACGGAGTGTATGGGAACTAGACTGATATCCATTTATAAACATCTTTATGAAGGAATTTTTAAACGTTCCCCGCAATTCCACATCAATTGATCTAAAAATACTATTGTTCATTTATAGATCAAAAAGTAGATACATAACTCCTGTCTAAGTACTATGATTTAATGTTTAAAATGACTTTCTATTGTCCAAAGAAAGTGTCTATTCCTTCGTACTGAAGTCATGTTTGAAATTGTAGCATCGTGACAATCCAACTCATATCTATCCTGGTTTATCTTCCATTTCGTCCTGGTTTAGCCCCTGTATCTCTCTATAACTTTGGTGCCAACTCTTTACTGTAGTTACATTCTGACCTTTACACTGGACCACCGCTTTGAATGGTGCACGAGCTGTTTGTCTAACACCGTCGCAAGGAATTCTGGGAAACTGAACTTTAAATTCTTTTTCTTTGGCTGAAAAACACAGAGATCCGTCATGAGGACAAAGGAGCAGGTCTCATTCAGCGTGAAGTGAATGGACAGCTGCAGACATGAGTCACTACAGGGGAGGAATCAACAGAACACTCGGTTTAATCACAAACTACATCAAGATCGTAAAGAAAAGCCAAGTTACATAACAGGCAATTCAGGGCTTCTGTTTGGCTACTGTCACATTACACTGCAAAAATAATGAATTCAAAATAGTAATCTTCCTTATCTATCTCCATGGAGATCTTATAGCACTTGTGTTTATTATATTAGGGATGAGAGATATATCAGTTCCAGTATTAGTATCAACCAGCATTTGATAGGATTTTTTTGTTTTGTTTAGTTTTTTGTGCTGCCCCAGTCTCAGTGTGCCCATGTCTCATTCCCACTGTGTTCTCCTCGGTGTGTCAGATGAATCGTTTTGAACAGACTCATGAGGAACAATGGAAATAGAAGTGAAAAATGGGGTTAGCGTAAATTCAGCCTGGAAGACCTAAGTACGTCACTGTTTCTCCAGACCTAGCTGCTCCTCAGCCTTCATCACCTCACTCCAAGTGCTCCTCCAGCTGGCCCTATTTTAAACTCCCATCGCTTTGTGCCACGTTCCCCCTTCTCCCCAGCACTTCCTCGGCTTCTCGGCTTCTCATCCTCTCATTGTCCCCTTTGCTCTCCTCATTCTCTCATTTACAGGAGAGCTTTAATTATGAATAAAAATAAGTGAATTCTGAAGAAAAATGTATTCTGCGTTAAAAAGATCATGTAAACACTTAATTCCTAATAAAAAGGATTATTCGGAAGGAAACTTAATTCCAAACTAAGTGGGTGGTTTATTCAAATTTTAAAGTCGATTTAATTTATTCCTCGATCATGTAAATGTTTATTCTTCTTTAAAATAATTCCGGTCATTCAGAGCATGCTCGTTGGGTCGCCCTTTTGACACGATCCAGACGATCCAGCTCCACCAGTCCTGGCTTCGGACTTTCATCCACTGCTCTTTGAATTTGCGAGCGGGATGCGGGAGTGGGCTGAAGTAGAGCAGCCGTTGACTCATGTTGTCTTCTTCCTCCTTTCTCTGACACTGTTCCCTTCTCCTCCTCAGCTGACAGACAAAAAAAAAAGTTTGTATCATGTTTGGGTCCGTGGCGTAATGACAAAAAAAGCCTGTAGCAGCTGAAGTGTGTGTTTTCTTCCGATTGACTTTCGTCTCCCTGTCCAATCAGAACCCTTCCCAACCCTCAGATGCTGAGCGGAATTAAATAAAGGCGATTTAATGTATTTTCCATGTAAACCTCAATTCTGAATTATTATTTCCATGTAAATTCGAAGGAGAATATTTATTTTTTGAGTTTAACTTTGAATAATTAATTTGTAAAAAAAAAACATCACGTAAATATGGCCATTGTCTCCCTCACTCTCCTCTTCCTCTCTTCGTCTCCTTCACTCTCCTCTTCCTCTCATCACTCTCCTCATCCTCTCATCGTCTCCTTCATCTCCTCATCCACTCATCATTCTCTTCACTCTCCTCATCCTATCATCGTCCCCTTTGGTCTCCTCATCCTCTCATCGCCTCCTTCACACTCCTCAGCCTCACTTCTACTACTACTACTACCTTTAGTGTCCATGGGAAACGTCATTGGCCCTTCATCGCATTGTCCGAACCTAAGATAAATTTGTGGACCTTGTTATGTATTTGGCTGATATCAGAATCAGCCACAGCGTCAAGCCAAATATCAGATATCAGTGTTGACTCAAAAAAATCCATGTTATCCTCTCATCATCCCTAAATAATATGTGTTCTGCTCATTGTTCTTCTTTAGGGAGTGGGATCGAGAGGTGGTCTCAGCCAAAAAGCCCCGTCTGCTCAAAGCTCTGGCCCGGTGTTTCATGGGACCTTTCGCCTTCTTCGGCATCCTCCTCTACTTTGGGGTGAGTCTGTCAAAACTGCATTCTGGGTAAAAAAAACAAATGGATTAATGACGTTACAGCATTGACAGGCATGCAACAATCAGGTAACAGCTACGATTTATCAAGCAATTTTGAAGCCTGGGGAGACAGTAGCCAAAATTCACAAATTTGAACTTTTTTTATTTTTTTATTTTATTATTTGAGCTTTTAGCCATGTGTTTTTTGTGATCAACTTTTTTTTTTTAACTGAACTGCAGCTTTAATCACATTGACTGTACATTCATGAGTTCTGAAATGCTTGAAATAATCACAAGTACAGCTTACATACCACATATTCACAACTGCTGCAATCCAAGTTTTTTTTTTTTAAATACAAAAAAAAAAAAAAAAAAAAAAAAAAAAAAAAAGGACAACCTCCCACCTCGGTCCAAAGCCTCACCCAGACAAACGTCTGTTACAAAGTTTTTGGAGATGCTTAATGAAAACATGCCATAGGGTAATTCTGTCAGTCTTGGCCCTATGCACCCTGGCTATAGAGAGTTCTAGCTGGGCTATATCCAAAAACATTAAGGACCAAGCATGAATAGATAAACAATGTGGTGGCTTCCAGCGTGTGGCCATCATTTTCTTTGCTGCTGTGAGGCCTGACAACAAAATCCTTCACTTGGCCACTTTAAGTTTAGCTTTTAGCCATGTTATAATGTTTTCATTCACTCACACATGTTTGAGTAATCCTTTATTATTAGTTTGCACAGCTCTAAATGTTCTGTTCCACCTTATGATATGATGAAGTGGTACTCCAAGTTAACAGCTCCCCTTAACCTTAAGTTCTGTAGAGAGGGGCTGAAATTATCCAAATGACTCCAAATGTTTATGGAGTTTCAAAACACAGAGTTTTTCAGAGCTCAGCCTAAATGTGCAGGATTTATGTGTCAAACATGTGTGAATGAAACAAAACACAACTCTAGGTGTGTCGTTGATGAGGAAACAACATTAGAACATAGATCATAAAATATCATATGGGCCTGTTAATGGACAGTAGTGTGGTAACAGCTAGGACCCAGATTTGACCTAAAATTCATTTGTCTCCTGATGATTTGGATTATTGGAAATTAGTGGCCTTATCCATCCACAAACACATTAATATAACTTCAACTCAGTAAATATGGGCATGTCAACAGCTCTTGGTTATTAAACAATGAAGTGACAGTAATGACAGTTTCATCTTGGGATAAAAGTGACGTTGATCTTCACAATTTCATACACAATATGCAAAACAAGACTTACAATACGGCTCATTTCACAATATGGTGGTCAGTTCTCCAATACATTGCACAAAATAATATCAGATATTAAAAGAATAAGAATATAAAAGAATATAAGATATGTCACTGGTTTTGTACATGAATATAGTATTATTATTATTTTTATGTCTGTATAAATTGTTGTTCTTGTGAGTGCAATTTGGGTCACATACACAGAAATACATCCACATCCCTTTTTAGTCAACTAATTGATCGGCAGGTCATGTCTCAAGTCCACCAACAATGTCTTTAGTTTACTGCAGCCCGAGAATATACTGTAAGTCTTTCAATAATTGTACTGTAAATACTGTAAATCTTTGGTCTTGTTGTTTTCTCAGGAGGCCTCAAAGACAGTGCAGCCGCAGCTGTTGGGTCGGATCATCGCGTCGTTTGACCCATTTCACGCTCCAGAGAGGTCACAGGGGTACTACCTGGCCCTGGGGCTCTGCCTGCTGTTTGTGGCCAGGTTTCTGCTCCTTCAGCCAGCCATCTTTGGACTGCACCACCTGGGCATGCAGATCCGGATAGCACTCTTCAGTCTCATATACAAGAAGGTACCACAATATGTTATATGCAACATTTTAACATTTTAAAGATACCCATGGATAAAAATAGGGATGGACAGTTTCAGCGTTTTCTGTTATGATATCAATACTTCTGTAGTTCATCTCCTGAGCCAATTTGATTTTGTTTTCTCTCTATCACAGATATATTATGGTCTATGCATTTCAGTGACTCTTCCTTGTATTAAAAACATTGTATACAGTCTGTGCTCTTACTGTCTTAAAAATGTATTACAATCACAACTGAACTGGGTTGGCATTGTCTTAACCTGCAGATAGAGACACATACAGTACAAGCTTATCTCATTCTCAATATATTAACTACATATACTACTTCAGGTCAGAGAGTGTCCTTTTGGATTTAAACCAACTGGATTTGAGGTTCATTCTGCTTTCTGATTGGATAATCATCTTAAGAACTAAAACATCCAAGTACATAAACAACTTGGCCATCATGTCCAGTGGTTTTGTCATTAAGAATAAATCAACATTACAATTATCAGTAAAAGCTATATTTGATTTGAACATGTGTTCATCTTATATCTGGGGACACAGATGGTGATGAAATCTGGTTAGAAATATAATTAGTCTAGTTTACAATATAATATTGTTTTTAAATTGAACATAATTGTAAATAGTTTAACACGTTGTGAATGCGCTTTGAACATGCCCTTTCAGCAGCAGGTCATTCTCTTAGTGTTTTTGTATCTTTGTGAGGAACAAAACAAAACAACCCAAACTGTAGCAGATAAGATACAGTCTATGAGCTCAGAGCAGGGCCCTTCAGCTCACAGTCAGCACAGATCAGCCACGTTTAACTAGAAAGAGACAGAAAATACATTTTTATGATATTTCATCTTAACTTTAATTAATAATATACAGTCTACATAAGGCACAACATGCTTCCTGTCAGTATCTTTTCATTCTGAATTCACTGTACCCTCTCAGGTCACATTTCTCAGCTCAGTTGTATATGTTTGTGCAGGTTAAATCCCTACTCCTGTTCATTCTGCCCAGCTCCATGACAAAACGATTGGAGCTTTTGCCTTATAGCAAGAACGTCCTGACTTTAATTCTGGGGAGGTGCAGGGCCTTTCTGTGTGAACTTTGCATGTTCTCCCTGTGCCTGTGTAGGTTTCCTTCTGGTGCTCTGGTTTTACCTACCACTAAAAACATGCACAATAGGGTCTCACCAGGACTCTCCTGGTGAAATAAAGGTCAATAAATAATATAAAGTGTGTTTTTGGCAATCTCATGGAAAAAGATTTGCACCATGACCACAATGACATTATTTCATTAAAAATTCCAGAGATAAGTTTCTGTTAGTTGACCCGTTACTAATGTTACTAAATTATTCATTATTAATCATTTCTACTTCAAATTGACACTCAAAGCACTTCACATCAAGGAAACATTTCATCCATACAAACACATTCACACACCAGATGGGTTAACTGCCTTGCCCAAGAACACAACAACAGTATTCACCTGAGGAAGCCGTGATCAAATCTCCAAACTGTGGATGGGTCTGACCGTTTTACCAGCTAGACCAGGGGTGGGTCATTATTTTTTCCAGTGGGGACACATGAGAAACAGAAAATATTGTGGAGGGCCGGGACAAATTGCTTAACTTAGCTCTGGATAATATTAATTGTATTTCTTTATAAAAAGCAGTAAATAGCATTGTTTTCACAAGCTGATAAGACTGTTTAGAGTTTAAGCAATGACAAAGTGAGGTTGCCTTACAAAAAATGTCATTAAAACAACACCCCTAAAATAAAAGCAATGCAGCTTTAGTCCATGCATGAGGTAAAATTATAAAATATGTTTATTTTGTAATTCCAAATGAGCCTAAGGGGCCGTTCAGAGTCAACCAAAGGGTCAACAATTGCCCAGATCTGAACTAGATAATTAATCTATATTACTGTGATAATATCTATAGTTAAAAGCTTGGGGCATTTTAAAAATAGAAGAACTGTATCACAACACAGTGGAAAAGCCATACTGTATTCAGAGTTTTGAATACTGTTACATTTCTATTTCTTCATATTATTTATAGTAATTTAAGATGAAATGTCACAGTTTTTCACTTGAGTGTTATAGAAGGGAAGGCAGCTTGTAAAATGTCCCAGTGTCTCCAGTTTCTGTTCTTTACCCTTTGTGTACCTGCCTGACCCCTGACCTTTGCTCTTTGGCCTGTGTGACCCTGCAGACACTGAAGCTGTCCAGTCGGGTGTTGGACAAGATCAGCACAGGGCAGCTGGTCAGCCTCATGTCGGCGCATCTCAACAAGCTGGATGAGGTAAGAACCAATCATAACATGCGTTTTGTTAGTTCAAAGTTTATTTTAGAAGTGACATAAAATTCCAAATTATACACAATGAAAAGATAAAAGGAAATACAAGATTCGTTGAGTTTGGTTATTATGGTCTGGCTTCAGGATTGAAAACTTGTATTGAATTCCCACTCATGCTTTTTTGTTTTTTTAATCACATATGATACAGTACATTTATATTATTTGATGGAACTGTACTTTTACTTGACAAAATAATGTATTTTTTGTTATTGTCTAGTTTTAGTTTAGTTTTTAGTTGTTACCTGAGATTAGTTTTTGTTTGGTTTTAGTCAGCAAAACTAACTGACATTTAGAAAATATTTTACTAGATGAAATTAACACCTGTACAAAGAAGTAAGGTTTGAGTTAACAATATATTGACTAGTAGAGCTACCACGTTCAATAATGCTCACTGTTATAGTCCAGATCTTTAGTGATGTCCATAATCAAAAGCCAACAATTTAAAGCTAAATGTGATATCTTGGTCAAAAGTACTCAAAATTGCTCCTATAATCAGGAAACTGAAACCCAATACCCAAAGTCAAAGTCTCCATATCAGTGCTTCTACGGGCTCTACAATTTTTTTTCAGCATTTTGCAAAATCTTCTCTCCGTGTGTGAGCCCTGTGGATACTGAGGAGTTGTGGACGTGAAGACCCCAGACTGTTCTCTCTGTTGTGCTTTACCACTGAGCTGCGCAATCTGAAACAAAAGACTTAAAGAGAATCCGCCTCCATCTTTGTCCATCTCACAACAACAACAAAACAGTTCACCAGCACTAAACTAACTCTTTAACCACCATCTGCGGAAAAAACAGACACAGAGGGAGAGGAACTATAGCCAGTATTTAACAGGTATCCGACAGAAACAATGGCAGGAGTAGCATAGACACCACAACTTTATTCAGCCTTTAAATCTTCATGTTGGGTCTGTCTCACACCAAAATGTTTCTCATGGAGGTTCTATTTGTATTATTACTATTGGATTAGGGGTGTGCAAAAATATTGAAATATCGATATATCGTATTGTTTAATCTGATGATACGGTATCAATATCATGGGCTGCTGTATCGATATATCGCCAAGAGTATTTTTTTGGTATATTTTATGAAATTATTTTTACAAAGAGCCTCAATTGTGTTGCTTGTTTGCAGGAAGTTCACTGGTTTATACTATACACTTGACATTTTCATTGTTTTGAGTAAAATGAACTTGAACTTTTTTTGAAGTGGTTTAATAGAAAAAAGACTTTTCGTATCACAGCCATGATTTAAAGGGACAGTTCAGAATTTTGGACATAGGACCTCATTTCTTATTGAGCCAGAGTGTTAGAGATGTGTGGAGACACATTTTTAAATATTCCATCCAGTCCTTGTATTTGCAGAGGTCGCTGGTGCTAGGCTAGTGCATGTCAATGGCCATAGTTATCCTGCTACCAAACACAGTCTTACCCACTCCACAAAACAACTGAAGCAAATCTATTGCTACACCAGACTGTCCATGTAAATGTCTGTGTTGAATGAATAATGTTTGAAATAAAACTAACCTTGCATCGCATGAATCGTCGCATGTTGAGGGACTATTTTCTCAGCAGCAGTTTACTTTGCCAGTAAGATAGGCGTTAGGTGATATCAGTCCACCGCTTCCAATCTTTCTATCAAAAAGTACAACTCGTCACTGCTGCTCAGACATAAATCCTTCAAATGCAAGGTTGGTTTTACTTACTTACTTGCTAAAATTTCAAAAATTCTATCAACACAGGCATTTACATGGACAGTCTGGTGTAATAATAGATTTACTTCAGGTGTTTTGTGGTGTGGGTAAGACTGTTTTTAGTGGCAGGCAATTTATGGCCATTGACATGCACTAACCTAGCACCAGGGACCTCTGCAAATACAAGAACTGGATGGAATATTTTAAAAAAGTGTCTCCACACATCTCCAACACTCTGGCTCACTAGGAAATGAGGTCCTATGTCCAAAATTCTGGACTGTCCCTTGAAGCTTTGTTTTTTATTGAACCGAATCAAGTTGTTTTAAAATGTATTGTATTGAATCGAAAGTGCACTGTATCGAAAACCGTATCGTATTGTGGCCTATGTATTGAGGTATGTATTGTATCAACAACTTCTTAATGATAACCAGCCCTAGAGAGGAGTATTACATTTCGGCCGATTTATCAGAAAGCCCCAGGGCCAAGAAAAATAGGTCCCCACACCATAGTGCTCTTCTGTGTTTTTAAAGTCCATGTACTTTCACCAGACTCATTTTGATCATTTCAAAATGCCTTCACACAGTTGCCTAACCAGCCAGTCCCTCTTTTATTCTGTTTGAATGCAGAAGGCTCTGGGAAATGAAAGCACAACCACAGCTGCAAATTTGTAACATGTGTCTCTTAACGGTGCACTGTGTGAACTTTTCTGGTGAAGGGTCTGCCACCTGATTTTCTCCATGGAGCTGTAACTGCTTTGCCTTCAGTGTATTGAATGCAGTTAGTGGTGAGATCTATGGAGAAGCAAGCCAGTAAGAATTCAAGTTTTTCAAGGTATGAAACACATGTAACTGAATGCATGTAAGGCAGTATACAGCTCTGGAAAAAAAATAAGAGACCACTGCATTTTTTTGTCTGAAATGGTGAAGTTCACAGCAAGAAGTTTTCGAAACAGGCTCCTAGGGGCAGCGCTCAAGTCGTGTAAAGCTAGAAAAAAAAACTTTCATCAATGAGAAGCAAAGAAGAGCCAGGCTGAGGTTTGCAAAAGACCATAAGGACCATCGAGGACTGGAGTAAGGTCACCTTCATCTTGGTGGAGAGCATGCCAAGACGCATGAAAGCTGTGTGTTATTTTGACCATTTGTCATTTTCTGCAAATAAATGCTCTAAATGACAATATTTTTATTTGGAATTTAGGAGAAATGTTGCCAGTAGTTTATAGAATGAAACAAAAACTTTGCAGTGGTCTCTTATTTTTTTCCAGAGCTGTAGTTCAGTGCCATACTGTGGAACATTCCATGCAAAGAAATTACATCTCCATGGAGGCAAGCAAGTATCCAACCCTCCACCTTAGAAGAGACATACTCCACCTTTAAATGTGGAAGACATCTCAAGAAATTCTTGCATGTTTCAGAACAAAATATATAACTTATTTTACTTTCTTATATTTTATTTTTTACTCGTAAGCTGCCGTGTTTGTTTTAACTTGAAGAGACCAAGTATTTCTCCGATTGGTCAATCTGCCTGTCACTCACGGCCCTCAGAAATCTGGGAGACAGGAGATATGTATAAATGTATAAATTTCAAAGCATGCACATCATTCTGTTTGTGTTGATGCCAATTTGCTTCAATGTCTCATTAAGATGGCGAGAAACACCTAAACGATAAGTGCTGCTGAAGGCTTGAAACATCATAAAAACATCATTACAACACCTAGTAGTAGAAGTTACATACGTAGTGAAGGTACTATTTAAATACGTCCTACATTTTGTTTGTTGATTTGCAGTAATGGGTCTTGTTCTTACAGCTCAGACCAGAGCTGGAGGCTGCACTTGTACAGTTTTGAGTCTCTTGGCCTGATCCTGGTTTGATGATTTCTGATACCAAGGGATTTATTTTCTGATAAAAGTTGTGTTTCTGAGCCCTGGAGATGTCGGAGAGCCTGTGGATGTGTGGTGGTGCAGGGAGCGGAGGATAAAACCAGGAAAATGTGAATAAAACAATTTTAAACACTGAGATAAGAAACACTTTGTACAGACACAAAGGATAAAGAGACTAGATTTGATCCTCGGAGTCTGTGGATATATCGTCCACACTGCAACTCAGGATGTTTTTTAAGGTAAACAGGTTGAGTTCATGTCACATCATATTCTCATTTTATCAACTTAACTTGCTCTAAAAATGCATTCATTTTAAAACCTTGAATTCGTACAGTGAGATCTGATGTGTAAATCAAAAGCAAAAACATCTGCATGGAGACAAATAGGTGGCGTAGCAGAAGAAAAGTTATATAGAGCATCTGAACCTGATTGTGAAATAATATTGGTAGCTATGCAAACAAAAATAAAGGAGCATACCTATGTTCCACCAGCTTTATGTTCTGACAGTGAGGTTTTCTAACATTTAACCCTTACCCCATAACCTCCTAGCCTGATTCACCAGCTGGTTTCACTTCGTAGAAACCGTCTGACCTCATAGCATTAGAATTCGTTCATTCGACGGTGGGCGGGTACTTTTTCATTTAACCAATTGCTACTATTTGGTCATGACATATGTAATGCGCTAATGGGGCTAACAGATATATTACGCTTTTCCCAAATCCTGTAGGAAGAAGGACAATAACGTCTTTCCTCTTGATAAAATTCACCAAACATTCTCTTTGTTTCGGCTTTAAATCCTTGATCTCGGAAGTTGTTGCCTACACAGAATGTATGGCTCTTCACTGATTGGCTGGTGTCTGAACTCACACTTCCGGGGTTTTTGCAAACTGTCTTGTGTATTTCAATTCCTGACCTAGTCGCTGGAGAGATATGAAATTGAATGGAGGCACTAGGAGGCGCCAGCCTGGCTAATAACCCCCAGGCTGGCCCTAACCTTTCCATAACCTAAAAACCAAGCCCTAACCTTCACCATAATCTCGAAACTAGGCCCAACCTTCACTATAATCTCAAAACCAAGTCCTAACCTTCACCATAATCTCAAAACCAAGTCCTAGCCTTCACCATAACCATACAACCCAACAAATATGGTAACATAGAGTTGTGGGAACTTGCAGCCCAAAAATAAACATTTTCTAGCACAGTCATCATTATAATTTGCTTGTCGTATTCCTTGGAAAATACCATCTTAGAATTAGCTTCTTTAGTACGTCTGCATGTTTAGCAGTCTCTGCAGACTTGCAGGCCTGCACAGTGTTTATGAAGCCTCTTGCCAGGTGTCAGGGGACTGTAGAATGTGGGGACACAGTGTTGTCGGCTCAAAGACAATTATCACCAAAACGACATTCACCTCAACAGAAAGAATCCTCCTTGAACACAATACTATCTATCTGTGAGGAGTTATCAGAACATTTAGATGATCATTTCAATATTAAACCAATTGGTAGATTGGTATGATGAAAATGAGCTGCAGGCTAAAACATCCTAACACAAAATAAGCAGCACAGCTCTATGGGCGTGTCTGTACACTATAGTCTATGTGTACTAATACTGAGCACTTGACCAGCAGCAATGTCTTCAATGTAAATTCGGCACAGTGTTTTTATTGTTTTGTTTTTTTCAAACCTATTACAAACGTATTTTTATTCAATGATCAAATCTCAAGTTTCAGGACATTTAGGGCCACATTTATAATTCGGGACAACAATTTAGATTTTGGGGATGTCCCAAATTTTTTGGGACATCTTGTCACCCTAACCAATAGCCAGACATTCTGAATAATTACAAGAACATTGGACAGAAAGAGCTATATACACTTCTGATTGAACATTTCATTTTTGCAAATGTTTTGGTATTTTACAACTACGCTTAAATCAGTCTGCCCTAAAGCAGCTGTGGCCACACCACAGAGTGTGGAATAATGAATAATGCACTATAAAGTATTTTAGGTATTACCTAACTGTTGTGATGTGTCTGAGCTGTTCTTCTCAAGAACAGGCTACATTCAGACCTCAGCGTCAAAGTCGTGTCAAACGCTTCTAGTTGGACTCAGGAGCTTGTATCACGTTAAGACTACAAATTTTGCTGAAAGTACAAAACCTCGATGTTTGATGTAGGGCACGTGAATGGTCAAACGTGCAGCATCTGATGCTTCAAACTCACCACAGAAACACTAAACGCACGCATCTACGTAGACTTTACATGTAAAACAGACTTTGGCTCAGAAAATGTTGTCTGGTATCAAGGCACCATCAGACTGACACACCTGACAGGTAAATCTGTCTGGAAAAAAAGATATATTGGATACCATGGTGTGTGTGTGTGTGTATATTTTTGTGTGTTCAGTTTAACACAGAAATATGACTATACTGAATCTTTATTTTCAGAGTTTAGGGTTGGCTCATTTCGTGTGGATTACACCGCTCCAGTGCATCCTGTGTGTGGGGCTCATCTGGGAGCTCATTGAAGTCAACGGCTTCTGTGCGCTGGCGGCTCTCACCCTGTTAGGCATTGTTCAGGCTTGGCTCTCCCAGAAGATGGGCCCTCACCGGTAAGATCAGGTTCTGCTCCTTTTGTCATCTCCTCTGGCTTTACTCCTCTTACTCTGCTCCTTTGTCTCTGCTTCTCTGACTTTGCTCCTCTGGCTCTGCTCCTCTGGCTCTGCAGCTCTGGCTCTGCTCCTCTGGCTCTGCAGCTCTGGCTCTGCTCCTGTCTGCTCTTGTCATCTCCCCTGGATCTGTCCGTCTAGTCTCTTGGGAGGCTAGACTTGTCTCAAACCAGTACCATCAAATTGAAAATGGCTTCTGGGTGGGAGCTGAAACATCTTGATTGCAAAAACTGTGTCCAGATGACCACCTTTGAAACCTTCTCTACATTGGACCACTCCTGGATGAAGGAGGGATTACACCATCTCGTAGTCCTAATACTATTTATAATAATGCATTGGATTTACCAGTATATACCGTCTTTCCACACCCAAACCGCTTTAAATTACACTCAATACTCAACCTTTTGCCCTTTCGGCTACCACCAGCACTAGACAATGTGGGTGAAGTATCTTGACTCAGGACACAACAACAGTTTTCACTAGACCCACTGCTGCTGTTCATGATAGAAAACCTTCAAATGTCCAGCTTGTTATTTGTGTCCAGTTGTTTTTTCATGCTTTATGTAATCAGATTTTCTGTTCAGGGTAACTGGGGGTCACATGATATGAGAATGTACAGCATGTAACAGAAATTCCTCCAATATTTAAAGTAAAAACTATGCAGCTACCTTCCTTCTTTTATTATTGTTTCGTTTAATTTTAGAAGCACAGTATGTCCCAGCCCGTGCAGCAGAGCTATAGGAGGAATAGTTTACGCAGACAGTGAAAGACTTTCCGGTTTGTTCCTCAGTTTCCAGATGCCACAGCTAAAGGCTCTGCTAATGTAATTAATGTAGTATATGTAATACGTATGTCTGTGTACATCATCAGGCTTACATCATCGTGCCTACTGTACACTGCACGCTTCTATTTTTATTTTTTGCCAAATCATTTCGCATCTTTTAACTTTCTCTTTACAAACTATACACTCAATATTTTACATTTTCTTAACTTCAAAACCACAATTCAGATATTATTTTGTAGACAATTTGTAAATTTCTCTCTCTTGAAATCTTTTGTTATCCACTGACTTGTGTCTTGTATATGTTTTTGATGATTGAATGCACGGCTGTGGAGAGTCAGATGAATTACAGTTGAGGATAAATAGGAATGGGCAGATTTTTTTGAGCCAATATCCGATATTTGGCCTGCTGCTGCTGTGGCTGATAACAGATATTTGCCCATACCAATATTTAGCTTTTTAAATTCATAGATGCACTAATGTATCTTAAGTTGAAGTAAAGATCACTAATTAACTTTTAACTTTTCATTTCCATGTAGTTATCTAGAAATAAAAATTTGTTACATGTTTGTGTAAAAATATTAGCCTGATTCATCAGCCGGTTTCACTTCATGGAAACCATTTGGCCTCGCAGCATTAGGATTTGGTGGCTCGATTGTAGGCAGGTGCTTTTTTAATTTAACCACTCGCTGCTATTTGGTTGTGATTTATGTAATGCATCAAATCCTGTAAGATGAAGGACAATATCGTCTTTCCCCTTGATAAAATTGATCAAACATTCTCTTTGTTCCGGCTGTAATTCCTGGATCTCGGGAATCGTTGCCAACACAGAATGTATGGCTTCGTCTACATCCATCTCGACCACTTTGTTTACTGTTTTGTAAACAAACACAACTGTGTACTAATCAGTCATGGCTTCACAGCTCTTCACTGATTGGCTGGTGGACAGTCTACAACTTCTGGGGTTCTTGCAAACCATCTAGTGTATTTCGATTCCTGACCTAGTCGCTGGAGAGATATGAAATTGAATGGAGGCACTAGGTGGCGCCAGCCTGGCTAATAACCCTCAGCCTGGCCCTAACCTTTCCATAATCTAAAAACCAAGGCCTAACCTTCACCATAATCTCGAAACTAGGCCCAACCTTCACTATAATCTCAAAACCAAGTCCTAACGTTCACCATAATCTCAAAACCAAGTCCTAGCCTTCACCATAACCATACAACCCAACAAATATGGTAACATAGAGTTGTGGGAACTTGCAGCCCAAAAATAAACATTTTCTAGCACAGTCATCATTATAATTTGCTTGTCATATTCCTTGGAAAATACCATCTTAGAATTAGCTTCTTTAGTATGTCTGCATGTTTAGCCAGTCACTGGAGAGAAATGAAATTGAGCTGAGGCACTAGGTGACACCAGCCTGGGTATGGTTCAAAAAGGGCACTCAGAGAATGAGGCAGTGCATTTTTAAAAAAATGTATCAAATATCTGTATCAAATGGTGATATCTGCCAATACGATATTAACAAATCCGTATCTATATCAACTGGTACCGATACTGGGACCAGTATATCGCCCATCCCTAGAAATAAATACATTTATCAGAATACATTTGCTGCCCACCTCTCTTCTAAAATATATGTGTATATTTTGTGCCATTTTTCAGGATGAAGCGTGCTGGTCTCATAAACAGGCGTTTGGCTCTGACGTCTGAAATCGTGGAGAACATTCACTCAGTCAAAGCGTATGGCTGGGAGGACATCATGGAGATCATCATCAAGAACATCAGACAGTGAGGAGCTCGAACACAACCACACTACAAAATATACTAAAAATATAACCACCCATCAGAAATATCAAATGAAAGAACATTTATATACTAAGGACACAATTAGAACTAAATTTGACCAAGTGAACATGAGTTTTGTTCACGTCATCCTAGAATTTGATGTCATCATTTCAGTTGGGTGGGCAGGGGCTTATGCCATTTTAGAAAATCAGTTTGTACGCTTCCATTTCTGATTGAAGAATACCACCTTCATACTTCACCTTAGTTCACTTGTGCTAATAGAGTAGAAGTTGAACCCATGAGAGATCCATAACCATAAAACAAGACAAAACATTAGATCCAAAAACAACTTTTTGGATGTAAGCCGCCGTTAAACTCCACAGAAAAAGAAGAAGTCAAAACATCTACATTTTGAAACAGGCAAATTATATCATAGAATTTTGACCTGCTCCAGCTCAAATTTTAACTCTGGTCTAGAAAGTTATGACGCTACATAGGAATTGGCCAAGATCTTGTGCTTTTAAAAAGGCACAAAACGTCTTGGATGTCTGTCAATATTTTATTTTTCAATTGCCACCAAATAATTATATGAGACTGGATTGCAGAAGTGTTTTAATTAGAGTATTAGAGATGAGTAACTTCTCTCATTTAGTGGAATTTACTTCTCGCCCTTCCTCTGTTGTCACATAATAATAAATGAAGATCTTAAGTGTGTGATTTGGCTCTGGTTTATTCTCTCGTATCTGCGATGCGGCTCTTATAGCTCAGTGCTACGACTGATATGTCTGTGTTAAACCTTTTTGAATCACAGAGCAGTGCCACAGTCATAGTCTAGTGCAATAATCCCACTGCAGTACATCAGGGAGACATGTGAGGGACAGCAGACTCGAAATCGAAGAACTTTTATTCATGGAAAGTAAATATGTTTAGAAAGTTAGCAAATCCATGATAGACTACAAAAAGTACTTGTAATAACAATAGCATTAAAGGTGCACTATGTAACTTTCTTGTGGTGAAAGCTAATATATCTTCATAGAGACAAGCAAGTCACCAAGCACCCCGCTCACAGTGAGAATGAATGTTTTTCAAGGTTCTTTTTTCAGCAATAAAACCACCTGTAATTGAAAAAAATGCTAGATTGATAATTACAGTGTCTAACTTTATAACATTCTACGCAAGCAAAAACAGCAGGTGACAAACCTCAATCCTGAAAAGTTGCATAGTACACTTTAAAGGTCTTATATTGACTCTTGTGAGCATTAATCCATGTTATAATGGTGTTCTGTCATGAAAGTTAGTTTTGTTTCACTCACACATGTTTGGGTAACCCTTTATTACTAGTCTTTCTACATTTCCTCAACTGAAAATGCTCTGTTCCACTTTGCAACGTTATGAAGTGGTAGTTTTCAAGTTAACAGCTACTTTTTACCTTTTGTTCAGTAGAGTTGGGCAATTTCAGGTATGAAATGATCCAAATGATTCTAGTAAGGAGCAGTGGTAGTGGGGATTTTTTAAGTGGGTGTAGTATGCGATTCGTGATGTCATCAATGTGATGAGTCAGAGCTCAGTGCTGATTCAGTCCTGGTTTAGTCCTGGTTTAGTCCTGGTTCAGTCCTGGTTCAGTCCTGGTTCAGTCCTGGTTTAGTCCTGGTTTAGTTTAGTCCTGGTTTAGTCCTGGTTCAGTCCTGGTTCAGTCCTGGTTCAGTCCTGGTTTAGTCCTGGTTCAGTCCTGGTTTAGTCCTGGTTCAGTCCTGGTTCAGTCCTGGTTTAGTCCTGGTTCAGTCCTGGTTTAGTCCTGGTTTAGTCCTGGTTCAGTCCTGTTCAGTCCTTTAGTCCTGGTTCAGTCCTGGTTAGTCCTGGTTTAGTCCTGGTTCAGTCCTGGTTTAGTCCTGGTTTAGTCCTGGTTCAGTCCTGGTTTAGTCCTGGTTCAGTCCTGGTTTAGTCCTGGTTTAGTCCTCCTGTTTCAGTCCTTGGATCAGTCCTGGTCCTTCATGTTGGAGGTCATTATAGGACAGTACTGGAGGTATCATGAGCCTATGCAGGTTGTTTTCATCATTGCCAGTAGCTCCGGTGTGAGATTTAAGTCGTAGGCTATTTTATATTTGTTATTTTTTTATATCTCACGTTCTGAAAAGTTGGAGGATGGCGTACGCCCGCGTGCCACACCCGCTGCACTACTTTCTTTTTTTTTTTCTGAGAGCATAACATCGATCAGAAAATAGTATAATACTGGAAGTTTAGAGGGCATATATTTGAAATCATATATTGTAAAAACAAAATTTTCATAACCCCACATTGTATTTTCTTTCCCTTCAGAGATGAAATGACGCTAACAAGGAAGATCGGCTCTCTGCGGTACTTCTACAGCGCCGCGTACTTCTTCTCCGCCATTTTAGTCATCGTGTCGGCCATTGTCCCGCACGCGCTCAGTAAGGGCATCATTCTGAGGAGGATTTTCACCACCGCCTCCTACTGTATGGTCCTGAGAATGACACTCACCAGACAGTTACCCGGCTCTATCCAGATGTGGTACGACACACTGGCTCTCGTCAAGAAGATAGAGGTATGGACAGAGCTTCAAACATTTTATTTGCTTTATTCACTCTGGTCTGATGAGTCCTGTTAGGAAATCCGTTCCCTCTAAATGTGGATTTGAATTTTCCAAGATTGTTACGTCACTGGTAAAAGTTTGGAGATTTTTAAGTTCATAAATCAAAATCTGAGCATTTCTGCCATCAAATTACATATGATTAAGCCCTTGTTCTAAAACATGAAATGCCAAAGCAAACATTCTCAAGAGCATGTTTAAAGGCTAAAAACAAAACAAATAATGCGTAATATTTATCCTTTAAACCATGTCCTTAAAATGGCCTGTCTGCTATTGTCTTCTCAGGAGTTTCTGATGAAGGAGGAGTACAGAGTTCTGGAGTACAATCTGACCACCACAGAACTGGAGCTGGTCAATGTCTCAGCCTCATGGGACGAGGTCAGTGACTCCTTCTACACATGTACACAGGACATTACATCAGATTAGGACAGGGTGATAAAAATTGTGATCTGATCTGTGACAAGTCTGTTGGCTTTTTTTTTTTTGTATGTCTGTCTGTTTGTTTTGTGAAATTATCATAATGCGATGCACAAATGTTCTTTTTAATGTCGCTCTAGGCAGACACTTTAACCCACACACTCCTCTGATTGGTCAGCTTCTGTCTTGCTCTGAGTGAGTGATAAGTGTGATGAGACTGAAAATGTGATCCTGGTCAAGTATATTATATTAGTATTCTATTATTACTACTACTTCTACCACCACTACTACTACTTCTACAAGTAAGCGTTGACTCTTGTCCTAGTTTGGTCCTTGTTTGAGCCCAGTTAGTTTAGTCCTGATATAGACTAAGTTTGGTCATGTTCTAGTCCTGGTCTAGTCCAGGTTTAATCATGGTTCAAGTGCTGGTCTAGTCCTGATTTAGTCCCAGTCTAATCCAGATTTAGTTCTGATCTAGTCCTAGTAGGGTTGTCAAAAAGCCACATGTGAATAGAAAAGAAAAGGTCTATGATTTAATGTTGAAAATGACATTCTATTGTTTAAAGAAAGGCTGTTTTAATTATCATTGTGCTATTCGAATTGGTATTGAGTAATGAGTCTATTCCTACGTATGAAAATCGAGTTTGAAATTGTTTGTATTGTTGCTATTTTGCCTCAGGAATATATCACCAAAAGTCTGAAGCACTTGCTGTAAAATTCACCGTTTAACCAACTAACCAACCACAAAAGTCTCCTCTCTTAGTCCATTCCCAGCCTTGGCTTAACAAGGTATTTTAATCTTATCAGTTTGAACACCTACAAACCTCTCACTCAGAGCACCGTACACCGTGAGAACTCCCCTGTCTCCTCCACTCTCCATAATTAATCAACCCACAGCCCAATGTTTTCTGCTGGGAACTGCTGCCAATTCAATCCTAAGATAATTCCTTCAAACTCTTCCTGGAACACACCATTTGGTCATGAATACGGGAGGAGAGTCACTGTGTTTTGTTTCTGCGACAGCACATACGTCATCAGATCACAAAGAATTGGAAAAGTGTCTTAAGTAAAGAATTGAGTGTCACAGGGTCAATGGAAAACTACCAGTGAAGCTGCGGTTAGATCTATACAGTTGTGAGCAAACAGAAAGATGCAATAGGGCGATTTAAATGGGGCTTTTGTGAGCTGAAAATGAGACAAATGACTGGAAGCAGACAAAGGAGGAGCTGGTGTGGACTGGTGTATACAAGTGTAAATGGGAGAATTAGATCACTGGACTGAAACTAAACTTCAAAATGGTGTTAAGAACTCATGGCCTTCTTGTTGTGAGGTGAAAGGTTAAAATGTCTCCATGTTATAATGTTGTTTCCTCATCAAAAACATCCCGGAAGAGGTTTGTGATCATTTTCGGTCATTCATGCATGTTTGAGTAATTTAGCGATCTTCCTTGATCTAGAAAAAAAAACAATCTATATACATTTTCCCTAAACAGTAGTATCGACTTCTCTCTATTTGAAATCCACAGATGCTTAACCTAAAGTTTATATTGTTGATAGGGTCCCTTCGAACCATTACCAGCACGACACTACAATCAATCAATCAATCAATCGACTTTTATTTGTATAGCACTTACATACATTCGAAATGTAACACAAAGGCAAGGCAAGGCAAGTTTATTTGTATAGCACAATTCGTACACAAAGTAATTCAAAGTGCTTTACAGAATAAGAAATACATTAAAATCACAATAAAAACAAATCAAAACATAAATAATCATGAAGATTAAAATTAAAAAAGAGAGACATAAATTGGAGAGAAGAGTGCGGAATGAAAACCTTTCAGTTATTTGCACAGTTAAACAGAAATGTTTTGAGTCTGGATTTAAACAGCGTCACAGAAGAGTCTGTCTCACATGTTCAGGAAGACTGTTCCAGGTTTTAGCTGCATGAACCTGAAAGTGAAATGAATGAATGAAACCAAAGTGCTTCGCATGTAACAGAAAAGTTACAGTGATTAAAAACAACAGCAACCCAACCTCCACCCCACTGTTTTATCCATATATACAGCAATTTAGACAGAAGCATCAAACATAAAGCACTGAAAGTTTATGGTAAAAAATAAATAAATTAAAAAAAAGGAGAGATACAGTGAGTAAAATAATAATTTAATTTTAAACAAATGTAATGATAATAATCATTTAATTTAAATGAAATTAGTTTCAATTCAAAGTTAAATTAAAAAGTTTTGACTTTTATGTTTTGAATTTACACAGCAGACCTCAGATCCTTAGAAGGGATGTAAAAATTTAATAACGCCTCACCGCGAGTTTTAGTTTGAACTCTTGGCACAGTTAAAACTACTGACTACCTAAATATGACTACCTGAGGACCTGAAAGTCCGAGAGGGCTCATATAATAAAAGCAGATGAGATAAATAAATAGGACTGAGCCCATTAAGAGCTTTATAAACCAATTAAAGAACTTTAAAATCTATCCTGAAGCTCACTGGAAGCCAGTGCAGAGACTTCAGTACTGGTGTGATATGCTCTGTTTACAGAGATATAGGAGGATGGGAGGGCATCTGACATACAGGAATACAGAAATGTGGGAGGGCATCTGACACACAGGAATAAATGATGATGTAAAGAGCATCGGGCACACAAAGATATACATTAGGGAGATGGGACGGCATCTGGTACAGAAGAATAGAGAAGGATGGGTGGGCATCTGACACACAGGGATATAGGAGGATGGAAGGGCATCCGACACACAGGGAAATATGTTTTCATCTTCTTTTTCAGGGCATCGGAGAGCTGTTTGAGAAGATCCAGCAGGAGAACAAGTCCAGACCTCCACACTCAGACCCAGGACTGTTCTTCACCAACCTGTACGTGACCCCAGTGCTGCGCAACATCAGCCTCTACCTGGAGAAGGGGCAGATGCTGGCTGTGGCCGGGTCCACTGGATCTGGGAAGGTAAGGCCAAGACTAAAAACAGGTCCTCAAACAGGTTCAAAATCAGGTCTAAAATCAGGTTTCGGCTTATCAGGAGCAGGCGTGCACTGATCCAGCTTTTTCAGTTCCGATACCTACGTCAGTGCCAGTGTAGAGATAGGAAACGGTGACCCAATTGTGTTATGTAACTGTTATTTATCCTTCACATCACTACTGAACAACTTTGCATGAAAAGTTCAAATATTATGAAATGTTCTAGGACAAAATCAACCTGTAAATAGCCTTATTGCATCCAATGAAAGGCCCAACCAGGATATCGACTGAAGCAATATTATGGAACTGATACCTAATCCAGCTATCGGTATCGGTGCATCCCTAATCCAGAGCCACACCCTTTTCCAAATCTTGGTGAGGAGTGTGATTTTCCTTTGAGTCAGAAACAAATTTTCTGTCAATTTCAAAGTTTGATCTACGCACAAATGTCGGTCGCACACTAATGCAGTACGTCCATGGACAAACTACAGCTATATGTTATCAATCTCTTTTACACTTTTAAAGGTGCACTCTTGAGCGTTTTTAGTTGGGGGGAGGGTCTGTGATCTGCTTGTCTCCATGGAGATGTTACTGCTTTGTATGGAAAGTTGCATGACATTAAGCATTCTTATCTTGCATTCATTCAATTTCAGTTATTTTTTATTGCTAAAAAATGTGTATGAATGACAAACTAAGAATATAACAGTTTTAATTGTTTCTGGCAAATAAAATTATGAAATAGTACCATACGAATTATTGCTACAAGGCATGATCCGTGGTCTTTAACCGAAGACCTACTTGCTGAGGGTTGAGACGCTAACCACTCTGCCACTGTCACACAAAAGACTAAGACTTGTTTTTTACGGGGGTCTGCAGAGCTCAGGAAAGGAAGTACAGGACCGGGTCAGATCTGGGTTACGAATAGTGAATGTCACACTCTGAAACGTATGGCTCTGACTCATAAATAATGGTTCGTACAGAAAGTGCGTTCATTCTTATTTTAACCTTTATGCTGAAAATATGTTGAGAGATGTGGCCTGGTAAAAATGCAGATGTATACAGGATAAGAACCAGTTTGTAAATTTGTGTTACGCAAACAAGTTCAACAATAGGCATGGGCAGGAGGCAGGTGCAAGGGGCAGGTGCATGAGCTGTTGTCCGGGCTGAGTTTCCTTATGTTGTGTTATCCCATTTTAGCTCAAGATTTCTCAAGTCCTGGTTTAGACCTGGTTCTCCCCTCTCTCCACCCTCGAGACAGTTTATACATGTTGATTATCCTGATTTAGATCTGGTTTAAACCTGGTTCAGACCTGTTTTAGGTCTATTCTCTGTTATTTCTGGGTCTAACCCCTGTTTAGCCGGGTTATGTTCTGGTCTAAACTGGGTTCAATCATTTCTTCAGTCCTAGTTTAGCCCCTGGTTTAGTCCTGGTTCACTCCTAATTTATCCTTGGTTCAGTGCTGGTTTAGCATTGGTTTAGTCCTGGTTTAGGCCTGGTATAACCCTGTTTTAGTCCAGGTTCAGCCCTAATTTATCTTTGGTTCAGCGCTGGTTTATCCTTGGTGTAGCCCTGATTTAGCCCTTGTATAGCCTTGGTTTAGTCCTGGTATAGTCCTGGTTTAGTCTTGGTACAGCCCTGCTTTAGTCCTGGTATAGTCCTGGTTTAGTCTTGGTACAGCCCTGGTTTAGTCCTGGTATAGTCCTGATTTAGCCCTTGTATAGCCTTGGTTTAGTCCTGGTATAGTCCTGGTTTAGTCTTGGTACAGCCCTGCTTTAGTCCTGGTATAGTCCTGGTTTAGTCTTGGTACAGCCCTGGTTTAGTCCTGGTATAGTCCTGGTTTAGTCCTTGTATAGCCCTGGTTTAGTCCTGGTATAGTCCTGGTTTAGTCCTTGTATAGCCCTGGTTTAGTCCTGGTATAGTCCTGGTTTAGTCCTTATATAGCCGTGGTTTAATCCTGGTACAGCCCTGGTTTAGTCCTGGTACAGCCCTGGTTTAGACCTGGTTTAGTCCTGGTAAACCCCTGGATTAGTCCTTGTATAGCCTTGGTTTAATCCTGGTACAGCCCTGGTTTAGACCTGGTTTAATCCTGGTACAGCCCTGGTTTAGACCTGGTTTAGTCCTGGTACAGCCCTGGTTTAGCCTTGGCTTAGTCCTGACTTAGTCCAGGTTTAGTTCTCGTTTTATCCTAGGTTAGCCCTGCTTTAGCTCTGTTTTAGTCCTGGTTTCGCCTTGATTTAATCCTTGTTTAGCTCTGGTTTACCCCTCTCCCTCTCTCCTCAGAGCTCACTGCTGATGATGATCCTGGGAGAGCTGGTGCCCTCTGAGGGTAAGATCCGGCACAGCGGTCGGATCTCCTTTTCTCCTCAGACTTCCTGGATCATGCCCGGGACCATCAGGGACAACATCCTGTTCGGACTCACATACGACGAATACCGCTACACCTCCGTCATCAAGGCCTGTCAGCTCGAGGAGGTATGGGCTTCAGTCGATTAGTCAATCAGTTGGTCGATGGTGTCTTAGTCAACCAAAATATGTATTGTTTATTTTATTTAGATTATGGGACAACAGCAGGAAGGAGTTAATTTAGTTTTTTTAGATGTAAAAATGATCAAATTTAGTCTGTTTTATATAAATACATTGCCTTTTTCCTGCATAAATAGTTGATTTTGCAGGTGTAGTCTTGTGAGTGCAGTTTGGGTCAGATACATAGATACGTAATAGTTTTGAGAGCTTTTGCCACGCCCCCTTTTCTGTGTCAGCCATCCATAGTGGTCCATACTGATACCTGCTCAAATGAGTATCTATCTAGTTTCAGTACTAGTTTTCATATCAATTACAACCAGACAACCTTAGAACAGTTCAAAAATAGTCACATTAATAAATGAGTTCCACATGTTTGTTGTATTGCACAGTTTGTCACAGATGCCCTCTCTCACTGCTGATAGTTTGAGTCCCTTTTACTCAGGTCTTGTGTTTCTCATAAAAGTGTGTGTTGAGAGACAACTCCTGTATCTGAAACTGGAGACTTATCCTCCACAGCAGAACTAAAGTAACTTCAGTTTCCGCAAACATAACTCTGAGGTGTAAATATGGACAGGTTTCATAAAGCACTGGTTACATTTGGATGACCTTTAAACTTTATGAGTTATTAAAAATTAAAGGTACTTACTTTTTTTATTTTATCTTAAAAATATGACTAAAACCTCACTTACTTCATGCTGTTCCGAGCATCCAAATTATTCACTGTGATGAGTTTATGAGCACTTTCAGTTGCGAAAACGCTTATAAACTTTGCATTGGTTGCAAAACTTTGCGACCAGCGTGAAGTTTTGCCGGTAACAGTAAAGCTAGCAAGAAATATCATGCTAACATGAATTTCCTGAGTATCAGACAAAACACTTTATAATTGGATGCAGACATCTTATTTTTAATTTATTTGTTAGTGTTTGTTAATGCGTGCATTGTGTCACCAGAACTGCAGAACATTCTGCCATAGACATACATGGAGAACACCAGCTCATTGTGAGGTTACTGTAGTTTTTGAGTAGTATTACTTCATGTTTTCATGTATGAGACTCTTGAACCTGACCTGTATGTCCTGGTCCTGTATAACAGAAGTGAGTGTTGTGAGAACAAACAGAGCTGCGTCACACTGACACGTTCTGTAACCTCCTTCTGTCCTGCATGACAACAACAGATTCAAACTACAACCAAATATCATCAGTTTAATGCAGAAGACTCAAACACACTTTTACACAAATATAAAGACATAATATTACTGTCTGTAAATGTCCACACACACACGTACTGGCACAGCACCTCTAAACCGAAGCACTTAGGTTAAAATTATAGTGGAACTACTAGTAATATGCAAAAATAGACTTTTTATAGCTGTTATAATTGTTTCCCTTCTCATTGAGTTTCTTAATGTTGTATTTTACATAATGCGTGTAATCTTTACACTCCTGTATTCAAAATGTTATTGCTCCAATCAACCCCTGTTTTCACCACCACACGCCCACTGTACTTATTTCGTTCTGCAGTTTGTGTTCTTCATCACATAGCCATTTTGGTACAAATGAGCACAAGTACAGTATGTCTTGTTTATGATTAGGTTAGCCTTGTCTTCGTTGGGAAATTTGTCCTCTGCATTTGACCCAACCTTCAGTGTTTCTGGGTAAACCTGTCAAGAGCAAACATGCAACATGCAAACTCCACACAAAAAAGCTCAAGCCTGGGAGCTTCTTGCTCTGAGAAGCAGCAGCAGTTGTACCAGTAATAGTATTAGTAGTAGTAGAAATAGTAGTAGTTGTTATTTTACAGTCTTGTCCTGTGTCCTCGTGCTCTTTTGTGCGGTGCGTGTTCAGACAGTGAGCTCGGTGGTTTCTTTTGTCCCGTACAGACTGGAGCATGTGTCTGAACTGTTTATAGACCTTTAAACTGTGTGTTGTGCTCCTCAGACTGCAGACGACAGCAGCAGGTACGGACTGTGTATGTGTGTATATGCTAAAAATACATGTGTGTTTCCTGCTGTTCCATGTTACAGTTGTGGTCTTTGTGGTCATTTTTAGGTTTGTACTTGCTGTAACCACCAGTCAGTCCAACTTTTTCAGTGTCATACCTGCCAAACAGAGACTTTTCTAGTGGATTCAGTAAATTACCAATACTGGTGCATCCTTGATTAAGTCTAGTTGCTTTGTATTTTATTTCACATCTACAGTTTGTGTGCATGCATGTTTGTACTACAGACAAAAACACCTTACAATTTAACTTAAAGATGGGGTATTATGCGAAACTGACTTTTTTTTTTGAGCCTTCTACCATGTTATAATGTTGTTCCCTCATCAAAAACGTGCCTGAAGTGGTTTTATAGTATGTCATCCATGCATGTTTGAATAATCTAGGGATCTCTCCGGGGCACTATTTGAACTCTCCTTGAACTCTCCTCAGTTAGCTGTAAAATTCTTTCCGATGCTCAGCCCATAAGTCGATGTTACCCATGCTCCCACACAACAATTCTCCATAAGTATACAAAAGCATGACACAACAATGCGCTATAACATGACAAACCTGATGCGATGTGCAGTAGTTTCATTAGCCGGATGCACGCTGATTGTGTTGTGATAGAGCTGTGAAGGGGGAGTGATTTAATGCAGGGAGCAAATGGAGCCAGGACAACAAAGTAATACTTATTAAACATGTTATTAGGTGTTTTTCGTAAAAGAGCATTTTCAAAACAATAAAAGGTAACATGGTGTTCTAAATGTTATGTGTTGAAAGTTAATACCCCATAGACGTCTAATACCCCCTTTTTAATTTCAAAGGTTCAGTATTATCTTCAGTAATTCTCACTCAGACTACAGTAGCATTTTAAACTCTAAACTGTTTTTTTTTTTTTTTTCCAGGACTTTGCTCAGTTCCCGGACAAGGACAGGACTCACCTGGTGGAGGGCGGGGTCACTCTGAGCGGAGGTCAAAGGGCAAGGGTCGGTTTGGCCAGGTACTTCCTGTTTAATCCTCCTGTCATCTGTCCTCACTGCAGTTATTCTGAGACTTTATTAAACAGGAACGCACAGGGAACGCTTTGTGCGTGTTACTGGAATAATCCCAGGTTCAAACGCACCAGTACACAAAGATATGAGCAGAACAGGAAGTAGCTTTGAGGAGTGAACTGATTATAATTAACTCCAGATTAAGTGAACCTCTATGACTAAAGCAGACTAACAGTTTTGACCTTCACTAGTCATACATTTATTAAGTAAAGTGCGCATGATCGGTTTTCATGTTTTTTATAGTTATGACTTGGTTTGTTGGGTTAGGTTAAGTGGCAGTTTGCGGTAAAAATGTTGACAAGTAAAGTACAAAAACAGAGGAGAAGTAGCAATAAAATATAAAACAGAATACCTTTACCTACAGTATGTCATCAACATGAATCTAAAATGTAAAGGCAACCTATGCACAAGGAAGGCATTTTCTGACAGTTTAAATCAATATCAAAGTGTTAATTTTCTTAATCGTATCAAAGCTATTGTGGAATTTTGACAGGCCCTTGTTATCGTTATAGTTGCTAGGTAACAGTTATGGAATTACCTCTATGTATGTCATATCGTCTGCCCAACAAGGAAGTAAAATTATAAACATCAATGAAAAAAAAAAGGCAGATCTAAATCAGGACAAAACAACTGGACTAAAGTTGGGATCAAACATTTGTTCTATGATACATTTAAAACATAGCTAAACCTCTGATTCTGTTCTAAACAAGAACACTGAGAACAAGGTGTCATGTTATATTTTTATGTATCAAATTCTGTCTAGTCTTTCCTTAGTCTTTGTTTAACGTATTACAGTATTTTCTGATCATTGTTATAATGTTGTTCCCTCATCAAAAACATACTGTACCTGGAGTTGTGTTTTGTTTCATTCACACATGTTTAACACACACCCTGCTTTCCGCAAACAGGAAACTGGTAATACAGGAAGTTCTCCACTGTGTTTTTAAACTCCATACACCTTTACTAGAATCATTTGAATCATTTCAGCTCTAGAATTGCCAAGAACAAAAGTTAAAAAGCTGTTAACTTGAAAACTACTTGCCTGATTCATCAGCTGGTTTTACTTCATGAAAACCCTCTGACCTCGCAGCATTAGGATTTGTTCGCTCGATGGTAGGCGGGTACTTTTTTGATTAAACCAATTGCTGCCATTTGGTCATGACGTATGTAATGTGCCGCTAACAGGGCAAACTGGTATATTAAGCTTTTCCCAAATCCTGTAGGAAGAAGGACAATAACGTCTTTCCCCTTGATAAAATTCACCGAATATTCCCTTTGTTCCGGCTTTAAATCCTTGATCTTGAGAATCATGGCAACACAGAATGTATGTCTTCATTTATATCCATCTCGACCTCTTTGTTTACTGTTGTGGTGTACCACAAAAGGGACCCAGACAGGCGCTTGAGTTTGACGTCATGGCTTCACAGCTCTTCGCTGATTGGCCGGTGTGCGGTCTACAACTTCCGTTGTTCTTGCAAACCGTCTAGTGTATTCCGATTCCTGACCACTGGAGAGGATCGAAATTGAGCGGAAGCACTAGGTGGTGCCAGCCTGGCTAGAAAACTACCTCTTCATGACATCAAACATTGAGTTTTGGAGATATAGACAGACTAATAATAATAAAATAATAAAGGATTATTCAAACAAGTGTGAATGAAACAAAACACGAGTCCAGGTATGTTTTTGAGGAGGTAACAACATCATAACATGATTTAAAGCTCAAAGAGTTCATTTTGTCTAATATAGGACCTTTAACCATGTATCTTGTCCCACGTATTTTGGTCCTGGTTTAATCCTACTTTAATCCTGAGTTAGTCCTGATTTAATCCTTTTGAGATACACTGTACATCTTCTATATCTTATCAAAGGCATATTAAAGCTCCAAATTTATCAGATCCTCGACAGTTTTATCGATCCAACTCACATAATCATGTTCTCATATTTGTAGAAAATATTTATGTACATTATTTATGGACTTTTTAACTAGAGTTTTAACAGCTTTCTCATGTCAGATCTACTGATATACCAAGACAACTACTTTCCACACAACTAAACACTTCCTCTTTTATTTAAGGCAGTGTCAACAGTCAACAGATAACATATAGGTAAAAAATGTTGCCTTGTAAATCTATCTAATAATAATCTGCAGATGTTGTGGTGTGGTTAGATAAATATAGCAGGATAATGGAGTTTCCATTTTGGATATTTCTTAAGGAAATATCATAAACATTCCTGCCCCATTTGAGAGAGAGGGAGACATCAGCTGTTAGACCATTGCAACTCATCTGTTTTTAACTGCGCAGAATATCTTTGTAACTTTATCCCTAATGATATATTGTATCATTATCACTTTGGTTATTCGTTTTTGTAAATATCTTATTAATAAAATTGTATTTTATTATTTTATTAATTAAAATTTTAAATTGTATTAATTTATTAATAATTTATTTTATTTCAATTAATTATCTTATCATATAAGACTAATTTATTTTATTAAAGGGCCCATTTTACACTATTTTCTAAAAATAATATTGTTGTTTCCTCATCAAAAACATACCTGGAGTTGTGTTTTGTTTCACACATGTTAAACACACAAACCCTGAATATTAAGAGTTCTTCTCTCAAACACTCATTTGGATCATTTTAGCCCTGGAATCTCTACTGAACTCAAATGTAAAAGGAGCTGTTAACTTGAAAACTACCACTTCATGACATCACAAGGTCGAACAGAGCATTTTGAGCTTTGGAGATATAGATAGACTAATAATGCAGGATTAATCAAACGTGAGTGAATGAAACAAAACACAACTCCGAGTGAGTATTGAGATTTAAAATGTGTGAAATACAACATAATGACCCATAATGTTATAGAAAAGATTATGACTATATAGCCTATAGTAGGGGTGGGCGATATATCGATATTTTAAATATATCGAGATATTTTAAAAACTCGATATGAATTCTGACATATCGTATATATCGATATAATGCTTATATTCAAGTTTGATTTGGCCGCTTCGCTTGTTTACCTTCTCTCTCGTCGCCTCCGCGCGCCCCCGCCTCCCTGGCTTTGCGCGCTCTTGTCTCCTTCACTCCTCACTACCGCCGTGAATACCGAAAGTTGGTGCCAGTGAAAAGCTTCAAGGCCATCAGCAGCACATCCTCACATTCCACCGAGTCTCCTCCTTTAGCCCGAAAGAAGCTAAACCGCATGAGCGGCACGTGGAGTGCGCTGTTTATGCAAATTAGCCATGCGCTTAAGTTTCGTTTCTGTAAAATGTAAACACGTGCGCAAACGGGCTGATGTGGCTCTAGAGTCGTTATGCTTTATATATTGTAAAGTTTAGCAATGTAAAGTTTATTTATGCAGAAGATTTTAATAAATAATCTGCTACAGTGTAACTTGTACAGTTGTGTTTGGAATCGTTGGGTTTGATAGTTTCAGAGCTTCCTTACTGCTGGATAATAACATGGATCTGTTAAAATAAGGAACATCCTGAGCTTCCTCTGCTAAAGGAGCTCATGGTTATGATTATGGTCTGGATAACAGAGTTAATGCAAAGATGAGCTTGAGTTGAGTTGTTTTATTTATGAGTGAAAAGAAGGAAATATGTATTATTTCTTTTATTTTACAGTTAAATTATTATTTATGTAATTAGGTTTTTTTGTAATCTTAAATGTTCCTATATGAACTGCCGACCTCTTACACTTCAATAAAAAAAAAAGACCTTGTGGAATTTGGCAGATTTGTTTTTGCAGTTTTCAATTTTAGGGGGTTATTTTTTCTTGAACATATATCGAGATATATATCATATATCGAGATATAGCAAAATATATCGAGATATATTTTTTGATCCATATTGCCCAGCCCTAGCCTATAGTCTTGTTTAATTTACTCTACATCTTGATTTTAATTGGAAGCATACTTTTTATTACTATCTCCATGCTGCCATGACAAGTTAAGTTCTATCTTTTCTTATTCTCACCACCCCGTTCTGCTGCTTGACAAGAATCTACTGCATTTATGTATGTGAATGTACAAATTAATGAATGTATTTATGACTCTCCCTGTATGTTTCAGAGCCGTGTATAAGGACGCAGACCTGTACCTGCTGGACGCTCCCTTCACTCACCTCGACATTGTTACAGAGAAGGAAATCTTTGAGAAGTATGTTGTTACAGAACATCAAGATTACAGATTACAGTATGGTTTGAAAATAAAGTTAATGCAAGTCTAATCGGCAAGTTCTAAGGCTGAAATTATTCAAATGATTATAGTGAAGATGTAAGGATGTAAAACACAGGAAAACATACATTAAAAGGTCCTGGTTGAGACCTGGTTTAGACATGTTTTAGTCCTGTTTTAGTCCTGTTTTAGTCCTGATTCATTCCTGGGATCAGTCCTGGTTTAGTCCTCGTTCATTTCTGGTTCAGTCCGTGCATTGTAGTTTAAGTCATGGAAAGGGGGAAACGGCCGGGTTCTTGTACCATTTGTTCTTTTGAATTTCATTTAAAAAATGAAAATCAATAAAATGGGAAAGCAGGTTATTATTTCATTATTCCGTTTTAGTGTCAAACCAAAAAAAAAAAACAGATTTCGACCTCTATTTCCAATATTTAATTTAAAGTTTATTTCAAATAACCCATCCATCCATCCATTTTCTTCCGCTTATCCGGGGCCGGGTCGCGGGGGCAGCAGTCTAAGCAGGGACTCCCAGACTTCCTTCACCCCAGACACGTCCTCCAGCTCCTCCGGGGGGACCCCGAGGCGTTCCCAGGCCAGCCGAGAGACATAGTACCTCCAGCGTGTCCTGGGTCTTCCCCGGGGCCTCCTCCCCGTGGAGGAACATCCGGAACAGATGCCCGAGCCGAGCCTCAACTGGCTCCTCTCGACGTGGAGGAGCAGCGGCTCTACTCCGAGCTCCTCCCGTGTGACTGAGCTCCTCACCCTATGTCTAAGGGAGCGCCCAGCCACCCTGCGAATGAAACTCATTTCGAGCGCTTGTATCCGCGATCTTGTCCTTTCGGTCACTACCCAGAGCTCATGACCATAGGTGACCATAGGTGAGAAATAAATAATAATAGGCACAGAGACTGTTTTGAGTGGTGTTAGCTGAAATAAACTTCAAATTAAATACTGGAAATAGAGGTTGAAATCTTCATTCTTAACTGAAATTCAAAATAGCGAATGGTACACAGTGGCTGTTATTCATTTTTTCCATTATTCATTTAAACACAAAATCGAAAACTGAAAAAACAAATCGTTATCTATTTTTTCATTTTGTTTTGAAGACAAATAATAAAGAAAATTGTTGTTTTTTCGTTTTCTTACTTTTTGTTTTATTTTGAAAAACGAATGAACGAATGATACACAGATTAATAACCGCCTTTTAATGTATGTTTTCCTGTGTTCTAGATGCGTGTGTAGGCTCATGGCCTCCAAGACTCGCATCGTGGTCACTTCTAAACTGGACCATTTGAAACGTGCCGATAAGATCCTGCTCCTTCACAACGGAGACTGTTACTTCTACGGCACCTTTTCCGAGCTCCAAGCCAAGCGTCCGGATTTCAGCTCCCTGCTCCTTGGACTGGAAGCTTACGACAACATCAACGCAGAAAGACGAAGCTCCATCCTGACAGAGACATTACGGAGAGTGTCCATAGACGAAACTGCCGGATTCCGAGGCCAGGAAAACCTACGGCAATCTTTCAGGCAAAATCATAACCCGATAATCTCAAATCAAATGCAAAACGGAGGGGAGAGTCATCCGGAAAAACGCAAACAGTCTTTAATCTTAAATCCTTTAGCTGCGGCAAGGAAGTTTTCAATACTCGGCGGGAGTAACCAACCCAACCCGCAAAATACGACCATGGAAGACGGCGTGCGAGAGCTGAACGAGAGGAGGTTTTCTGTAGTGCCAGAGGATGATCAGGTGGAGGAGGTGTTGCCACGTTCGAACATGTTTCATCACGGTTTCCACCATCTGAACGGACAGAGGAGGCAGTCGGTTTTAGCGTTTATCACGAACGCGCAGGGGCAGGAGAGGAGGGAGCAGGTGCAGTCGTCCTTCCGGAAGAAGTTGTCCATAACTCCACAATGCGACCTGGCCTCAGAGCTGGACATATACGCGCGGAGGCTGTCCAAAGATAGTGTGTACGATATCAGCGAAGACGTGGACGAGCAAGACATGGAGGTGAGAGGAGCTAAAAAAAGAAAGACACAAAGAAATGTTCAAATGCCTTTAAGGGGAGCGGGGTGGGAGAGCATGGGAGACAAAAAAAAAACAATGAGATGGAAACTAAACGAGAACTGAACCAGGATTAAAACTCAATTAAACCAAGGCTAAATCAGGATTAAAACTGGATTTATTAACCAAGACTAAATCTGAACCAAATCAGAACTATACAAAGACTAAACCAGGACTGAACTAGGACTAAACCAGGACTAAACCAGGTCTAAACCATGAGTAAACCAGGACTAAACCACGAGTAAACCAAGACTAAACAAAGGCTAACCCAAGGACTAAACCAAGATTAAACCAGGACTAAACCAGGAGGATTAAACCAGGTCTAAACCAAGACAAAACCAACTAGCAAACCAGGACTAAATGAAGACTAAACCAGGACTAAATCAGGACTAAACCAGGACTAAACCAGGAGGATTAAACCAGGTCTAAATCAAGACAAAACCAACTAGCAAACCAGGACTAAATGAAGACTAAACCAGGACTAAATCAGGACTAAACCAGGACTAAACCAGGAGTAAACCAGGAGGAATAAACCAGGACTAAACCAGGTCCAAACCAAGACTAAACCAGGAGGGTTAAACCAGGAGTAAACTAAGACTAAACCAGGACTAAACCAGGTCTAAACCAGGTCTAAACCAGGACTAAACCAGGAGGATTAAACCAGGACTAAACCAGGAGGATTAAACCAGGACTAAACAAGGACTAAACCAGGAGGATTAAACCAGGACTAAACCAGGAGGATTAAACCAGGACTAAACAAGGACTAAACCAGGAGGATTAAACCAGGATTAAACCAAGACTAAACCAGGAGGATTAAACCAGGACTAAATCAGGACTAAACCTGGACTAAACCAGGAGTATTAAACTAGGACTACACCAAGAATATATCAAGTTTATACCAGATCCAAACAAAGACTAAGACAGGACTTTACCTGAACTAAACCAAGGAACTGTTGAAACCTTTTTGTGGTTTTTGGTTGTGAAGGAATTGACAGGCAGATACATGGTGAAACATGTTAAAAATGCATAATTGTTGTATATGTATTTGTTTGACAGCAAGCATTTGCAGATGAGAACGAGAATGTGTTTGAGACGACCTCATGGAGCACTTACCTCAGATACATCACCACCAACAAGAGCCTGGTCTATGTGCTGGGCTTCATCTTCCTCATCTTCGTCATCGAGGTACACACAGCATCCTACACTCCTACAGCTACTACTACTCCTATACAACACAAGATAGATAGATAGATAACAGACAGACAGACGGATTTGAGGTTCAAATTTGAGTGCACCCTAGCATTACAGGGGTGCTGGAGTGTTGACTTATTCTTTTGGCTAAATAGGTTTCAATAACTTAAAGGTGCACTATGTAACTTTTTGGTTATAGGTCCCTCATGTGCTTGTTTCTATGGATATGTCATTGATCTACCTTACATTTATTACTTTGCATGTGGTCTTAAAGCTCAAAAATACCTAGAAAAACCTATTTAGACCTAGAAAGGTCTAAATAGAGGCATAGGGATATTGGACTAGGCGATGTTTTATAGCTCAAAAACAACAGAAAAACAACATTCTGACTGTGAGCGGAGTCGCCTCTCCACAGATCTGACCTGTAACTTGATCTGGTTTGGTCTCTATGAAGCTAGAAAGGTTTAAAACCATACTGTGAAACATTCCAGACAAAACAACAACATTTCCATGGAGACAAGCATTAGATGGACTCTCCAGCAGCCAGAAAAGTTACACAATGCACCTTTAACTGAACTGCGTCCACACATAGAACTATGATAAAATCTGGACAATGAATCCAAGATGGCCTGTGCTCAATGGTGCATGGGCCCCCCAAAAAATTTTGCTTCCGCATTTACTTTCTCAATTTCTCAATCATATGACGTCTGTAACGCTCACGACGTGGAGCATTTGGACCAATCAGAGCGAGAGCTGCTAGAGCGGAGCTAGCGCGGGCTCAGAGTGGGGCAAGGCTAAGTCTTCTAAAACTAACTGTTAGGCGCTTTGTTGATTTAAAAATTTTTTTAAACTTTATGTTGTGACAGTAGAAAAGAATCCCTACAATATCTGACCTTTGTGAAAGTTGTCAATGCCCTGTCAGAACACGGGCAGTTTTCCCAAATTCCCAAAAATGCATTGTGCTTCTATGGGAGAATTCTTTCTGGCCCCAAGCTCCCTGGAGCTGCAGTACCTGGAGCTGCCACTAGTCTGTCTGGAGACAGAACAGAGGGGGAGGGGCTTATCCAGGTTTTATTATAGATCCATGGTCCCCAACTACAAGGTAGATATGGTCAAATACAGGTTTTACTAATAACAACTGTAATGCTGATTTATTCTGAATCACCTCAACACTGGACATGTTTTTGTTCTCAAGATGATTATCCAATCAGGAAGCAGAATGAGTTTCACATGAGTCGCTCATTTGGGTTACCAGTTTCAAAGCTGAAATCCAGTTGGTTTAAACCTAAATCCTGGTCACTCTCTAAACCCTGCAACAATCATGAATCAGTGCTAGTACAGTCTCTGCAGATATATAGATAGATAGATGTTGCAGCATATGACCAAAGCACTTTCCCAGTTTTGTTAATTTTGTTCACTCACAATGGCAATAACAATTTTCTGATTTCTGATTCTGAATATATTGAATGCTTGATTTAATACTGCAGCTGTGACAACTTTAACTTGAACTGAACTGTTTCTGAACAGGTGGCTGGATCCGTCATTGGCATTTACCTCATCACTGAGTAAGTAGTGAATTATAATATATTTTGTCTCTGTTTTCATGTTTTTAACATGTTTTGTTAACCAAGGACTGGAGTTGACAATTAGTTCTAGCTACACACTCTATATACGTCGCATCAGCTGCGTGCTCTGCCTGGGAGTATGTATGACTGCATTGTCCTCGTCTAATCATAAAGAAACTATCACAGAGTTATTGATCTTTGTGTGGAAGCCAATAGCAAAGCGCCTAAGCAAACCAAAACAAATATGATGACGCTGACAGACATATTTAAGCCTATTTTAGCGTCAGTATAGACTGTTTTGCTTTTGCTAAACGTTAAACAAATTGCCTGAATTTTGACCTAGCTTCAAGAGAATCATGATACGAATTTACTGACATATCTCTCAGATCTACTTTTCATTGTAATTTGACTTTTGTCCCCATCTTTCCTTTCCCTTCCTCTCTCTCAGTAAGATCTGGAGGGACAGCGCTAACCCAAACTCTCCAAACTACATTAGCGAGCAGCACCCGAACGCCTCGTCTCCCCCGGTGCACTTCGCCGTGATCGTGACCCCCACCAGCGCCTATTACATCATCTACATCTATGTCGCCACCTCCGAGAGCGTGCTGGCCCTGGGCTTCTTCAGAGGGCTCCCCCTAGTGCACACTCTGCTCACTGTGTCCAAACGCCTCCACGAACAGATGCTGAGCGCGGTGCTGAGGGCTCCGATGGCCGTGCTCAATACTATGAAGACAGGTGAAAACTACATGAGGATAATATAGATGTCTTATAAGCCCATCAAAGTCATTGTTCATTAAGGCCACCACCACACACTACAGGAGAATTTGCCCGATTTTGGCTGCGATTTCTTCTCCCAGAGTTTGGAGAGGCGTGACCTGTTTTTGCGGCTTCGTGTGCAATTTTGTCACTCCCAGATCGTAACCACCAAACATCAGCAACTCAGCGGCAACAGCCAATAAAACAGAGCGCCGGGCAGAGGAGTGACGGACGCAAAGATGCTAAATACAAACTCGGGATATAATGAAAATAATGAGACTTTATTACTCACCTCTCATAAAGTGGAAAATTTTAAGTGCAGCATCTCATCCACATTATCCATAGAAATTGTTCACAAATAATGACATCCAGTCCACAAAACTGTGCTATTAATCCAGTTCGAGGTGTTTTTAGAATGTAAAAAGGTGAGAGTAGTTCCTCATGTGTGTCTGTTTACATCCACACAGCGCATGGATCGAGGAGAAGCTGCAGATTAGTGATAGTAATAGTGAATAATTTATCGCCAGTTTTACTTTTATCTAGGGATGGGCATGATTAATCGATAATTGATCATTAAGAATTTCATCGATTACGTTCATTTTAATCGACAAACCGAATGTAGGTTGCTGTGCGTAGCGTGACCAAACAGGGGTCTGTACATGTGTGTCTCTGCACTCAGAAGGAGCGAGACACAAACACGAAGCACAAATGCGTATTTAACGATGATTTGTACAAGAAATTCCACGCTTTCCGTTGCGTTCGGGACAAGTGTGAGTCCATGTGCACAGTGTATAAAGCAGCACATATGTTTCAGTGTCCAGTGGGAAAAAGTTTTACCAGGTGAGAGTCGCTCAATGTCGATGACGAGTCCCCACCTCCCTCCCCCCGTACGGTGTCCTGGTTTTGACAAACGCAAATATGTTCACACTAACCTGTATTCCACTGAGTCATGTCTTTTAATCCAACAGAAGTTGACCGCATCAGCGCACAAGAGCTGTAGTTTTAATTCTTCGCTTAAATGTTTATGTCAAATTATGCGATGTATCGATATTAATTAAGTATTCGAAATTAATCTGTGTATCTGAGTATGCGCAAAACTATAATTAAACACATTAAATAATGTCAAAAAACAGGGAACTACACAGACCATGATCCTTTGGTGTTGTCAGCACAGACTACATGAAGAAATAACTGTTATTAAGCACTTTCACATCTTAATTCTTCATATTATAACAGTGCCAAAGGGTTTTCAAGACTTTTCCAAGGTTTTTAAAAGGAAAAAGTAACATATTCACACTTCTGTTTGCCTCCACAAAATATCACTATAAATATCAAACCGTGAGATGCATATATATTTAGTTTTGTGTTGCGTCTAAACTAGAAGTGCAGTGCTCTGATCTTTTGAACACTTAAGACACGATCGCTCTTACAACTTTATATCCTGTGGTCTGCAGACATATCCATCTGCAGTCTTTGCGATTGGAGATTTTAAGTCCCAATAGATTGTCCTCGTGTCTGTGGTGTGTGCTTTATGTTTGCACGTTTAAAAATCATCTAAGACTGAAAAATCCTGTGGTGTGCGATGGCCTTTAGACTATACTGTATATATTAATAGATACAACTAGTGTTGTGTTCCAACTGGAAAGTGAGCATGGGTCTTAAAATGTTTGTATAGAGCAGGTTGCTCTATTTTGTCTTTAAAACAAGATAGAAACATTACTAGCAGACAAATCAGGCACCTTCTTTCCCCAACGTCTCTTCCACTAGCGTTAGCAACAGGTTATGGGTCACTTCTTTATACAGTTGATGCTAGGGTGTCCAGACATCCCTATTTACCTGGGACAGTCGTAGTTTTGAGCCCTGTGTCTCCTGTCCCATCATATTTATACATAACCAGTGATTTGTCCCAGTTTTATACAAGAAATGTCCCAGGTGTCCCTATTTTTGACCAATTTGATCTACATCAAGTTTAAACCAGGACTAAAACAGGACTATCACAATTTTTGATTAATATGATCCCTGCCAACAGTAAAGAGGAGCATAAATTATCATTTGTTTGGCCAAAATACAGAAATCTGTGTTTGCGAATGACCATAAAGCAAAACAAATGCAGTGACAGAAGTTCCTCAGATTATGACTGACAAGAGAATGCACAATGTTACACACTCTTTTCACTATTTTATTTATACCAACCATCCCAACCCGGGTGTGTCCCAGTTTAGAATTTTGAAAATTTGGTCACCCTAGTCTATACTCATTCCACACAAAAGTGTCCTGGGGTGAGATTGACAGTTTGCACCATCAGCCCATCCAACTACTACCAATCACTCCCTCACACACACACACACACACACACACATAATGAAACAGGCAATGTGAGTGTCTTGTTTAAATGTACAATATGTAAGTTTCTGGGGGTGGTACATTACCTGAACGATTCCATGGAAAACCATACCTTGGAACATTCTCCATTGAGTCATACTGTGGAGGAAAAACAAGCTGGAGATGGCCTTCCTCCACATCAAACTATTTTGTGGACATGAAAGCGCTGTCAAATTAAGAACGCATGTTTTCATTGCAAAAAATATGCTACGTGTCTATTTTTAGGTAAAATTGTCTGTAAGAACACAATAACATGTACTAGTCAGAGTACAATACAGATGGATCAAACTGTGTGACTAACTGTAACTCACCAGTTTCCTGCGTTTGTCTCAGGTCGAATCATGAACAGATTCACTAAAGACATGGCCACAATCGACGACATGCTCCCCCTGGTTCTGTTTGACCTCATTCAGGTGAGAAGAGGGTTTTATATTATTATAGCACACATGACTCCTGTTGAGCATGTCTAAGTGTTCTCAGAGTAAACCCTGTGCCCCCCTCCCCTCTCAGCTGACTCTGATCGTGACCGGAGCCATCTTCACCGTGTCCATCATCCGCCCGTACATCTTCATCGCTGCCATCCCACTGGCCATCATCTTCATCATGCTCAGGAAGTACTTTCTGAGGACCGGACAGCAGCTCAAACTGCTCGAGGCTGAAGGTGGGTCTCTTTTCAAAGATAAATCAGCCACTAAGAAGGTTTTGTGACTCCCGGGCTGGACGGGACCTTTCTGTGAAGATTATGCATGTTCTGCCTGTGTCTGGGTGGATTTCCTGTAAATTAGCACAGCAAAATGATTCACTCACACGTCAGATGTACGTAAGCAGCTCTTGACTCTATTATTGTGCAAATACAACCTTTTTTTTTTTTTTTTTTTTTTTTATAAAGGAGCAGCCTTTTGTTTTTGTGCATTTGTAGATGGGAAAGATCTCAACTTTTCCTCAGTGGCTTACAGTGAGAGCCATCTATGATTGACAGAGAAGTGCACTCAAACTGATGCAAATAGGACACAAACTGAGGCACGTGGAGGTTCACAGGTCAAAAGTGAAACCACAGCAGAGACAGAGGAAGAGGCCGGAGACAGGACGAGCACAAAGCACAAAGCCCTGTGTCAGTGTTTTCTACCGAGTCGACTGAGCTGGAGCTGCTTCTGTTATCTGTCTATGACCCCACATCTATCTCTCCTTCTACTCACTCTTTCTCTATCTCTTATTCTCTCCCATCACTTTCTCTCCCTCTTTTTCTCTTCCTCTTTCTTTTATTCTAAATTAATCCACAACAGCACCAGCCTATGACTCAGTGGACAGCGGAGGATTCCCTGGTAAATCCGTCATGGAGTCTGGAGTCTAGTGAAACAGGAAGTTGAAGGGCACAGACAGGAAGTAGCTCTTACCTGTTTGTTCTGGCTAATGGAGCTCTGGGGAGCAGAAGTGTTGATGTATGAACCGCTCTGGCGTCATTTAAATGTGATGATGAAAAACGAGAGGATCTGTCATCTTTCTGCGTATATTCTTATCACATACACAGTGTTCTTTTAACCAGTATTCATATTTCTCGGAATGGTTTAATGAAACAGAAATGTACATGGTTAAGTTTGTAAAGATTGTCGCTTCTGTTAAAATAACTAAAGACTAAATGAGAAAGTTTAATGCTATAGTCCCATAGAGTAACTGTATCATGACTATTTACAGGACAGAGATAGATATACCTTTATCAGACGTGGGACCAAGTTGTTGTTTTCCAAGTCTCATGTAAGGACCTCAAGTCCAAGTCAAGTCCCAAGTCAAAGACAGGCAAGTCCAAGTCGATTCTCAAGTCACTAGCCCATAAGTCCAAGTCTTGTCCAAGTCATCTGCTTTGAGCTTCAAGTCATTTCAAGTCTTTAAGTATCAAATAGGAAGAATTAAGATTTAAGAGTGCTTAATAACAGTTATTTTGCCATAGTCTGAACTGAAATGGAAGGATCGTGTTCTTTGTAGCTCCCTGTGTTTAATTGTATTGTACTGAATATTACTGTAGTACATGAGGATACCATCTCACAGTACTTTAGTTACATCCAAAGTAACAAACAGAGAAGTGGGAGGGAAATGTTCCAGTTTGTTCCTGTAAAATTAAGTGCCACATTTATCATCTGTAAAGAGAAAAGTATTTTCTAAAAACATATTTTTTTTAGGAAAAGCATCAAGTCTTCTCAAGTCACAGGGCTCAAGTCCGAGTCAAGTCCCAAGTCACTGACCTTCAAGTCCAAGTCGAGTCCCAAGTCTGACTCAAGTCCAAGTCACAACTTGCAAGTTTCCACCTCTGCCCTTTATTGTCCCAAAGGAGAAATTCAAAAGACAATAGTTCCGTGTTGGTCATATATATATCTCTCTTTCTCTTTCCTTCTATCTCCTCTCTCCCACCCCCCACCCTCCGCTCATTCCTCCCTCTGTCTCTCATCTCTTCCTTCTCTCCTGTCTCTTTCTCTCTCCTTCCACTTTCTCTCTCTCCTTCCACTTTATACTTACTTTTCCCTTCTTGCTCTTCATTCTCTCACTTTCTCTCTCTCCCTTCCTTCCTCTCGTTTTTTCCCCTGCCTGTCCCTTCCTCTCTCTTTTTCCTCTCCCTGCTCCCGCTCTCTTTCTCTCTCCTCTCACTCTCTCTCCCTTCACTCACTCTCCTTCCTATTTCTGGGCTCTCCCTCTCTCTCATTCTCCCATTTCTTCCCTCTTCTCTCCCTCAGTCCCTCTCTTTCTCCCCCTCTCTCTCCCTCCTTCCTTCACTTCTCTCCCTCCTTTCTGACCTTTCCACAGTGTAAGGTCAGACTGAGATTGGAGCTGGTTTCCTCTGACACAGAAATCACTGGAAATAATGCCACAGACTTCAGACCTGCACAGAGCAACAGTGCAGTGACTCAGGCTGTAAACATGAGTCCTATGGCCCATCACAACATATTTTCACTCTTGGACTTTTCCACGTAAACAGCTGCAGTTACAAGAGTGCGTCAAAGCAATAGGATTTGTCCTCAGCTTAACTGATGTCAGAATATCAAATGGAGGGAAGGATCTTTATAACTCTGTGAGAGATTCACTGTTCTTGTGAGAAATAACTAAACAGAAAATCCAACTGACAACAATCATACCAGCGTGTTTTAATAATGACAACACTACTAAATACTACATAGGAAAAGCACTGTCATTAGGCATGACACTTCACCCACATTGCCTAGTATGAATCTGATGTATCCATGAGTGTTAGCACCTCAGTCACCTAATCATTTTATTTGGATTGTAAGGATTTATAGGACAACAGCAAAAAGAAGTGAGTGATTTAGTATTTTTCAGGTGTAGAGTTGTGAGTGCAGGTTGGGTCAGATACATAAGGTAGATAATAGTTTCATTTAAGGCTGGTCAAAAGATCCATTAATCAATTAGTCATATGAAGTTCAAATTGAACAATTTTTATCCTGTCCTGTGTCCAGCACGCAGTCCGATCTTCTCCCACCTGATCATCTCGCTGAAGGGGCTGTGGACCATCCGAGCGTTTGGCCGTCAGACGTACTTCGAGATGCTGTTTCACAAAGCCCTGAACACACACACGGCCACATGGTTCCACTACCTAGCCACGCTCCGATGGTTCCTCTTCCGCTGTGACATGATCTTTGTGCTCTTCTTTGGCGCTGCTGCCTTCATCGCCGTGGGAACCAACAGTAGGTTTATGAATTATGAACTAGAACAAGACCAGAACTAAACCAGCTGTAAGTAGCGCTTAGACCAAGAAATGCACCTGCTGATGTAATTATACTCAGACCTTTCTCTCAGCACATGTTTGTGATGTGTGAGCACATGAGTCTATTGATACTTTGCAGTGACATCACGCTAGGGGTATTCTACATGTATGTGTATTGGCAAAATGTTTAGAAGTTACCATGTTAACACAATGCACATATTAGTAGTTTTATACAAACCTTCTCCAGCAGTGTTTCAGTTTTATTTACAATTTTACTGGGTGCTTTTAGTTGTATGCACAAAGAGTTGAGCCTTTACAGGTGATTGTAATGCAGGATAATAATGGATCATGGAGAAAGTGATAGTGTTCGCTCCGGCTCTAAGCACTAGGAAGCATGCATCGGACTGCTACTGCAATTAATCCATGCTTTGTATCTGTCCCTTTTCAAATAAACCAAATGAATACATAAATATTATGTTAATAATATCCCAGATTCATACAAACATATATTTTGTTATTATTTTAAGTTAAAAATTACTTTGAGAACTTGACTATAACAATACTTTGTACTTCGTTTGTAATTTGTATGCCTTGCAATAGATTTTAAAGTCTTGATATTGACACAAACATTGATTATCAGGCACATCACGCTGTGGCCAAACCTCCTTTTCAAAGTTTGATCCCGTCAGATCTCAGAAGTTTAGCAGGGCTGGGCCTGGTGAGTAGTTGGATTGGAGAATTCCAGGTGCCACGGGGCAGCACAAAAACTGTGGTTCTGACCTTAGACAAGATACTTCACGCACATTGCCTAGTATGGTGTACGTGAATGTTGTAGTGGTGACCAGTGAGGTGCAGACTGGCAGACTCACTTACGTCAGTTTGCCCCACGACAGCTGTGGCTACAATAGTAGTTTACCAGCACTGAGTGTTCACCTCTAAGTAAATAAACATTTGGAAATGTGCTATGTAAGACTAATGAATGCATGATGATGATGATGATTATTATTATTATTATTATTTTTACATCTGAAAACCAAGTATTGGTCATTGGCTGAACATTCCAACTTTGAGATCGTCTGCGTACTCCAAGGCCCTAACTCCAGAGCCCTGCTCAGGGAAGTGTGTGTGTGATTAAAAGAACAGTCTGTTTAAATGTGTTTAGATCAGAGCAGACGGAGCTCATTTTGTGCTTCATTAGATTTAAATCAGGAGAGACTGGAGACGGGAGTTCAGAGGGTCACTGCCACTTTGCAGCCAGGAGCACACCAGGGACAAAACTGAGCTCTATGTGTCATTCACACTGCTTGGTATATTTTATAGAAGAATATAAAACATAGGTAAATGTATTTAGGCTACTTAAAATTAGAGACACTGAAGGGCCACCAAGTAAAATTTTTACACACCGCAAAATACCAAGAGAGGGCGCAAGGAGTCCTGCTCCTAGAGTAGATCATTCATGTGTATCTGTTATATCTGTATTTCTGTGCCCATGTGGAACTATTTTGAATCCTTTTTCTTTCCAGGGGACAAACCAGGAGACATTGGGATCATTGTGGCTTTGGCGATGCTGATTCTGGGAACGTTTCAATGGGCCGTGATCACCAGCATCACTGTGGATGGACTGGTATAGAGCTATACTCACCCATTTTCATCAAGAACACAAAGACTAACAGTTTAGTTAACTAAACCAGGATTAAAGCAGAACTAAACCAAGAATAGACCAAGACTACACTACACCCAAACCAGGAATAAACTAGTACTAGACCAGGACTAGAAGAACATGTCTTAACTAGGGCTAAACCAGGACTTAATCATACCTGAGTCAAAACAACTTTAGACCATTTTTTAGACCACTAGATGTAAACCAGGGCTTGTTTTAGCCCTGGTTTAGATTAGACCAAGACCAGACCAAGACCAGACCAAGACTAGACCAAGACTAGACCAAAACTAGACTAATTCTAATACAATCATACTCTAATTCTAATGCATTTGTCCCTTCTTCCCTCAGATGCGCTCAGTGGACCGGGTGTTTAAGTTCATAGACCTGCCCTCAGAGGAGCCAGTTTCTCGCTCGGCACGCTCTGGTCCAGACCTTGTCCTGGAGAATCCTCATGTGCATGACTACTGGCCCAACAGAGGACACATGGACGTACAGGGGCTGACCGTCAAGTACACAGAGGCCGGGAGAGCTGTGCTGAGTGACATCAGCTTCACTGTGGACGGAGGACACAGTGTAAGAACTAGTATTAATGTTACTGCTACTATCCATGGCACTAGTACTATTGTTACTGCTACTATCCATGGCACTAGTACTATTGTTACTGCTACTATCCATGGTACTAGTACTATTGTTACTGCTACTATCCATGGCACTAGTACTATTGTTACTGCTACTATCCATGGCACTAGTACTATTGTTACTGCTACTATCCATGGGTCTAGTACTACTGTTACTGCTACTATCCATGGGACAAATATGACTGTTACTGCTACTATCCATGGGACTAGTACTACTGTTACTGCTACTATCCATGGGTTTCAGAGTGATGGAATCACTGTTGTCATAGTAGTTACAACTGGCTGAAATTCCCTCTGTCTTTCTGTGTCAGGTGGGTCTTCTGGGTCGCACAGGCTCGGGTAAAAGCACTCTGCTCTCAGCTCTGCTCAGACTGGCCTCCACAGATGGAGACATCTCCATCGATGGAGTGTCTTGGAGCTCTGTGTCTCTGCACACCTGGAGGAAGGCCTTTGGGGTTGTCCCACAGGTAAAACACTACATACTGTACACATTTACACATTCATTCCTACTGACCACCAACGGTTGTGTTTAAAGCGCTGAATGATCAATGAAGCACTGCCTTTGGCGGTCATCCAGGATTCATAGAACCATAGTTATATGGTTTGTTCTAGGTTATGTGACTTTTGTTTCATATACTCACCTATAGACCAGAACCTGGAACATAACAGCACTGCTATCTGCTCTCGTGTTGACCTGTACCTCCAGCCCTAGTGTTGCTCCTATGAGTCAGTCTAATGTCATGTTCCTGTTACAGAAAGTGTTCATTCTGACCGGGACGTTCCGGATGAACCTGGATCCGTACAGTCGCCACAGCGACGAGGAGCTTTGGAGAGTTGCAGATGAGGTACAGAATTTTAAAGTCATATGAAATGAGGACATGATCAATCAGAAATGTGCTAGTGAAAAGCATTTTTCATGAATATAGCATTTTCAAAACAATAAAAGGTAACATGGTAAATATGGTATGTGTTAGTAGTTAATACACCATAGAAGTAAAATAACTCTTATTATGTGTATCTCAGGTGGGTCTGAAGTCAGTGATCGAGCAGTTTCCTGATAAACTGGACTTCCAGCTGGAGGACGGAGGCTACGTCCTGAGCAATGGACACAAACAACTGCTGTGTCTGGCCCGCTCCATCCTCAGCAAGGCCCGCATCCTGCTACTGGATGAGCCCTCTGCATATTTAGACCCTATGTGAGTACTGCTACTACTACTACTACTACTACTACTACTACTTACTACTACTGCTACTGCTACTGCTACCGCTACTACTACTACTACTACTTCTACTACTATTACTATTCATTGCCCATCTGGAGTAGATTTGAGTTCATGTTGGTGGCCCTTGTGTTCCCTCTGTGCTTTAAGCTGCTCTGCACTTTTCACACTTCATTTGACTCATTTAAACTTTTGATTCAGATCTAACGTTGTACTCAGAGACCAGTCGCAGTACTATACATGACCCATTTTCTAACAAATTATGTGATTTCTTTCTGTTCCCTTATAAATGTTGTTCTATTAAGTGAATAACTGTAGCCTTTCTGCTGTCAGTTTGTGGTTTTTGGTTGTGTTTCATTATGTTTCAGACCAGTAGGACTTAAACAGGTTTGATGTTGTATTTTAAGTTTTTATTTTGTTCTTGTATTTGTAGAACGCTGCAGGTCCTGAGGAAGACTCTGAAACAGTCCTTCTCTGACTGCACAGTCATCCTGTCCGAGCACAGAGTGGAGCCTCTGCTCGAGTGCCAGTCTTTTCTGGTGAGTCTGAGAACAAGAACTGAAACTACGACTGAACCAGGACTAACACTGGGACAATAACGTAATGATTTAGAGGTGCATTGTGTAACTTTTCTGGTGGAGGGCCCATCAGATGCATTTCTCCATGGAGATGTTTTTTCTTTGGACCAAGTTACAGGTCAGATCTGTGGAGAGGCAACCCCGTTCATAGTCAGAATGTTGTTTTTCTGTTGTTTTTGAGCTATAAAACATCGCCTAGTCCAATATCCTTATGCCTCTATTTAGATGTGCCTGTTCTCTGACACTTTTTAGTATTCCGACACTGGCTTAATGAACTTGAATGATTATTTATTTAGACTAGGATTGCCTACATGACGAAATGAATGAAGCACAAAGGCCACATGTAGCCTCCGTTTTAGATTAGATATTCCTGGAGGCTGGCCTACACTCTTTTTTAAAATGCATAACTGTTTCCCACGGCGATCAGTTAGGACATTTTTCCACTGTCTGATATTGTATGTGGCCTAAGTATTCTCTGATCAAGAGCTTTACCCAAACATCTTATGATATATGGGAGCACAAAGTATAATAGGCTATCACATTAATATTATTCATGTCGGAAAAGTGGAATGTTTGAAAAATTCTAATGTGCCGCTAAAATTGTAGTTGTGTAAGTAGTTCGTTGCTTGAAGAAAAATAATGTTTATGCCACTACTCCGACAGTTAGACGTCAAAGAGTAAATAGCGACATGTCGGAATAGTGGCATGTAACCCTATAAAACCACCTGTAATTGAACAAAGTACAGCTGTTTAATGTCATACCGTGGAACATTCCAGGCAGAGCAATGACATATCCATAGAAATGAGCAGGTGACGGACCCCCAGCCAAAATGTTATATAGTGGTATCATATGATATTTCACACACAATGACGTCCCTTTGTAAACACAGAAGTATGGTGGAGTTTAAAGATGCCGTCATTGACATCCACCGGCAACTCTCTATCCACTGCCTCTGTCAGGATTTAGTGATTCTAGCACGACTCAGCAAAAAACTCACTGGGATAAAAGTGGAGTGGAAGTCCTTTGGATAACAGTGAGCTCACAGTAACTTAAGGCTGCTATATGATCAAGCGCTAAATCTACACCCACACTGCCCCCCACATATCAGAAAGCTAGCGGTGATTGCAGGTCCATATATATGCTGTGCTCCTGGGCCAAAAAGTGTTTATACATTGAATTTCCACCTAACACAAGAGCTGTTATTGGTTGATCGACAAAGACTGTAGCAGGGCTGTTCAAACATTTTTCACATGCGTCAAATCTTGAAACATATGGAAGCAGAGGATCAAGCCAATGATCAATACAGTGTGTCATTCAGATCCAATCCAGTCCACTTTATTTCTATAGGACATTTCAAAAACAAAACAGTTTCCAAAGTGCTGCACAAATACAGATAAAACATACACAATAGAAATATCAAATATAAAAATTTTAAATAAATCTCTACTTAACCTCACTGGTCCTTGTTAAGACAATAAAACTAGTAAAATCAAATAAGAGCAAGAATACTAATAAATAATAAAAAGGTAAAACACATAAAAATAAATAAAAGACACAGAGGACCACACAACTCATCCAGTGTTAAAAGCCAGTGAATAAAAGTGGGTCTTTAGTTTAGATATAAAACACTCCACTGTGGGGGCCGTTGGGACTTGAGGGGGCAGAGTGTTCCAGAGCTCGGGGCCGTCCACAGAGAAAGCCCTGGTGCATTTAACATAGTTTTGAAGGATCGGCCAAACCTTTAATACCCTTAACGCACTTGCACTGATATTAGCCTTAGGTCTGTATTATCATGCAGTGTGATGTTATTGAGGTTATAGTGATAGCGTTATTTAAATTTGCTGTAAAAAGTAGTAATATTTTGATTCCCATAACGCACATGGACTCTGATGAGCTTCGTCTGGTTCAGCTGAGGGAGCCTGGACTATAAAGCAGCTTTAGCAAGGAGCTATGATGCACAGTTTCTTATCCTTTTGTATGCCCCTCTCTCTTTTCTATCTCAGATGATCGAGGGCAGCTCCATAAAAACATACGACTCCATCCAGAAACTCCTGAACGAAACCAGTCAACTCAAACAAGCCATAAGCCCCCAAGACCGACTGAAAGTGTTCCCAAACCTGCACCGCCTCAACTCCAGCAAGAGGGCGCCAAATCAGGGCCCAACCAAGATCTCCAGTTTGCCAGAGGAGAGCGAAGACGACGTGCACGATACCAGACTTTAAAGACCAGAGACCAGACCAGAAAGTAGACCAGAGACCAGCGACCAGAGACCAGTGACCAGACCAGACCAGAGACCAGTGACCAGAGACCACCAGAGACCAGTGACCAGCGACCAGAGACCAGACCAGAGACCAGCGACCAGAGACCAGTGACCAGAGACCAGCAACCAGAGACCAGTGACCAGCGACCAGAGACAGCAGACCAGAGACCAGCAACCAGAGACCAGCGACCAGAGACCAGCAACCAGAGACCAGTGACCAGAGACCAGCGACCAGAGACCAGAGACCAGACCAGAGACCAGACCAGAGACCAGAGACCAGACCAGAGACCAGCAGACCAGAGACCAGTGACAGACCAGCAACCAGAGAGACCAGCGACCAGAGACCAGACCAGAGACCAGTGACCAGACCAGAGACCAGAGACCAGACCAGACCAGACCAGTGACCAGAGACCAGAGACCAGCAACCAGAGAGACCAGAGACCAGCGACCAGAGACCAGCGACCAGAGACCAGCAACCAGAGACCAGCAACCAGAGACCAGCGACCAGAGACCAGCAACCAGAGACCAGAGACCAGTGACCAGAGACCAGAGACCAGAGACCAGTGACCAGTGACCAGCGACCAGAGACCAGCAACCAGAGACCAGGGATCAGGGACCAACCAAGATCTTGAGTCTGCCAGAGAAGAGCGAAGACGAAGCGCATGATGTGCACGGTACCAGACTTCAAAGACCAGAGACCAGACCAGAGACCAGAGACCAGGGACCAATCAAGATCTCCAGTCTGCCAGAGGAGAGCAAAGATGATACCAGACTTTAAAGACCGGAGATCAGACCAGAGACCACAGACCAGTGTCCAGCTAGGATCTCCAGTCTGACAGAGGAGAGCGTAGATGATGTGCACAATACCAGACTTTAAAGACCAGAGACCAGGGACTAGACCAGAGACCAGAGACCAATCAAGATCTCCAGTCTGCCAGAGGACAGCGAAGACGACGTGCGCGATACCAGACTTTAAAGATCTGAGACCTGAGACCAGAGCAAGGACCAGGGACCAGAGATCAGAGACCAACCAAGATCTCCAGTCTGCCAGAGGAGAGCGAAGACGGCGTGGATGATACCAGACTTAAAAGACCAGAGACCAGACCAGAAACCAGATCAAAGACCAGGGACCAGAGACCACAGACCAGTGCCCAACCAAGATCTCCAGACTGACAGAGGAGAGCGAAGATGATGTACACAATACCTGACTTTAAAGACCAGAGACTAGGGACCAGAGACCAGGAACTAGAGACCAGGGACCAGAGACTAACCAAGATCTCCATCCTACCAAAGGAGAGCGAAGACGACGTGCAAGATACAAGACTCTAAACACCAGAGACAAGGGACCATAATTAGAGCTAAAAATGAAATACTTGACTAAATCCTCAAAACCAGGTCTAAACCAGGACTAAACCAGGACCCTAGTACCATATGCACGTGTCAAAAGCAGCACTAAACCAGGTCTAAAAGTAGATAATGAGCATTTCTTTAAAACTGGACTAATATATTTTAAAAGTTGTTTTGCTGATGTTTTGCTGTAGACTTCACTCTCTCTCAGTAAAACCAAAGGGCTCAGTTTTATCTTTCTATTTGATGCACTTTAGTCTGAGCTCCTCACAGCTCCACGGACCAGACACATGCAAGTACTAAATATATTCACACGATGTCTTAACTTAAAACAAATATACTATGTCAGAGCTTAAGCAGAACTCAGTAAATCATCTTGTTTGTTCTGTCATTGTTCCTCTCCCTACAGATCGGAGTAAAGTGCCGCCTTAAATACTCAGGTCCATTCACACAAACTCTGCATATTTAGGCTGAGTTCTTCTTTCAAACCAAATACACCTTGTGATGTCATGTGGTAATACAGGAAGTGCTCCCATGTGTTTTAAACTCCATACACCTTCACTAGAATCATTTGGATTATTTCAGTTCTGGAATCGCCAATCTCCACTGAACTAAAAGTGCAGAGCAGCTTTTAACTTGAAAACTACCACTTCATGACATCACAAGGTGAAATAAAGCGTTTTGAGCTTTGGACATGTAGACAAACTAATAATAAATAACAGCAAAGTTCAGCACAGTTCACCTGTTTTAAGTTCAGCTAAATCAGTTCTAAACCAGACTGTTTAAGAAAAAAGATCAGATTAAAGTCTAACTTGAGTAACAGAGCTTCAGACAGAGCAGTGTAAGTATCACCAAGAAAACTTACATTTAAGGTAAATCCGTGTATCATTCGTTCATTCGTTTTTCAAAAAAAAAAAAGAAAGAAAACAAAAAAAACTTATTTTCTGTTGTCTTATTGTTCTGTTTGTCTCCAAAACTAAAATGAAAAAAATGGATAATGATAATGATTAAAGGTGTCTTATCCTCTCCGGGTGGGTGGAGAGTCCCTGTCTCAAGTGGAGGAGTTCAAGTATCTCGGGGTCTTGTTCACGAGTGAGGGGAGGACGGAGCGTGAGATTGACAGGCGGATCAGTGCAGCGGCGGCAGTGATGTGGTCGCTGTATCGGACCGTTATGGTAAAGAGGGAGCTGAGTTGAAAGGTAAAGCTCTCGATTTACCGTCAATCTACGTTCCTACCCTCACCTATGGTCATGAGCTTCAGGTAATGACCGAAAGGACGAGATCGCGAATACAAGAGCTCGAAATGAGTTTCATCCGCAGGGTGGCTGGGTGCTCCCTTAGAGATAGGGTGAGGAGCTCAGTCACACGGGAGGAGCTCGGAGTAGAGCCGCTGCTCCTCCACGTCGAGAGGAGCCAGTTGAGGTGGCTCAGGCATCTGTCCCCGATGCCTCCTGGGCGCCGCCTTCAAGAGGAGGCCCTGGGGAAGACCCAGGACACACTGGAGGGACTATGTCTCTTGTTTGGCCTGGGAACGACCCGGAAGAGCTGGAGGATGTGTTCGGGGTGAAGGAAGTCTGGGAGTCACTGTTTAGACTGCTGCCCCCGCGACCTGGCCCCGGATAAGCAGAAGAAAATGGATGGATAATGATTCGCTTTTTCAGTTTCTGATTTTATGTTTAAATGAATAATGGAAAAACAGATGATGACTGTTTCCTGTTTCTGTGACTTAAACTGCGATGCTGGAATTTGTGCCATATGCAGAATGAACCAGGACTGATCCAGGACTAAAACAGGTCTAAACTAGGTCTAAACCAGGACTAAACCAGTCTCAGTCCTGATCACCTGACAGTCTACGCAGGCACACCTTCGGGACCGTCCCAACACTCATTTATGGTTCAGTCCTGATTTAGTCCTGGTTTAGTCCTGGTTTAGACCTGGTTTAATCCTGGTTTAATCCTGTTTTAGTCCTGGATCGGTCCTGGTTCAGTCCATATGCGGTGCAAAAGTCCGGCATCACAGTTTAAGTCACGGAAACCGTTATAGTTTTTTTTCATTATTCATTTAAACACAAAATCGAAAACTGTAAAAACGAATCGTAATCTGTTTTTTTCATTTTGATTTTGGAGACAAATAATGAAAAAAAATTGTTGTTTTTCCATTTTGTTATTTTTGGTTTTATTTTGAAAAATGAATAAACAAATGACACACGGATTAAGGTACCTTTAAGTGTACCTCAGCCTTGCAATAATGATCATTTTGCAATAGTTTGTGTAGTGCAGCTCTATGTTGTTTTATTTGCCTAAAAGCAGTGAAAATAGGGGACAATCCACAATTTCATGGCAGAAAACCGCGTTGAGTTCTGTATAAGCTAAATTATGAACTGCACAAATCCAGTCTTCCATCTCAGAGGTAAATTAAAAACATTTTGACTTGTTTCTTATTTTGGAGCAGAAGGGAACTTTTGTACAGCGCAGAGTTTAAAGGTACGTTGTCTGAACTGGGACAAAGAGATTTTTTTACAGTGTAAATGACTCATAGGAAACTGATGCAGCGTCCATCAGTGTAATGTTCAATCAAATATATTTACAATAAAAGCAAGATTTTGAGAAAAAAAATATGTGTTGTGTTTTTAATGTTGTTTTTTTGATAGGTGCTGTTCACATGATATCTCACGAAACTTCAAATGGTTCAGCTCTGTACCTGATCAATATCCTGGCTCAGATTTGACCCTCTGCTTTAACCTAGTGGCATTAAAGGAGGTGTTTTATTCTAAATTTTAGTTGCAGAAATTTTAAGTATCAATATATCAAGTTTCAATATGTATAAATATTTCACCTTTTAAATATTGAGCACATATTTTCAAGCTCTCAAATTCTACGGTTTTACAGAGTGTAAAATTGCTAATGTCAAAACATTAGCAATCGATCAGAAAAGCTGTTTCCTATTGGCCTACTGCATCTGTGGGCGGGGTTTACACATAAATAAAAGCGATGTAGAGGTGGGGACTTGCAAGTTGTGACTTGGACTCAAGTCAGACTTGAGTCAGTATTTTCAGGACTTAAAACCTGATAAAATGGACAAAGACTTGGGACACAACTTGGACTCGAAGGTCAGTAACTTGGGACTTGACTTGTACTTGAGGCCTGTGACTTAAGAAGTCTTGATGCTTCTCCTAAAAAATATATGTGTTTTTGAAAATACTTTTCCCTTTACAGATGATAAATGTGATGATTAATTTTACAGGAACAAACTAGAACATTTCCCTCTTACTCCTCTTTGTTAGTTTGGATGTAACTGAAGTACTGGGAGATGGTATCCTCAAATGTACTATAGTAATATACAGTACAATACAGTAAAACAGAGGGAACTACAGAAAACTGCACGAACGGTTATTTAGCACTTGAAAAATCTGAATTCTTTCTGTTCTGACCATAATGATTCACATTAAGATCTTGTCAAGACATTTATAAAGGAAAAATAGCATTTCTGCAACTGTTATATAAATACTCATATATAATTTTTTTTTAAGTACAATTTAGGTTAAAATTCATATGAATTGCAAAAACCAAAGCTATATTTGGTACTTTGGTTTAAAGACTTGGAATGTCTTGAAACTCAAAGCAGATGACTTGGACTTGACTTGGACTTATGGGCCAGTGACTCGAGACTCGACGTGGACTTGCCTGTATTTGACTTGGGACTTGACTCAGACTTGAGACTTACATGAGACTTGCAAAACAACGACTTTGTTCCACCTCTGAAGAGATGAGGTTTGATCAGATCACTTAGGATCGATTGTTTAGGCTTTGGCATCTTGGTTCTTCGCGGTGAATTTTACGTTTTGAATTTTGACTGTTGAATTTGAGAGCTTAAAAATAGCTGTACTGAATATTTCAATGTGATTTTTTAGGCTGAATTTTCAAACACCGAGTTAAACATTTCAAAGTGAGAAATTCAGTGGCATTTAAAATAAAAAATCTGATGAAACAAATGATCTTCCATACATGAGCCACGCCATGTCCATATATTGAGAATGAGAAAATTGTCATAATACCTTTTTTAAAAACAGTAACAGCATAGTTCCTTTAAAAAAATAGGTCAAATAAGAATACACATAAATAACCAAACGTCAGTCCTTGGTGGATTTTGTCAGTGCCTGTTTAATGTGCTTAAAGACAAATAGTTAAACCTCAAACAGCTAAATCATATGGACTAAATCTCTCTGTACATATGTATAGGTTATAATTGTATTTATATATAAACAAAAACAAAAACTTAAATTAACACAGCGTCGTACAGTGAGGAACAGTGAGCAAAAAAACATTCAAATCATCGTAAAACTCTAAAACAGTGACTGAACCAGTACCTGAACCATGAAGGTCTCAAATATGGCTTACATTAAACAAGACATCGTTGGAACCAGAGAGAGAAGAAGGAATGTGATAATAATAAAACTATATGATTACAGGATCCATATTACGCTATTTTCAGATCTCTGTCATAATGTTTCCTCATCACAAACAGACCTGGAGTTGTGTTTTGTTTCATTCACACGTTTTAACACTCTGTTCCACCTTGTGATGTCATAAGATAATACACAAAGCCCTCCTCATACTAGAATCATCTGGATCATTTCAGACCTGGAATTGCCAATCTCTACTGAACTAAAAGTAAAAAGGAAGCGGCAAACTTTAAAACTACCACTTCATGACATCACAAAGTGGAACAGAGCATTTAAACAGACAAATAATAAAGTGTGAATGAAACAAAATGCAACTCCAGGTCTGTTTTTGAGCAGTTAATAACATTCCAACATGGTTTAAAGCTCACAAGAGTCAACTTTGCGCAATATAAGGTCTTTAAGGGGAGTTTTCTCGTTAAAGTGTCTTGCCCAAGGACACAGCGGCAGTATGAACAAGCCACAGCCAAAGCAACCTGAAGGCATGTAGCTAGGTAAGGCTAAAAATCAATAATATATAAACGCACTGTCTTTTGTTATATTGACTTTTTGAGCTTTAACAACTTTGGAGTTATATTCTGTTTCATTCACTCATGTTTCAGTAACACTGCATAGGTCTATTTCCTACTATTACCTACTAAAGAGCTCAATACACTCTGTTCCACCAGGTGATGTCACTAGATGGTGCTCCTCCATGTTTTTAAAGTCCATTCATCTTTGCCCTATTCATAGGATTTGAGTGTAATGAAAATCTAGCACCGTTGCCATAGCAATAATTAAAAACTCAAATCATAATATCACATCTTTTGAATGGGCAATAGTCCTCAAAATGGCGCCTATAAACAAGAACCCACGAACTTTCTTCCCTAAATATACCTTCACTACAAAAGCACTTATACACAAGTAACATATTGTACAGTGTCATAGTACTCTTACTTAGTTAATATATCATACAGAGTAACAGTACTTTTACTTGAGTAATCTATTGTACAGTGTAACAATACTTTTACTCGAGTAATCTATTGTACAGTGTAACAGTACTTTTACTTAGTTTGTATATTGTATAGTGTAACAGTACTCTTACTTCAGTAATATATTGTATAGTGTAACAGTACTTTTACTTAGTTTGTATATTGTACAGTGTAACAGTACTTTTACTTAGTTTGTATATTGTATAGTGTAACAGTACTTTTACTTAGTTTGTATATTGTACAGTGTAACAGTACTTTTACTTAGTTTGTATATTGTATAGTGTAACAGTACTCTTACTTCAGTAATATATTGTATAGTGTAACAGTACTTTTACTTAGTTTGTATATTGTATAGTGTAACAGTACTTTTACTTAGTTTGTATATTGTACAGTGTAACAGTACTTTTACTTAGTTTGTATATTGTATAGTGTAACAGTACTTTTACTTAGTTTGTATATTGTATAGTGTAACAGTACTTTTACTTAGTTTGTATATTGTACAGTGTAACAGTACTTTTACTTCAGTAATATATTGTACAGTGTAACTACTCTTATTTCAGTAATATATTGTAAAGTGTAACAGTACTCTTACTTTAGTAATATATCGTACGGTGTAAAAGTACTTTTACTTGAGTAAAATTTGTGGTTCCTCTTCCCACTGTGAGTAAATCTACAAGTGACAAAAGCTTTATGTCAACAATATGAAATGATTTGAACATTTGCGTTTCTCAGTGTTCCTTCAGATGTGATTTAGTTTGAGTCATTTTTGTGTCCATCCTGTGAAAATTACAGATTTTGTGTGTCATTTAGTTTTCTCCTTCAAATTATTCTAACTTCAAATCATAAATCAGATGTTACAAGTGGACAGTTACTTTTACAACTACTCTAATTTGAGTGGTAGTTTCCCCAAATACTTTCCATTCTTACTTGAGTACAATATTTGGTTCCTCTACCCACCTGTTAAACCAAATCTCTCACAAAAAACTACTTTAAAGTGGAATTAAACTCTAAATGATCTTTTTTTTGCAACTAAGCTTGAACGTAAACCCTGGCATTATCTACTGTTTCTAGTCCTTTCTGGCAATTTTAGCACAAAGTAGGTCAATTTGCAGCTGTGTGTGTGTGTTGCCTTCAGTGGCCATTGGAGTTTCAAGTACTACGTGACATCACACAAGACTGAGGATACCTATTAGACCAATCACACTGTTCCTTACACCCCCCGACCCTGCCCCTACACCCCCCTCCACACTCTCCCCTTTAGTCCTTCAGGTACTGCCCAGTTTAACAGCTCTATTTGAAATTTGAAAAGGTGTTTAGTCCCGCTTATATCAGCTCCTATGACATATTAAAAATGTTTAAAATATTACTTAATTTCATTTAAATAATTATATAGTTCCTCTTCTCTCTCTGGTTCATTTTGGACTTATTGCCACATTGAAACAAGTGGAAAACTCCCATAAAAACAAAGTCATATTTCTACAAACATTATGTACAATTACAATTTCACAATTTTAGATGTTTTTTTCCAACATTTTTCAGAATTTTAAGTGTCATTTTCACTGTACAAGCCACATACAGAAATCTACCTCGCTACCAACTCTTATGTACAATATAGATTTGGTTAAACCCTGATTATTTCGACAGCATTTCAACTTAAAATTTGAAAACACAAAAATTACTGAATTCAACGAAAACATTCACGGCTCGGATAAAACAGCAAAAATCTTCCACGTTTGCCTAAAAACAGCTCAATAATACGATTGTTTAATACAGATTTTAATTTAAATACTCAATATATTTATTTAGTGAAGCCAGCACAGATTTTTAGAGGCAAGTTTCAGAAAGCAGATTGAAATAACTCCGGGTTTAGAGTTAAGTTTGCGTTCATTCGGTATTAACTGTGAACACATAACACATTTAGGTCACCATGTTACTTTTTATTGTTTTGAAAATGCTCTATTTGCCAAAAACAACGTATTAACATGTTTTAAAGTCCCCCCTCTCTTTGCTCCCTGTGTTAAGTCACTCCCCCTTCAGAGTGCTTCAGATTTGTCAAGTTGCTGTGTACAGTTTCGTGTCATGTATTTGCATATTTATGGAAAATTGTCGTGTGGCTTGTGGGCGGAGCTTTGCACAGAATCTTACTAAGGATGGTTCAAATAAGGCCCTTGAGAGATCGCTAGATTACTCAAACATGCATGGATGACACCTAAAATCTCTCAGGCTTTTTTTTTTTGATGAGAGAACGACATTATAACATCTTATAAAGCTAAAAAACAAAAGGATTACCTGTACCTGATTTGAATTTCTTCTTGTTAAAATAAAGATAGAGTTGGCAATGGTGATCGTGACAAAGCATCTTGCCCGGCGACACAATAACAGTATGTATTTTGCACTGGATTTGTACCTCCGACCCTCTTATCGATGGGCGAATATTTAATCCGTTGCGCCACTGCGTCGTCATGGTTTTTATTCATTCATCATTTCATTCTGCTTTCTGAAACCACCTATTTATAACACTATTCAAATGCGTTCACTTTCACAAAATACTTTCTTTAAATCTTAATTCACATCTTAAAGGCACGCGATGTAACTTTTCTGGTGGAGCGTCTACATTCTGCTTGTTTCCATGGAGATGTTACTTGCTGTTGCTTTGCCTGGAACGGCCAAGTTACGGGTCAGATCTGTAAAGAAGAAGAGTGCGACATCACCTATAGTGTTCAGCTCCAGTCAAATGAAGCTCATCGATGCTGCAGTTATAGGAGCAAATTTGAAGCCAAGTCCCATGTTTGTAATTCCGACCGTGAGCATAGCAACTAAAGAGACAGTCCAGAGCGAGGCTGTTGAAGGTAACGCTCACTCCTGCCCGATCCGCTGGTTTAGCAGGGAGTGGGTGCTTAGCAATGCTGTCAATCAAACCTGTTGTTAACGCTAACAGAAACGATCTTGGGGAAAAGAAGGCACCTGATTTGTCAGCTAAAAACGTTAATAATGTTCTTCTCTGGTTTAATGAAACAGTGAATGCGTGAACAGTGAGGGGCTCCTACTCCAAAACCTGTACAACCTTACTTAAAAGCCTATAGCATCGACTTCACTTGCGTCTAATAAGAGAGTGAATTTGTTAAATATATTGCATGATGGGCCAGTCAAAACAGAAACAACCCCCACTGACACGAGCTGCGACCTCATCGGCTAAGCTACCATCCACCGCTACAGATGCCACAGCCGCCGCTCCAGACCTGGAGAATGAGTGCATGGAAGCAGCAGAGGTAGCGATCAGACCATGGCTGTCACCAAAAGCGACATCGAAGCTTTAGTAAATGCGCAACGCGAGAATCTCAAAAAAGACATGGCCAAACTGACTGACACTTCTACTGAATCTTTGAACCAATCAGTGCAGGCGCTGGGAGGGAAACTCAACTTGTTGGACAGTCGCCTATCTGAAACTGAAGTGAGAGTGAGTGACAACTTTAAAAGACTAAACGACTTGGAAACAACTGTCAAAACTGACCGACGACAAACTACAGCACTCCAGGACAGCGTTGATGACTTGGAAAATAGTTCCAGATGGTCCAACCTACGGATAATAAACATCCCCAAGGGCAGCAAACAGGTGGCCAGGCTGGAGCCACCTAATGCCTCCGCTCAATTTCATTTCTCTCCAGGGACTAAGTCAGGAATCAGAATACAATAGATGGTTTGCAAAAACCCTGGAAGTGCCAGTTTGGGCACCAGTCAATCAGCTAAAAACCATATATTCTGTGTTGGCAACGATTCCCAAGATTGAGGATTTAAAATCAGAACGAACCAGAAAGAATGTTTGGTGAATTTTATCAAGAGGAAAGAAATCATTGCCCTTCTTCCTACAGGATTTGGGAAAAGCTTAAAATAACAGTTAGTCCCGTTAGCGGCACATTACATACGTGACTACCAAATAACAGTGATTGGTTAAATGATAAAAAGTAGGATTTCATCATGACTGTGACGGGCTCAGGAGTTTTTGTCAGCCCACCGGAGATAGAGCACACCCACCGCACTCACGGGCCCAGATCTGGTGAACAGGGTGCACGCAAACCAAAGCCCTTCATCATCAAGTTCCTTCGCTACCAGGACAAAGAATAATGTTCATATCTTGCTTCACGATCATAATATCAAAATAATAATCACAGCATCATGTAGAGTGGGTAAATATGAACAATTTAAGACCAAAATGACAAAATTAGTTTTTCAGTACAAAGTGAATTGGAGCCAGAGTGGATGGAGCCGGAAGTGAATCCATGCTCACTTCCTATTTGAAAGGCAGTGGCCATTTATATACACAAACTACGCCAAGGATGCATTTTTAAAACACTTGTAACTGAATGTAAGATGAATAAGTGCAATGCCATACTGCGGAACATTCCAGGCAACGACGTAGTCACAATCTGCATGGAGACAAGCAGGTAACAGATCCTTCCACTATAAAAGTTACACAGTGCGGCTTTAAATCTTCAAATACTTTCAATTTCATAATTCTAAATCCTAAATATCCAAGCCTTTTTAAATTCATCTTAATAAAACTATGGTCCCACAATTTCAGTACGAAGTCACCACAACAATCACGATTAAGTCCGAAGAGTCCTACGAGTCTTTACAGCTGGGGGGCGCTAACGAGGCAGGAGAGAGGGATTGTGGGTAATGTAGTTCTCATGCAGGATCCACACGTCGTCTCCGCTGCTGCGCCGGCTCTGGTTTTGAAGGTGGTTGTTGTTGATAAAATGTTGGTTGTCATCTGGAGTTGTAGTATTAGTAGTCGTCGTAGTAATAGCTGTAGTATTTGTAGTACTGGGGCGTGTGGGGTGGTGATGGTGGGAGACTCTGGTGGTTGGGAGGGGCAAGCGCGAGTTGGAACGAGGGATGGATGGAGAGACAGGAGGAGTCTAAAAAGAAAAAAAAAAATAGAAGAGAAGAAAATAGATAAGGCTGAGTTAACATGAGATCACAAAATTATAAACAATCCATAGAAATGTTCAGAATTCTCAGATGGAATTTGCTTTTTAATTGTCAGATTGCAGATTTGTTGACCTGGTTTGTGGTTAATATCTCTGTAAGGACTTTTAAAAAACTTCTCTGACCTTGTTTCTTTGCTGCTGTTGCTGTTGTCTTGAGCTTTCACTGGGGAACATTTCTTTGGTTTGAGAGATCTGGAGAAAAAATAAATAAATAAAAATTGTTTAGTGTATAAAATTTTACATGGTTTAGCTCATTGTTTCCCAAAGACTGGGTCGTAACCCTTAGGTAGGTGATTTTTTTTGGGTCACCTTGTCAAGATCTGCATGTAGTTCTGCAATATACAGTTGTACAGACAATTTTGTTCCAATATTTCTGGTTCAATTGAATGCTGAAAACACATAACATTTAATGTCCAAATAAGCGACGTATGGATCCTTTTATAGCTGCTTCAACGACTGTTTTTCATTGTTTAAAACATGAGTAATACTAAATGTTCATAGAGACACGATCACTCAGTCACCAATAAAAGATCCTCATTAATGTTCAATAATGCTCAAATCCACCTTTATTTTGTGATTTACAAATAATGTCTATTGACTTGGGTTGCAAAGGTTTGTGACTTTTAAAATATGGGTCTCCAGAAAAAAACTTTTTGGAAACACTGGTTAAGCTAACAAATAGACACACCAAAAGCACCTCTAGAGGGCGCTGCACATCACATCACTGGAGAGAAGCTCCATTATTTCAGTTTTTTTAAATAATTCAGGGGTCTGCAAACCTGTAGCTCGGGAGGTACCAGTAGCTCTCCATCTCCTTCCAATTAGCTCGCCAAGGGATTTCTGAATTATACCTATTGTTCTAAATAACTAAAATCTGATTATTTAACTTTGTAAATGTATCATTTTGGTGTCTAACTTGTGCACTAATAAATGGATAATGGTTTATATTTTATAAGCATCTAACTGTACATTGTTTGTCTAAAGTTTGTCATGGCTCTTATACTTTTTCAGTTTCTTGCTGCCATTAAAATGAGTAGCTCTCTGGCATGTTCGTTTTGTAAAGGAGCTCATCAGAGGAAAAAGGTTAGAGACCTTGAAATAGTGACTAATCAAATCATAAAAGATAACATTTTTTATAGTGATTTTAAAGTGTATTTGAATGCTTATATATGTATTTTACCGTATTTTAGGGAATCTATTGCATCAGGCAGGGGAACTACTAAAGAAACCTAGTTGATAATATGGCTAATTCAAAAACATATAAAGTGTTATATTCACTTTTAAAGAAATTGTACTTTTCAGAGAAGTTATAGAGCATCATACTTTTACTCCTACTAAAGTAATATTTTTTATTGAAATAACAGTACTCTTACTTGAGTAAAAGTTGTGGTTATGAACATTTGTGTTTCTTACATCATTCCTTCAGATATGATTTAATCTCATTTGAATATATAATATTTATGAAACAAGGCCCCATTGAAAACTAAATAAATTAAGAGTAGTGGGAGTAAGAGTAGTGGGAGTAGTGAGAGTAGTAGCAGCAGCAGACGTAGCAGTAGTAGTAATAATAGTAGCAGTAATAGCATTAGTAGTAGTACCTTGCTGATGTCTGGCTCAGATTTGCTGGAGCACATGGTCTGTAATTCTCTGATCAGATCTGTCTCTTCGTCTGAAAACACACACAGCCCCATTCCCTCTCTAAAAAAAAAAAAAAAAAAAGCACAAAATACACATGTTTAGATTGAACTTTACTTCATTATTGTTTTACTATCATTTATTTAACTTTTCAATATTATGCTATGTCATCAGTGGGATCAAAGTTAGCTGCATATCTTTCTCATATAATAAAAAAGTCATATTAGATCAGGCTGTTCTCTATACTCATTAATTTCCTCTGTTATGTTCCTACTGCCCCAATAGTGAACTGTCTGAAGTGGGACAGTGCCCTCTAGTGGACACTTTAAGCCCTTTGCAGTCTTTCAGATGAACATCACAGCGGCTTTGTTTAGACTTATGACTGTGCAAAATCAGATCTGGTGCAATCACGAGAACTACTAGGAACACTGGATCATCGTGAAATCCACACTGTGTTTTTTATCTATTTATTTTTGGAACAAACCTGTGGAGCTGATCACCGGAGAGGAAGCGGACGTCAGAGGTGGACTGAGAAGCTAAACACAAACAACGACATCATACTCAAATTCATTCATTTTTTAAACTGTTCATTATTTATATTTTTTATTATTGGTTAAAAGTCCTATATTAAAATGGATTCTTGTGAGTTTTATACCATGTTATAATGTTGTTATCTCCTCAAAAACATTCAGGTATCTTCACTCAGCTCAAAATGCTCTGTTCCACCTTGTGACGTCATGAAGCGGTAAGTTTCAATAAGGGTGTAACGATATCCAAGTCTCACAGTATGAACCTCACAGTACGATGTTTATTTCAATATCGTGGGAAAGCTCACGATATGATGGGGAGGCTCACGATTAGAAATGTGACAATATCCTAATCTCTCGGTATGATATTTTCATGATATACAGCTCACGGTATTTATACAATATTTATTGCGATATTTTGTGGAGGTTAAACAGCTAAAACTGTTAATCTACTACTTTTTCCAAAGACCTAAGACTTTAAAGTGTTTAGAACTGCTATTTCTTTATGCAGTCTACACTGAAATGGAGCAAAGGATCGTGGTCTATGTAGTTCCCTCTGTCTTTTTTTTTTTAGCTATTGCTGCACCATAACTCTTCATTTAAGCAAACAGACTTGTAATTCGATATATTGTGATGGTCCACGATATTATTGCGAGAACTTTGATGATACGATGTCACGATATTTCAGTTATTATTACATCCCTAGTTGTCAAGTTCACAGCTACCTTTAGTTCAGAAAAAATAGGCAATTCCAGGACTGAAGAACTCAGCGTAAGGGTTTGTGTGTTAAACATGTGTGAATGAAATAAAAAACACAACTCCAGGTCTGTTTGTGATGAGGAAACAACATTAGAACATAGATTAGAAAGTAACGTAACATGGGCTTTTTGAAGTTGCTCTGTGTAACTTTTTGGACTTGTGGCTTGGTCGGTGTCACATACTTGTTTCCATGGAGATAAATACGTTTAATGCCATACTGTCAAACATTCCAGGCAAAGCAATAACATCTCCATGGAGACAAGCAGGTGCAGACCATACACCAGAAAAAGTGAAGTGCTCCTTTAATTAATAATAGCATTTTACAAATTACAAATGTCAGTGTGTTAAGTTAATTAGCAATGACTCCTTAATAAGAACTGCCCATCTGAGTTGCAAATTAGTGGAAGTTAAATTAAATCTTAGTATAATAATAAAAAAAAAAAAAAAGCTAAAACAAAAGTATTACTAATTCATTTTCCATTCAGTGATTCAGTTTGAATATTAAAATATGAAATGTGTAGTAGTGTATTGGAGTTTGTTCCGTACCCTCCCTGAAGGACCCCCCCGCTCCGCTGAGGCCTGACCCAGAAACAGCTCTCTTCCTGGGGGACGTGTTGGAGCGTCTCAGCCTGTGCTCCCTCCTCCTCCAGAGTCTCGCAGGCATAGACCCGGGTTTAGATCCAGGTCCAGATCCTGGTCCAGATTCTGATCTTGGTACGGGTCTGGGGTCTGGACTCAGAGCCGACAGAGGGAAAGAGCTGCCAGTGAAGTCTGGGAGGAACTTGTCCATCTCTGAGGAAAAGAGGAGATTTTGAGCCAACAAGAAAAAACAAGAAAATGCTGTATTTTAATCAGTTTGTCATCCATTGCTTTTGCATTCTGAAATAGGGCTGTACGGCCACTTAAACCTGCCACATGTGGACTTACATCAAAATCAACAGTGTCTAATCATCATAATAATAGTGCTCTAGGCTTGTATAGTGCTTTTACAGACGCTCACAGTCACTTTACAATTTGGTGCATTATTCATCCACTCCACATTACAAAAAAGCTTGGCCAAAACTGAAGATATAAACACTTAAAGCTACCAGAAAATGACTTAAAAGTAGTGAAATTATCTGTGTATGCGGCAAGACAATTTTACTTATCTTAAAATAAACTACTTTTAGACTAGAATTAAGCAGTCTCTGAACTAGTAAGTAGGTAATTAATCTGAAAACAAGATGAATAAACTGATATAAGTTTTAAAATCTTGGCCAGATCAGAGAAATTTGCAGTGCTCAATTAGAAGTGGTAAGTTACTATTGTATCCACAGCTGCCCTGGTTCACACTAACAGAAGCGAGGTTGCCACTCATGCACCGTTTTCATACTGTGAGGTGTCTTGCCAAAGGATACAATGACTAGTTCAGGCTTTGACAAGGAGGTGTGGCCGCATATTTGGTAGTATCATAAAACGGCAGCGTGTCCCTCACCTGATCTGGAGAGGGGACAGTCCTGCAGCACGGCTCTGTTCAGGACGATGCTTAAAGCGGCCTTCACCAGCGCTCTCTGTCCCGGAGTCTGTCCCTCGGTGGGCTCTGGCGAGGAGGAGGAGGAGGAGGGGCTGTGGGGGGAGAGAGGGGAGCGTCTGGGGGACACTCTGGAGACGATGGCCTGTTCGATTCGTGGGACCACCACAGAGTTCCACAGAGCACAGAGAAACCTGCACACACACACACACGCACATATACGTAAACACATGGTACAGGACATTAGAGTTACAGTGGATCATGAACGGCTGATTTAAAGCATCCAACTTACACTAAACAATAAGGATGTAATAATAACCAAAATATCGTGATATTGTATCGTCAAAAGTTTCACAATACTGTGGGGTGTCAAAATATATCGAATTACAAGTTCCTTTGCTTAAATGCATAGTTTTATAGAAGCAACAGCTAATAAACATCAGGAACAACATTTCCCATGATTCATTTTAGTACAGACAACATGAAGAAAGATGTTTTTCACTTGAATTTTTACCATTATGACAGTACTAATTCACACCAAAATACTGTCAGGGTATTTTAAAAGCATAAAAGCGCATTATCTACAATTATATCAGCCTCTTGAAAATATCGCAATAAATACTGTATCATCAGATGCATATCGTGATAATTGTAGAGAGAGATTTGGAAATTGTTACATCTAAACAAAGACCTTGTTGCCCTCCAAGTGTAACTGCCTCTGTCATTTTTGACCAAATTGAGTTTTCTGTTTCATTCTATTTCTATATCTATAGGTGTCATTGGCTCTGTCCTTGACCAATTAGAAATCGTTTTTAGCGACATAAAAATACTTTTCTCCCCAGTTATCTTATCCATACTTTGCAGCTAATATCATCAACATTCCCTGAGGGTGTGAAGCTTGTAGCTCAGGAGTTCCCAACAGCTCTCCAGCACACTCCCAGTAGCTCACCAAGGGATTTCTGAATTGCACATATTTAATATTTTATTAAGGTTTGCCCCTTGAGATGCATCATCTCCAATTCATGGGGATCCTGTATTGTGCTGAATAACAAAATTCAATAAATGACTCTTGTAAAAGTGTCATTTTGATGCCTCACTTTGTGCAGTAATAAATAGAGAGTGGTTTATTCTAAGGCTCGCAGTGGCTATTACATACTAAACTTGCAAATGCTAAAATTAGTAGCTCTTTTTGGCATTTTTATTTTGAAAAGGTATAGCTCACTGGAGGAAAAAGGTTGGTGACCCCTATTGTAGGCACTGCTCCGTCTGAGGCTTTGTTAGACTTTAATCTGATCTTTTTTTTTAACAGAATCTCCCCAGAGTTGGAACAGCTACATGTAAACTGATATGTGCTGTGAAATGACCTAGTTAGCATTAGCCAACAGTTTTTCAGTTAGTCACACTCACCAAAACAGGACCATGAACATTTGTTTTGATCACAGGCTCCTGAAATGTGTTGCATAAATCCCTTTTGTTTTTTTTCTTGAGTTTTCAAACAACATAACACTTTTTCAGCAGTGTTTGCTCATGTGTGCATTGTGTCACCATGCTAACTGCTGAACATTCCTCCATAGACATACATGTAAAACACCCCCAGTGTGATGTCAGTGCTTATTATCAATTATTAGCAGTTTATTTTTGCATTTATCTGAAAACCTTGAAAAAAGATATAGCCAATTATGCTGTGAGGCCAACTATTTGTAACACTATTGTGCTACTGAGAGAAGACTAAAACATGAATGAATAAACGAATAAGACATTCACAAAAGAAAGAGCACACATCACTCTAATAATAATAATTCATATTTCTAATTATGGCCATTAAAATTGCAGTTTCAGTTCACTTTCTTTTAAAAACCTGTACCTGACTGTGTCCTCGGCGCTGGACAGGGGGCAGGTCATAAACAGCTCAGGTCCAATCAGAGCCTCCGTAGTCCCCAGACGACACAGACAAGAGTTCAGACGCTGCCAGAACCGCGTTACCCACAAGGCCGAGCGGTGCAGAGAGCTGTCATTGGACCATACTGCAGTCTGGACACAGGACACCAAATGGGGATCAGTGACCCCAAAAAAAAAAAAAAAAAAAAAAAGAGATACAATTCTGTTTTTAGTCCTGGTTCAGTCCCTGGTTTATTTCTGGTTCAGTCCAGGTTCAGATCTGGTTCAGTCCTGGTTCAATCCTGGTTTAGTCTTGGTTTAGCTGTGGTTTAGTTCTGGTTTTGTCCTGATTTAACCCTGGATCAGTGCTGATTCCATCCTGGTTCAGATCTGATTTAATCCTGGTTTAGTTCCGATTCCGTCCTGATTTAACCCTAGTTCAGTCCTGGTTCAGTCCTGGTTAAGTTCTGGTTCAAATCTGGTTCAGTCCTGGTTCAGTCCTGGTTCGGTCTGATTTAATCCTGGTTTAGTTCTAATTCTGTCCTGATTTAACCCTGGTTCAGTCCTGCTTTAGTTCTTGTTTGGTCCTGCTTCAGTCCTGGTTCAGTCCTGGTTTAGCCTTGGTTCCTCACCTGTAGTCTTGCTCTCAGGGTCCGGTACAGAAGTCCAGACTCTGGTTCTTGGTCCCATCGGAGGGAGACCCAGCGCAGGTGCTGCTGGAGGCGGAGCTCTGAGCCCTGGAGGCGGGGCTTAGACAGCGTGGTGATGACGTAACCACCTTCAACCAACCAATGAGGGCCTGAGAAGGGAAAACAAGGAAGTGATGAGAACTGCACAGCGTCTATAGAGTTTATGGTTCAAACATCTATATTCTCCATTCGGGTTTTTGTGAAACTATTGGACATTAGTATTGGTATTCGCAAGCACGTTTATACGTTACTAACACATGTAACTTAAAATTTTTGTGTCAATAAAAAGTCTAAATCCTTTATTTATCGTTAAGATATACTCACAGTTTTTTCCCCATGTATTTGAGCTAAATTTGTCTTTATTGCATAAACAGCTCTTGAAAACCTGTCAAAATATGTCCACTATGTAGTGTTTGCATCCAATTGTAATTGTAATTGCATTATAGTGTCTGAGAACCATAAGGTGTGAGTTAGACTGCTAGTTGTTTTTAGGTTCCCTTCTCTCTGGACTCGGGAGAATTTAGGAAAAGACCAGATAAACTCATCGTTGTGACTAATTAGGATGTTTAGAATGCATAAGGTAAGTGAGGAATAACTTTGGACCATGGCAACCTGTTTACAATAAACTAATTCTGTTTTTCACGTTCGAAGAAAAATCAGGTACAGGCCTTTAAAAACTAAATTTGAAAGTGGTCACAGATACCAAGCTTGTTTCATTTTGCGTGTTTTATATCATGTTTGTTAGGGAGTTTACATGTATTTGTTAGTGTGTAGATTTACCTGAGCTGGTGTGGACCGTGTGCTGTGGCCCTCTATGGTCCAGACTGTGGCAGATGTCTCCCATCAGAGCACACAGAGACAGCGCCCTCTCCAGGTGCTCCACTGTCACTACAACACGAGCGCCTCCCTCTGAGCCTGCAGGAGCCAGAAGACCTGCAAACATCACAGTCACATCAGGTTAAAATCTTGAAATGGCCCTAGACAAGGACTAAACCAGGACTAAAGCAGAAATAAAACAGGATTTAACTAATAGGACCACCATTTATAAGCAAGACTCCACAAGAACATCTAAAAACAACTAAATCAGGACTAAATAAGGACTAAAAACAGGCCCAGGATCAGGACTGAACTAACACTATACCAAGTGCAAAGCAGAACTTCAAAACAAAAACAACCAAACCAGAAGGACTACCTAAGAACTAAACCAGGACTACATAGGGATTAAACCAGGACTAAACCTAAACTTAAAATAAGACCAAATCTGAGCCAAAACAAGAGTGAAACTGTATGTTTTAGGGTAAGTTTAAATAAACACTGACTTGAAGTGGTTGAAGTGTCTTGCACAAAGATACAACAACAGCATGCACTCAGTTCAGCAACTGCGACCCCTAAATCTTACAATCCCAAGTACCCCCTAACTCACGTAACGTTGATTATTGAGTAGGTATAAGTCAATGAATATCAGCTTGTTTTGATATCTGTCTGTATCATTCTGTAAACACACTCCCAAGGATGTAAAAGTGACTACATTTTACTACATTTTCAAAAGTGATTCAATTTCGCCTCATGTTTTATTCAGAAATCAGTTTAAGTAGCCCCAAGGGTCCCATATCACTGGTTGGGAGACACTGCTCTAAACCACTGAGCCACCGCATGTTTGTACACATCCAGTCATTTTCAGACATCCTCAGCCTGCGTCCTCTGACTGAGCAGCAGAGGGCGCTGTCTCTTGATATGTCTCTTGATTACACTTCTATGAGGTACTATTTTTCCACCTTCAAGGCACTCAAACCACTTTACAACAAGTAGCCACTCGCCCATTCACACACATATTTATACAACAGTGTATACAGACACTTGGATCGAGGAGGGTTTAGTTCAGGGGTCACCAAACCTTTTTCTCTGGGGGCCACATTATCGCTCCTGACTGTGATGGAGGGTTGGGCCAACGAAAAAATATGCTGTTGAGCAGCCAGTCCACCTTTCATCCACCAAATTCTGTCTTCTCTCGTTCGCCCTTGCAAACTAACATACTCTTTGTGTTGGGTTGTATAGCAGTGATGGCGCAGATTATATTCTTTGAAAATCGTTACATATCAGACAAACTGCAAGGTTCTTACACTGAACAAAAAACAAATCGGGCATCCACTGTTATTTGAAAACTCTGCAATCTGTCAACTTTTCGTACTTTAACATTTAGTCATTTTGCTGTCCTTAGCTGCACTACAGTACTCTGTGCATGCCTTGACTTATTAACTATTTGATCTCGAGCTTGTCGAGCTTGAAGTGACGAAAATTCATAAATACATAAAAAATGTAAATATGTCATCTAATTATTTAAATATAAATACTTCATATAAATATACGTTTTTAATTGGAAAAAATACAACAAAATACAAGATGCAGACGTGTTATCATTTGCCATCGGGGCGGCAGTAGCTCAGTTGGTAGAGCATTCGCCCCCTGATCTGAAGGTTGGCTCAACATAAACATCTCAGGTTGAGCGGTCAGATCCACTGACCCACAGGTTGGCTGGTGTGATTCCAGCTCCCACAGATGAATGCTGCCGTTGTGTCCTTGGGCAAGACACTTAACCCACCTTGCCCACAGTGTCTGCGTACACTGGTGTGTGAATGTGTGTGTGAATGGGTGAGTGGTTCCTTGTTGTAAAGCGCTTGAAGGTGGAAAAGCGCTATAGAAAAATGTGACCATTTACCATAAAGTAATTAAAAAAATAGCCCATGACAACTTTTGAGGATCGCCTCATAGGGCCAGCTCAAGTGGTGGGGGCAGAGGGGCTGGGGGACCAGTCAAAAGGGTGTGGAGGGCAGGAGTCGGTCCGTGGGCCATAGTTTGATGACCCCTGGTTTACTGTCTTGTCCAAGGACACAATGACAGCATTCATCTGTGTAAGCGAGAATTGCACCATCAACCTGTGGGTCGTTGGATCTGAGCACTCTAACAATGATGTTTTATATCAAGGACAGGATTTGAACCGCCAACCTTCTGATCAGTGGAAAAACACTCTGCCAAAACTCTGAGCTACTGTAAGTCAAATGTTACCTTTTATTATTTTGGAAATTCTATATTCACTAAAACCAAGCCATTAACTTTTTTCCCTCAATTTTTTACACTCTGAGACTCCCCTCCCTTTGCTCTCTGCACTAACTCACTCCCCTCCAGAGCACTATCCCATTACAATCAAACAAGCGTACATCCCTCTAATGAAACTACTCCACATTGCATCAGGTTTGTGAAGTTGTAGTGTATTGTTTTGCATTCTACTTTTGGTATATTTATGGAAAATCATCGTGTGGGAGCGTGGGTGACTTAGGTTTGCAGGCGGAGCACTGTACAGAATCTTATAGCTAAGTGTAAGGAGGTTTTGAATAGGTCCTGGGGTAGATCGCTAAATTACTCAAACATGCAAGGATGACTTTAAAACCTCTTCAGACATGTTTTTGATGAGGGAACAACATTGTAACGTGGTACAAAAGCTCAAAGTATTGAAAGCTCAAAAAACCCTTCTTTCAAATATTTTATGGCGGTGGGAGCAGCAGCTGAAATGACTATTATTTAAAATCAAGGTTTTGTTGATCTGTGTCACTAATATAAATAAAATAAATCAGGTTTCTCGTACCAGCCTGGATGAAGGAGTCCAGGAGCTGTTCTCTGGTCAGACTGGAGTCCACCTGTACTCTGAAGACTTCACAGTGAAAACCCAACACCTCCTGCTTTTTCTGTGAATAAACAAAAGTGGAGAATGTGCTTTAAACTACAAATATTCACAAAGATAGCACAGGAGACACAGAGGAGGATCATGGGAAATGCTGTCTTTTAATAGCAAAGGAGGCTCCTGAATTTGTCAGTGTGTGATGCAACAGCAGTGAAACCAAAGATTAGCATAACAAGAGAAAAACAGGACTGAACCAGGACTAAACCAGGACTGAACCAGGACTAAACAAGGAATAACCTAGGGCCAAACCAAGGACTAAAGCATGACTAAAGTAGGACTAAACCAGGGCTAAACAAGGACTAAATAAAAATTAAATAAATGACAAAATAAAAACAAAAACAAGACTAAAACACAATTAAACTAGAACTAAAATAGGACTAAACAAGGATTAATCTAGGACTAATCAAGGGCTAAACAAGGACTAAACCAGGACTAAACCAGGACTAAACCAGGACTAAACCAGGTCTTGAGGTAGAAGCTTGTACCTTGATGCAGTGAGCGACCACAGCAGCGATGTTTTCCTGGAGACTGCCTTCGACTCCATGAAGCATCAGGTTTCCATACTGTTCTACCTGTGTTGTACACAAAATTAATATATTAATTGGTACTACTAATACTACTACTGCTGCTGCTGCTGCTGCTACTACTACTACTACATTAGTACATACCAGTCGTACGTAGTTGTTGAGCGTGGACAGAGGGATGAGAGAGAAGAGAGCAACTTCATCCAGACATGATTCAGACAGACCTAAAAGTACATAAGAATAAATCAGTAATTTTCTCGAGGGTTAGTCCTGGCTTGGTCCCGGTTTGGTCCTGGTTTAGTTCTGGTTCAAGCATTTTTAATCCCGGTGGGTTGAGGTTGGACCTAGGTAGTTCTGATTTAGTCCTTCTTTCATCCAGGTTCAGTCCTGATTCAGTCTTGGTTCAGTTCTGGTTTAGCCCTGGTCTAATCCTGGTCTTGGCCTGGTTCAGTCCTGGTTTAGCCCTAGTCTAGTCCTGGTTTAGCCCTAGTCTAGTCCTGGTTTAGTCTTGATTGAGCCCTGGTTTAGACCTAGTTTAGTTCTGATTTAGTCCTGATTTAGCCCTGACTTAGCACTGACTTAGCCCTGGTCTAGTCCTGGTTCAGTCCTGGTTTAGTCCTGATTTAGCCTATGTCTAGTCCTGGTTCAGTTCTGATTTAGCCCTGGTCTAGTCCTGGTTCAGTCCTGGTTTAGCCTGAGTTTGGTTATAGTCCTGGTTGTTTGTAATGGGTTATGTCCTGCTTTCGTGCCAGGTTACTTGGACTTGGGTTTAGTCCAGGTGTGATCAGAGTTCAGTCCTGGTTTAGTTCTGGTTCAGTCCAGAGTCAGATTTAGTCTAGATTTAGTCCCAGTTAGTTGGATCTATAGTTTAATTCTAGAATAGTCTTACTTGTATGGACCTGGTTTATGCCTGTTTTTTATGTATTGCCAATGTCTGTATTATAAATTGTGTTAAATATGATAAAGAATTTGAGAATCAACATATATTTTACAAAAAAACAAAAACAAAACTACAACTCTTTGCTGATATTGCAGTATTTTGAGACTAGATTTGCTAATAAACATTTGCTTTGACATTACTTCAACAGGCAACACTAGTTTTCAGATTAGATCAAAGTACTCCCTTTGTAAACAAAACAAAATGACCACTTTTTAAGGCTCCAACCGTCAAATACCAAAAGATAATCATTTCAACAGAGATATTAGAAGACCAATTAGCAGAAGTTGGCTGAAAAACTGCCCAAACAATTTCACATCTCCACAGGGAACGTGACTAATTACTGTTAACGAGGAGGATGCTGTGATACTGGCTCAGTTTGAATTATCCCGATTCAGTTCAAGATCATTTTTCAACTGTGTATTTGCCAGAATCTGATGCCAAAATGTCCTCTACGGCAAGCCTACCAGTCCAAACAACATCAGGTGAAATTCTGTGCTAGTCATTATGGGTTGAGTCCTGGTTAAGTTTGGTTTAGTCCTGATTTAGTCCTGGTTGAGTTTGGGTTTAGTGTGGGTTTAGTCCTGGTTTAGTGCTATCCTAGGCCCTGGTTTAGTCTTGGTTTAGTCTTGGTTTAGTCTTGACTGAGTTTGATTTAATCCTGGCTAAATGATGCCCTGATTTAGTTCTATCCTAGGTCCTCATTTAGTCCTGGTTGAGTCCTGGTTGAGTCCTGGTTGAGTCCTGGTTGAGTCCTGGTGGAGTTTGGGTTTATCTTGGGTTTAGTCCTGGATTAGTCCTGGTTGAGTCTGCTTTAGTCCTGGTTTAATCCTGGTTTAATGATGCCCTGATTTAATTCTATCCTAGGTCCTGATTTAGTCCTGGTTGAGTTTGGTTAGTCCTGGTTTAATCCTGTCTTAATGATGCCCTGATTTATTCCTATCCTAGGTCCTCATTTGGTCCTAGTTTAGTCCTGGTTGAGCTTGGGTTTAGTGTGGGTTTAGTACTGGTTTAGTCATATCCTAGGTCCTAGTTTAGTCTTGGTTTAGTCCTGGTTTAGATCTGGTTCAGCCTGGTTTAGTCCTGGTCTAATCCTATCTTAATGAAGCCCTGATTTAGTCCTATCCTAGGTCCTGATTTAGGCCTGGTTTAATCCTGGTCCTGTGCTGGTTTTACCTTGGTTCAATCTTGGTTTGGTCCTAGTTCAGTCCTGGTTTAGTCTCGGTTGAGTCCTGATTGAGTGCTGATTGTCTTTTTAGTCCTGGTTGAGTCCTTTTTGAGTGCTGGTTGAGTCCTGGCTTAGTTCTGGTTTAGGTCTGGTCTAATCCTTGGTTTTGTCCTGGTTTAGACCTGGTTTAGATTGGGTTTAGTCCTTGGTTTATTCCCTGTCTTACTCCTGGTTTAGTTCTGGATTAGTCCCTGATTTAGTCCCTAATTTAGTCACTGGTTTAGTCCCTGGTTTAGTCCCTGGTTTAGTCCTGGTTTAGTCCTGGTTTAATCCTGGTTTAGTCCTGGTTTAGTCCTGGTTTAGTCCTGGTTTAGTCCTGGTTTAGTCCCTGATTTAACCCCCGGTTTAGTTCCTAATTTACTCCCTGATTTAGTCCCTGGTTTGGTCCTGGTTTAGTCCTACCTTTGAGCCGGACCCTGACACTGGGACTTGGAAGTTTTCGGACCAGATCCCAGGGACAGAATGAGACCTCTTCACCCACACTCCACTCTCTGTCTCCTGCAAAACAAAGATAGAACAGCACACGGGTAAGTACCCTGGATACACAACCCAGATATTCTTTGGCCTGGTGCGTCAGTCCCTCCAACTAAAGCCACAACAATTAGCATGCTAACCACATACTTCCTGATTATTTGATAAGAATTATTATTAGACGCAGACTGATTTATTTTGACCTCAAGTGCTGCTTGTACAATGTATTTGTACTGGGTAGAGATAGGTTAATCCGCGGGTCGGGCGGGTGGCGGTTTAACTACTAAAAAAAAAAAAAAAGAAAACAGTTATTGTTAGTATTGTTACCTACATCTGAAAAGACGAGTCTCATTGTCTATGCTTGTAGTATGAAGTGTACGTCATATCCTTAATTAGCCCATTTGACCTCGTTTTTATGTTCTGAAGGTTAAGGTTGTGTCGGGTTATTGATGCCTAAGGTTTACGAGGCACATATTATATGCAGTTTATTTAATTGTTTCTAATTTATTTCAGCTGTTTGCCAACACATAAGTGGCTATAGGGCCATATTTATTTAGTTATACATATTTTTTCTTGCCTATTTCAATTGGAATATAAAGAGGGCATTGCCTGATTTCAATAAAGGTTCATCTGGATGAGACGATCTGTCTGTTTTATTTCGATATCAGTTATATTTTAAAACACGCAGACTTTATAACGTAGAATGTTCAGAATGTAACAACATCCAACACGACGGAAAGAAGCTTCAAAAACAGCCTCGTCAGAAAACGTTGTCAATTAATTAGCTGCACAAGAAAACCAGGTAAGTTTGGGGTTGTTACGGACAATTAAGAATGCGAACATACACGCTGAGCCAATTTTGAAATGAATGAGCTTTAGAGTTTGCATTTTTATCGAGGCTCCTTAGTTTGTTTGCTGTATGATTGTTCTAAAATCTAAAATCAATCGGCGGATGGCGGGCGGGTGCGGTTTTGAAAACCTTCAGTGCAAAATGGACAGCGGGCGGATGAAGAGTTTTGTCTTGCGGTTGCGGATGAAAAAATAGCCCATCCGCGCATCTCTAGTACTGGGGCAAGTCAAATATAAGGGAAAAAAGTGATCGAATTGACAACCTTACTATTCTCCTTTATGGTCCAGAAGATTGTTAACGTTTATTGACACTGTAAGAAATTTGTCCTCTGCATTTGACCCATCTTTCAGTGTCTCTGGGTTAAAAACTGTCAAGAGGTTTGCCTATATTCAGCCTCACATTTTATTGTGTCCGGTTATGTATTTTAGCGTGTGTGTGTGTGTGCATGTTTGTGTGTATGTGAGTGTGTGTGTTTGGGTTGTTTGACTATGTGGGGTTGGGGGTGGGTGGGTGGTTGGGTGGTGGGAAATGCGGGACTGTTTTTAATCACTGTAAAGTACTTTGTGTTGCATTTTGTATGAAAAGTGCTTTATAAACAAAGTTTGATTTGATTTGATTGAAGAGCTTTGGGACCCATCTCGAAATCTTGAGGGTTACGTGCCGCTATTTAGACATTGCCGTCTAACTGTCAGAGTAGCAGCATAAATATTAACTACTTCAACATTTCAGTAGCGATTCTTACTTTTTAATCACTGTAAAGTACATTTTGTATGAAAAGCTTTATAAACAAAGTTTGATTTGATTGATTGAAAAGAGCTTTGGGACCCATCTCGAAATGGGTTACCTTTTAAACATTTTTTGACATTGTTCTAGTAGCTTTTTATTGAAATTGAGTAGCGTACTTTATTATTTTTTAAACATTCTGCTTTTCTGACATGAATAATATTAATGTGATAGCCTATTATACTTTGTGCTCACATATATCATAAGATGCGGCAGTAAAGTATAAGGATACAACAAGGATACAAAGATGTTTATATATGTAAGTATGACATGTAGTGAAATTTCAGTTGGTCCGCGTGAGTGTGTGTGTGGCTGTGTGGATGTGTGTGGTTTAAGGTGCCAAAGTGCCAAAGTGCTTGTAGTGCATAAAGTGCAAAGTGATGCGGTTGACCTGGGCTGGGGTGAGTTGCTAAGCAAGAATAGAGGCAGAGCATGGACTACAAATATTTGTCATTATGAAGTTGCTACTAGGGCTGGGTATCATTAAGAAATTGCTGATATGATACATACATACCTCGATACATAGGCCACGATACAATACATATCTCGATACAGTGCACTTTTGATTCAATACAATATGTTTCAAATCGATTCCATACTTTTCAAAAAAAAAAAAAAAAGGCTAAATCATGTCTGTGATACTAAAACTCTTTGTTAAAGTTTGTGCAAAGTTAATGTAATAATGTAAACACAAACATTTTAATCATCAAAACAGTGAAAATGTCAAATGTGTTACATAAATGAGTTTCCTTCCTCTAAACAAACAACAAAACTATATATTAATACAGCAGCCCACGCTATAGATACTGTATCGTCACATTAAACAATAAGATATATGGATATTTCAATATTTTTACACACCCCTATTGGCTACTTTGTGTGTTGGTTTTGTGTGTCACTTGATAGTTGCTGAGATCATCAGAACATCGAAGACCAGTGAGAGCGGCGCCTGGGTAGACTACTGTAACTCTCAAAAAAAAAATAAAAATAAAAATTGTAATACTGGCATAAATAGAGACATGTCGTGATGAATAGGGTTGTGCCAAACTATTGAAATATCTATATATTATATTGTTTAATGTGATGATGCAGTATCGATATCGTGAGTTGACATATCGATATATCATCACCAGGAGTATTTTTGGTATATTTTTCTAAATTTTTTTGTTACAGCACTACAGTTTTGTTGCTTGTTTAGATGAATGAAACTCGTTTATGCAACACATTTGACATTTTCACTGCTGATGATTAAAATGTTTGTGTTTCATATGAACATTGCACAAGAAGTGGTTTAACAAAGACTTTTAATATCACAGCCATGATTGAGCCTTTATTTTTTATTGAACCGTATCAAATCGATTTTAAATATATCGTATCAAATTAAAAGTGCATTGAGATTTGTATCATATCAGCAACTTCTTACTGATACCCAGTCCTAGGAATGAAGGGATGTCGGAACAGGCAGCAGACCCCATCTTGAACTAGTCTTACCTACCTTACTGGAGCATTAAAACCTATGGTGCATGTTTTGGGTTAATGGGGAAAATCGGAGTGCTAAACCCACCCAGACACAAGGAGAACATTCAAACTCCACACAGAAAGAGCTGGGAATCTAACACAGAACCTTTTTGATATGAGGTGGGGTGCTAGGCCATTACAAGCCCGGTAAATACTGGTATTAAAAAACATACTCTACCATATTAGCTAGATTACTTCTAGTACTTAGTAAAAGCACTTTTAGCTAAACATAAATTGAGTTGTTTATTTACGACGCAGCCTCCACTGAACATATGTTTGATTCATGAATTATTAAAAAGTGAAAATGAGATCATCAAATACACAGTGTGAGGATGAGCCCAGAGACACAGAGGGACAGAAGGACAGCAGATGAGCTATTAGTTATTTATGATAGATCTGCTCCTATTTGTCCAGACTGAAAATGTAAGCTATTTTTAATGGATTTTGTTTTATTATAATGATGTAAGATGTAAGGTTTTGCTACTTCTGTTTTATTGTTGGTTTAGTCCCGGTTTTAGTCCTGGTTCAGTTTTGGGGAAGTCCTGGTTTAGTCCTGGTTTTAGTTTTACCCAGAAATTTGTAAAATATTATTTAAAGAACGCTCTCACCAATGCAGATAGACTTGATACTGCGGTGGCTGAGTCCCAGAGGTCTGTCTTGATCCTGGTTTCGATCCTGGTCCAGTTCTGGACATTCACACAGAGACCTGACGTAGTCCATGAATATGTGGACCACTTTAGGCCAGAGTTGAGACCATGCTGTGGACCGGTCTATCACCACAGAACCGAGGTCTAAATGATCCAGAGGGGGTATAGAACTGGCAACCAGAGCAGAGTCGTCGGGAGCCGCTGAGCAAGGCAACACCACACCAACGCGGTATGAATCTGCAACAGAGGAGACCAGGTTAGACCTGGTTTAGCCCTGGTTCAGCCCTGATACCATCCTAGTTTAGCCTGACTTTAGATCTGGTTAAATTCTGATCTAGTCTTGATTCAAATCTTGTTAAATTCTGGTTAAATTATTTTCCAGTCCCTGATTCAGTTCCGGTTTGATCCTGAATTAAATCTAGTTTAGACTTGGTTTTTAGTCTATGCTCAGGTCTAGATCAGTCCTAATCTGGTCCAAGTTCAGTCTTGGTTAAGGCCTGGTTCAGCCCTGGTTGAGCCCTGGTTTAGTCCTGATTCAGTCTTGTTTAAGGCCTCATTCAGTCCTGGTTTAGTCCTGGTTTATCCCTGGTTCAGTGCTGGTTTAGTCCTGGTTCAGCCCTGGTTCAGTTTTGGTTTAGTCCTGGTTTATCCCTGGTTTAATCTTTGTTCAGCCCTGGTTCAGCCCTGGTTTAGTCCTAATTTAGTCCTGATTTAGTCCTGGTTTAGTCATAGTTCAGTCCTGGTTCAATTTTGGTTTAATCCTGGTTTAGTCCTGGCTCAGTCCTGGTTTAAACCTGGTTAAGCACTGATTTAGCCCTGTTTAATCCTGGTCTAGTCATGGTTTAATCTCGGTTTAGTCCTAGTTTAGTTGTGCTTCAGTCCTAGTTCAGCCCTGGTTCAGTTTTTTTCAGTCCTGGTTTATCCCTGGTTTAATCCTTGTTCAGCCTTGGTTCAGCCCTGTTTCAGTCCTGGTTTAGTGCTGATTTAGTCCTGATTTAGTCCTGGTTCAGTCTTGCCTCAGTTCTAGTTTAAACCTGGATAAGCACTGATTTAGTCCTGTTTTAGTCCTGGTCTAGTTTATTCCTGGTTTATTCCTGGTTTAGTCCTGGTTTATTCCTGGTTTAGTCCTGGTTTAGCCCTGGTGTAGTCCTGGTGTAGTCCTGATTTATTACTGATATTAGGTCTGGTCTTACTCAGGTTCTCGAGCAGGTCTTTGCAGTCGTCTGTGGCCAGATCGTGGATGGTCCGGTCCCATTTGTCTCTGATGTTCAGGTTCTGTTCAGGATGAGAACACAGCTCCTCCAGACACTCCTGCGATTAGACACATCCTTTAGTTAAAAACTCTGTAAAACAAGGCTACTGCAGGAAACAGACACATCCAACAACTACAAAATATGGTGTTGGCCTTGAAAACAGCCAAGACCTAAACCAGGACTAAACCAAGACAGGATATGTCTGAGTAAAAGCAGTATTTGCAGTAATAGTAGTTGCAAAAGAAGCAGTATATGTACGCAGCAGCAGTAGTAGTAGTAGTAGTAGTAGTAGTAGTAGTAGTAGTACGGTTCATATATTTACTGATTTGGTCAATGAATACATAATTATAATGTAATTCCTTCATTGGGATTCTGGTCCAGTCTTGGTCTAGACTTTGTGTTATCGTCCCGGGACAAGGACAGAGCCTCATTAGTGAAATGAAAGAGAGAGAGAGAAAGAGACAGAGAGAGGGAGAGAGAAAAGAGAGGGAGGAAGGGAGAGAGAGAGCAAGAGAGAGAAAGAGAGGGGGGGGGGCAAAGCAGAATGAGAGAGCGAGACAAAGAGAGAAATATAAATAAGGAGTGAGAGTGAATGAGAGAAAGAGAGAGAGATGGAGAGAGAGAGACAGGGATAGAGAGAAAGAGAGAGAAGAGTGAATGAAGGAAAGGTGCATTTCATTTAGAGACCAAATGAGATGATAGAGCAATAATGTTATATAAAGAGCAGAAAGAAATGACTCTTGAGGAGAAATTATTACATCAACTCTGTTTCATGTGCACAGTCAATGGAGGACGAAGGGTTACCCCGGGACCAGGATATAAACCAGGACTAAAGCAGGAAAAAACAAGGACTAAACTCAGATTAAACCAGATCCAAGGCTGTTCTAAATACCCATTTCATTTACAGAGGAAAAAAACAGGATTTTGGTTAGTAAATAAAGTTTCAGGTTTTAAGTTATTTATTGCTGAGTGCTGGTTTAATGCTGCTTCATCCTGCCTTTTGTTCAGTCTTGTTTCAGTCGTGATTTAGTCCTGGTTCAGGCCTTGGTCCAGTCTCTAGTGTAGTCCTGGTTTAGAGCTGGTTTAGTCCTGGTTTAGAGCTGGTTTAGTCCTGGTTTAGAGCTGGTTCAGACCTGGTTCAGTCTCTGGTTCCCTCCTTGGTTCAGTCTCTGGTTCAGTCCTTGGTTCAGTCCTTGGTTCAGTCTCTGGTTCAGTCCTTGGTTCAGTCCTTGGTTCAGTCTCTGGTTTAGTCCTGGTTTAATCCTGGTTCGGTCTTTGGTTCAGTCCTTGGCTCAGTCTCTAGTGTAGTCCTGGTTTAGAGCTGGTTTAGTCCTGGTTCAGACCTGGTTCAGACCTGGTTCAGTCCTTGGTTCAGTCTCTGGTTCAGTCCTTGGTTCAGTCTGTGGTTTAGTCCTGGTTTAATCTTGGTTCGGTCTTTGGTTCAGTCCTTGGTTCAGTCTTTGTTTTAGTCCTAGTTCAGGTCCTGGTTTAGTCCTGGTTCAGTCTTTGGTTCAACCCTTGGTTCAGTCTCTGTTTTAGTCCTGGTTGAGTCCTGGTTAGAGTCCTGGTTGAGTCAGTCTTTGGTTCAAATCCCTTAGTTGGTTTCAATTGGTCCCTGGTTTAGTCCTGGTTGAGTCCTGGTTGAGTCCTGGTTGTTTAGTCGTCCTGGTTCCTTGGTTCAGTCCTGGGTGGTTCTGGTCCTGGTTCAATTCTTGGTTCAGTCTTGTTTCAACCCTTGGTTTAGTCCTGATTCAGACCTGGTTCAGCCCTGGTTTAGTCCTGGTTCAGTCCTGGTTCAGTCCTGGTTTAGTTCTCACCTTAAACCCATGAGCAGCAGCGAGGTGAGCAGCGGTCCATCCTTCAGTGTTGGTTTGATTCAGAAGTTCAGCGGAGATGTTCAGTGTCATAGACTCAACAGTGGGGGACGCCGTGGGGTCCAAGTTCACTCTGGGAACGCTCTGAAGGTCAGGGGTCACGCGAGGGTCATTCGTGTGGTACAGCAGCAAACGCAGAAGCTCGAGGTTTCCTGAACGCACCGCGGCGTGGAGGGCACTGCAGCCATCCTAAACACAAGAAATACTGCTTTTAGTCTTATTAAAGTACAAGTATATGAGCTGTGTCCTGGTTTAGTCCTGGTTTGAACTACAGATGGACTAATATGGATTTTATTATCTTTGCACTACTCTGTGACCGATAACCAATATTTGCAGATACAATATTTAGCTTTCAAATCCTCAGCAAGCCCCACAAATTTATCCTAAGTTGAAGTGAAGATCAACTTTCACTTTTGTAAAAATAATATAAAAATGTAATTATCTGGAATGTTTGTGTAAAAATACAACCATACAACACCTTTCTATTCCCATTTTTACTCATTAGTAGGGATGTAACGATATCCAAATCTCATGGTATGATATTATATTATCACGATATGCATCTCACGGTAAGAAATTTATTGCAATATTTTGAAGAGGCTGATATAATTGTAGACGGGACATTAATTTGCTTTTAAAATACCTTGACAAGATTTTGGTGTGAATTATTACTGTCATAATCCAAAGAATTCAAGTAAAAAACATATCTCTTCATGTTTTCTGCACTGAAATGAATCATGGGATATGTAGTTCCCGATGTTTATAAGCTGTTGCTACTATAAAACCATGCATTTAAGCCAAAAAGCTTGTAATTCGATATATTGTGAGACTTTTGATGATAGGATATCAGGATATTTTGTTTATTGTTACATCCTTACTCATTAGTCTGCTCAAAAAGGGGACTCAGAGAATGAAGTGGTACAAAAAGTATATTGGTATCGATCATCATATCAATCAATGCGACTAATCTGTATCAGTATTGGCTGATACCGACACTGGAACCAATATATTGCCAAGTCCTACTGTGATGTAGACTTGATTTGGTCCTGTTCTAGTTTAGTTTAGTTCTGGTCTAGCCTTGTTTTTTGCAGCCTCAAGGTCCAGTGTTTCTGGGTATTTAAACTTTTTTAATACACTTTAGTCTCTGTGTTTCACGCTGTACAGTAGGGACAGACTGTGCCAACTAATTTTCAAGAGCTGTTGAAGTAATTAGTTTACTATCTTATATACAACCCTGTACTCAAAACTGATTTAGATACAACAATGATATACACATAATTTGTCTGTAAAGTTGAAATGAGGCCAAAAACAAAAGCCTTTGGTGTAGCTCATCTGAATAAACTGTGCCTGAATCTGTGTCAAATGTGAACGAACAGAGGGCCCTGTCATCATCATCACCCGGAGCCATAGCAACGGCTGCATCCAGGAGGTTACCGTGGCAACACAGGAAGCGCTCTCATCAGGACCAGATTCAGACAGAGCCCCCTTTCATTAATGCCAAGAAAAGAGACAGGATAACCACTCTGCCACAGCAACACAGTCAGGACATGGACAGTCCACTCAGAGAGGGTTCAGGAGTTTAACCCACAACCTCCTTACTGAGAGGAGACAGGATAACCAGGATAACCGTAGTAGTAGTAGTAGTAGTAGTAGCAGCAGTAGTAGTAGTAGTAGTAGTAGTAGTAGTAGTAGTAGTAGTAGTAACTAAAACAGGAGTAACACAGGTCTGAACCAAGACTGAGCTTAAACTAAAGCAGGGTTAAACAAGGTAGTAGTAGTAGTAAAAATAGTAGCAGTATTTGCAGTTACAGAAGTATGAGTACTAACAGCAGTCGCAGCACTAGTATTTGTAGTAGCAGTCCTCACAGTTGGGGAGACTAAAACTAAAGCAGGACTAAACTAGTGCATTATTTTGTTGCAGTAGCAACAGCAGCAGTAGTAGCTGAAGTAGTAGTACTAACAGTAATAGTAGTAATAGTAGTAGTAGCAGTAGCAGTAGCAGAAGTAGCAGCAGCAGCAGTAGCAGCAGAAGTAGTAGTATTAACAGTAATAGTAGTAGTAGTAGCAGTAGCAGGAGCAGTAGTAGTAGAAGTAGTAGAAGTAGGTGTATTAACAATAATAGAAGTAGCCGCAGCAGCAGTAATAGTAGTAATATTTGTCTTAGTACTGACAGTAGTAGTAGTGTTGTAGTAGTGTTATAGTAGAAGTAGAAGTAGCAGTAGAAGTAACAGTAGCAGTGGAAGTAGCAGCAGCAGCAGCAGTAGTAGTAGTAGTAGTAGTAGTATTAACAGTAATAGTAGTAATAGTAGTAGTAGTAATAAAAATAGAAGTAGCAGCAGCAGCAGTAGTAGTAGTAGTAGTATTAACAGTAATAGTAGTAGTAGTAATAAAATAGAAGTAGCAGTAACAGCAGTAGTAGTAGTATTAACAGTAATAGTAGTAATAGTAGTAGTAGTAATAAAAATAGAAGTAGCAGCAGCAGCAGTAGTAGTCGTCAAAGTTGTAGTAGTAGCAGCAATATTTGTCTTAGTACTCACAGTAGTAGTGTTGTAGTAGTATTGTAGCAGAAGTAGCAGCAGTAGAAGTAGCAGCAGCAGCAGCAGTAGTAGTAGTAGTAGTAATATTTGTCTTAGTACTCACAGTAGTAGTAATGTTGTAGTAGTATTGTAGCAGAAGAAGCAGTAATAGGAATAGTAGCAGCAGTAGTAGTTGTGTTAGCACTCACAGTAGTAGTGTTGTAGTAGTGCTTGTAGTATTATTAGTATTTGTAGTAAAAGGAGCAGTAGTAGCAGCAGTAGTAATAGTAGTAGTATTAGTATTAGGTGTTACTCACAGTAGTGGAGACATTGCGGTCGGCCCCAGCCTCCAGCAGCAGGCGCACACAGTGAGTTTGTCCAGCTTCAGAGGCCAGAGTGAGGGCAGACACACCTCCAGAGGACACAGCGTCCACCTGGGCCCTGGAGGACAGGAGCGCAGAGACACTACTGCAGGGACACGGGGAGACAGAACAAAATGAGGTTAAAGAGACCATAATACACTGTTTTCTCATGTGTTATAATGTTGTTTCCTCATCACAACCTGGACAACTCCACATACCTTGAGTTGTGTTTTGTTTCATTTGTGCATGTTAAACACACAAACCCTGCATATTTTGGCTGTATTCTTTTTGCAAACTGATAATACTCTGTTCCAACTTGTGATGTCATGTGGTAATACAGGAAGTGCTCTACTGTGTTTTTAAACTATGTTGTTAAACTTCATACATGAGAATCCATAAGAATCATTTGGATAATTTCAGCCCTGTTATGAATATTTATATCTCCAGCTAGTCTTGGTCAGGACTACTTTAGATGGAGGATCTGACCTATTGTGTATGTTATGGTATAATGGGGACCCAGAGTGCCCGGAGGAAACCCACTCAGACATAGGCAAAGGGGAAACGAACCCACAACATTCATGCTGTGAGTAGGCTCTATTCATGTTCATGTCACAAAACCAGAAGACGCTCAGAAATATGTGTATGACAACTTCCTTTGGGCTCTGTTGGTGATAGTAACTGAGAAAATGGCTGAGTTTTCTTCATTTAGATGTCATTGTATTCTTTCTTTTTTCCTTTTTATGAATTTTCTATTAATTTGTGTATTATAATTTGTCTTATTAAAAAAAAAAAAAAGATGCCACTGTAGAGTTTCGTTATATTCGGCAGATCAACAGTTCCAACCAGCTGCCTGTCAGTGACACTGAAGATGCGATTAGAGTCTCGTCCCCCATGGAAAGTTTTGGCAGGTTGTGAAGACACTGCTGCTGAATCCACGGTTTTACCACATGCCCAGTGTCGGGAACTACACCCGAAGTTGTCATCTGCATGTTTTCTCTTCCAGTAAGCGTGAACAGAGCCTATAGTGAGCGCTAGCTGCTCCTCCACCACCACAATATTAGCTGACAAGATACCTATATGGCAAGAAATTAAATTGTTTGGATAATGCTACAACAATAAATTTTAGAAATAGTTTTTCCGAGATCTGAAATATTAAAATGTGAAATTCCATTTTAGTCATAATTTTGTCAATTTAGTCATATTTTATGCTGGTTAAATATTTATTAATTATGGATTTTACAAGTAACAATTTTATTAAATGGTCAATTAAAATATTGCAATAAATATAGTTAGATAGAATGTTGCATTGTTTCTAATATCATGCAGCCCTTAACACATTTGCCAAATTTCTTTATTTCCTTAGCAACTAAATGAGAATTCACTTGTATCACCATAAGATCCAGGCTCAGATCTGGAGAAGTGGAGTGGGATATTTCTAGCCTGAGCAGTGACTCACGTTTGAGTGGATCATCTTTCTCTCCGAGGATCTTTGTTCAAACTTTCCCTCGCACTTTGAGTCCAGCTGCTCTGAACCTGTTAGGGGCAGTGTCTCGCACACTCTCACATTTCACACAGTGGCTCCAGTTCTTACTTCTTATTCACTTACATAAAACATTTTTACTTTCAGACTGACCTGGAGTGTCCCTGAGCTGCGGCAAAGTGCAGAGGAGTCAGTCCATTCAGATCAGTGACATCAGCAGAGACGACAGACAACAGCTCCTCCACAAAGTCTGCACAAAACACACACCACTATTCAGGCTCTATGCACCACTCTGGACACTTTAGTCAGGTATTTTATGAAGTCACTTTGAAATTTTGACTCCTGATAATGCATTTCAAGGGGCAATCCAAAATAAATATGCCAAGTTGATTGTTATTAGTTTTTATAATGTCTGTTTGCTTACTTAGAATTGTATTTGAGGGATTCATGCATTTTAAGTAACCCAATGTCCGGTCATACAGAGGATCGGTTCTCCTTTTCTATCCCTAAGAGGTTTTTGCCGAGTTGCACTAAAATCAATAAATCCTGACAGATCAGGCAGTGGACAGGGAGCTGTGGGTGGATGTCACAGCATGTTAAATACTTTACAAATGAGGAGAAGACTTCACTGGAGGACAATTCTGTGTTTACACATTATCCGGTGCTAATGCTAATTTCAAAATAAATATTCAAATAACACCACTGAAATAATCAACACTTAAAAATAACTGGGTCATCTTTACAACTTCCAATTTAATTGGTTGTTATGTTAGAATTAACATTTTAAAGAATGTTAGTGTCAGCATTGACACACAGAGATGTGTCCGTCAGCGACATCCACACACAGCTCCCTGTCCACTGCCTGATCTGTCAGGATTTATCGATTTTAGAGCGACTCAGCAAAACCTCATGGACATTACATTACAGCGGAAATGCCGGAACCGACCGTCCCTCTGACCGGACGTAGCCAGCTGCCGATGTGCACAGAGCTGATTCAGAGCAAGCAGGAAGTCAACAAAAGGGTTTCTATCAAGTTAGTTTTAGTCAGTATTGAGGTTTAAAATGTAAAAAATATCTATGATACTTCATTACTAAATATCAGAAAAAGGTACAATATGGGTCAAATTGTTTTCCTATCACATCGTAGAGTTTATTCTTGTTCTAAACTCCAGCGTGCAGTAAACACAATATGATCTTATGTGCAAACCACAGTGTCTAAACCAGGACTAAACATAGACTAAACCAGAACTAAACATGGATTAAACCAGGGCCAAACCAGGATCAAAACACGTCTGAACAAATACTAAATCATGTAACACAATTAACGCAGGACTGAGCCAAGGTTAAACTAGGACTAAACCAGGATTTAACCAGAATTTAACCAGAACTTGCAGAATATAGTACTCTAAAACCCAAATAGTTCTGTTTTCCTTGCATTGTTTATGAGTATACTCTTGTTGTAAACTCCAGCCTGCAGTAAACACCGTATGATCTTATGTCTAAACCACTGGGTCATGAGTTGCAGCAGCATGGATCATAATGACAGATCCTCTTTAACATGGCTATAATTATATTTCTATGTTACGCTCACACAAACATACAGAGACATGTGAGAAGGCTGTGTACAAGACAGGGGCATGACACAGACATCTGCAAGACATCTGAATGTGGGCTGAACAAGAACTAAAGCAGGACTAAACCAGGACAAATCAGGACTAAACCAAACCAGAACTAGGACAGGACTACACCAAGACAACACCAGGACTATACCAAAACTAAACTAAATAGGCATTAATGAGTGAACAAGGACTAGAGGCTAAACCAGGTCTCAAAAAAACAACTAACACAGGACAGAACCAAGACAAAACCAGGACTAAACCAAAACTAAACCGAGACACGAACAGGACTAAACCAGGACTAAACCAGGACTAAACCAAAACTCAACCAGGAAACAAACAGGACTAAACCAGGACTGAACCAGGACTAATCCAGGACTAAACCAGGAAACAAACAGGACCAAACCAGGACTGAACCAGGACCAAGACAAAACCAGAACTAAACCAAAAATAACCCAAAATATAAACAGGACTACACCAGGATTATACCAGGACTCTACCAAGACTCAACTGGAACTATGCAAGAACTAAACCAGGAAGACTATACCAAGACTAAACCAGGACTGTAAATAAGTTTAACTGACTGAATGACTAACCCAGGTCTAAAACAACTAACACAGGACTGAACCAAGATTAAACCAGGACTGTACTAAAACTAAACTAAATAGGCCTAAGTGACTGAATGACTAAACCAGGTCTAAAAACAACTAATACAGGACTGAACTATGATTAAACCAGGCCTAAAACAAAACTCAACCAGGAATCAAACAGAACTAAACCAGAAAGACTACACCAGGACTAAACCAGGACTGTACCAAAACTAAACAAGCTTAAATGATGGAACCAGGACTGGGGACTAAACCAGCTCTAAAAAACTATAAACACAGGACTCGACTAAGACTAAACCAGGACTAAACAAGGAAAGTAAAAGTAGGTCATTAAAGCTACCATCTGTAATTAGATTGGCTGACCCGCCCCTGTTACATTCTCATATAACACTAGATGCTGTCAATACTACTGCTGTAAAGTGATGCAATTTATGTTATTGGCACAAAATGGCTGCCACATCTTTGTCCGTCTGCCTCAAGAGGGCCGAGTGAGTCTAATTCATCATTCATATATAAATGTCTTACCTGTTTGTCCATTTTGAGCAGCAGCGAAGAGAGCGGAGATTCTGAGGTTTTCGATGGAATCCCGATCGCCGAAGAGTGGAGCGTTGTGATTGGATGAGGAGAGGTAGCGGCCGGGTTCACAGTCCAAGGGTGCGATATGATTGGTGGAGAGGACGTTATGGTCACGTTCACAGTCTGAGAGCGCACTCTGATCGGAGGAACGGAGGTTGCGGGCGGGTTCACAGCCCAAGGGAGCGCTGTGATTGGCGGAGAGTGCATTGTGGGCGGGTTCACAGTCTACGAGAGCGTTATGATTGGAGGAGAAGATGCAGTGGGTAGGTTCAGTGTCTAAGGGATCACTGTGATTGGAGGAGAGGCGATTGTGGGTGTGTTCACAGTCTGAGGGAGCACTGCGATTGGATGATAGCAGGTTGTGGGCGGATTCATAGTCCAGGGGAGTACGGTGATTGGCGCAGACAACAGGGACGGCAGGCTCACAGTCCGAACGAACACTGTGATTAGCCGAGAGTACGTTGTGGGCGGAACCACAGGCCAAAGGAGCACTGTGATTGGCTGAGAGCACATTGCGGGTGGGATCACAGTCCAGGAGAGTGTTCTGATTGGTGGAGGGGAGATTTTGGGCGGGATCACAGTCAGAGGGTTGTAGTTTTTGTAGTTTTTGTCGTGGGTTGAGCAGCATTGACATTGACATTAAAGTGGCGTGTTCCTGGAGAGCAGCAGGGAGCTTTAGCAGGTCTGAGTCCAGGGCTCCGGACCAGGCTCCCCCCGACCCGGGCGCTAAGGGGGGGCAGCAGCCTGAAGGAGGGAAGGGAGACACTACACGGTTAGCACTACAGGAAGAAGAACAAGAAACTACAGGGTTACAACCAGAGAGACAGAGTAAAACACTTCCAGATGGACAGCTATGCCGTAAGTGTTTGAATAATTAATCTAGTCACGTTATTAGTTACCATATGGCTGGTTTGCTTTCTTCGTGCATTTCATAGCTTTTTGGAGCAGGGTTCACCACTTTCTTGTCTCCATGGATATCTTATACTGTGGAACATTCTAGGCCAGTGATTCCCAAGTGCTCATGATACTAAAATTTCTATTTCGATTTTGATACTAAGGAGCAGACTCAATACTCAAAACCAATCATTTAAAACACTTTATTTAGACAATAAAATGAGATTTTCAACATTAAATCACAGCACTTACTTTTATATTATATTATTTTTATATCTGTGTAATCCCTCAGTCATCTAGTTAGTAGGAGTGTGCAAAAATATCAAAATATCGATATATCATATTGTTTAATACACTATCAATATTGGGGACTGCTGTATCGATATATCGCCAAGAGTATTTTTTGGTATATTTTACTAAATTATTTTTGTTACAGTGCTACACTTTTGTTGCTTGTTCAGTGGAAGGGAACTCTTTTATGCAACACATTTGACATTTTCACTGTTTTGAGGATTAAAATGGGCGTGTTTCTTATGAACATTGCACAAGAAGTGGTTTAACAAAGACTTTTAGTATCACAGCCGTGATTTGGCCATTATTTTTTAATGAACCATACTTAATCGATTTGAAATATATCATATTGTAAGTGCACTGTATTGAGATATGTATTGTATCGTGGCCTATGTATCAAGGTATGTATCGTATCGACAACTTTTTAATTATGCCTAACCCTACTAGTTAGGTTCTCTTGTACTTGTTCTGATACAGTTCAAGATCATTCTAAAACTATTCACAAATGTTCATTTCTGTCCTCTTAATGTATCGATACCTGCTTAAACAAGTATCTAGTTTCAATACTAGTTTTAGTATCGATACTTTTGACAACCATAATAGTTACAACATATTTGATAATATTAAAGTGTGCACACATCACATTTTCAGGCACGGTGGGAGATCCAAAATCATTATAATTCTTATAAATTAAAGATGAGATGACAATTTTCTTTCCAAAATTCTCCATGTAACCCCAGGTCCTCATGCTACTCCTGTGGGTAAAAATACCAGAGTTTGGGAACCACTGTTCAAGGCCATACAAAGTAATCTCCATGGAGACCGGCACAGTGCACCAGTGTATATTGTGTTCTATTGCATCTCACTGGTTAGAACTATCAGCTTTAAGATTGACAGAAGAGGGATTATGTTAAATTGGAAAATAAGAGGTTGGAGGTGGAAATGGTTAAAAGTGCTGCAAAAAAAAAAAAAAAAAAAGGAGAGAGAGAGAAAAGACATTTAAGTTCATGCACTTGTCAAATTAATTAAATAAAAACATAACCCCCCCAAGAAATTGACAATTTGGAAGCACCCATTAAAGAAACAAATCTGTACTATTTCTTTTAAAGGTACACACATGTTTTTCAGGTGTTGTTGAATAATAAAAACCTGTAATTAAATAAATGCTGGATAGATATTGGTGGTTTTCAGATTATAGAATGTGATGATGTCAAACTCCCAGATGGGGCAAGAGACAGTTTCCCTATTGATTACACTGTACATGGCCGTAAAATATTCACAAATGTTGAACCTGATCATTTCTAGTAGTGACAAAACCCAAGAACTCAAAAAACAAACAAACAAACAAAAAAACAGCAGTTTAACCATACAAATTTTAACTGTCCCCATCTGTATTAAATAATATTAACCAATAGAATTTTGTGGTGTCATCTGAAACCCAACAATATCACAAGACGCATCCATAGAAATGAATTGTAAGAAAACCAAATGAAGCATGCGGAGGTGGTTAATGGAAGCAGGAAGTACAGCTGAGACTGGCTGATGTTGAAGGGAGGGAGCAGCCTCTGGCATCAGCTTCAGAGTTAAACCAGTGGAAAAAAAAAGGCCCCTAAATCAATAAGACAGAGATATAATAAGCTATGATAAATGAGGGAAGGGTTTAAATAGGACACTCGTTTGAGAAGAGCACTGCAGGAAAAACCAGGAAGAAACAAAAACAGGAGGGAACATAGTCGAAATTTACAAAAGGAGGGATAGAAAAGCCTACACTCTTAAAATTAAGTCTATGATGATCATTTTTTATGTTGACCTTATTGTTGTTGTTGTTTCGTATTTTAATTTTAACACACCATCCTCATTCTGTAAAGTACTTTGAATTACAAATGGTCTCTGTCTACACATTAATTTGTTTTGCCAAAGTCCATTTTGTTGTACACTACTTGTACAAGGATAATGAGATTAGAGTTCAGTCTAATCTAATGTAGTCTCCCTCGACTTCATCTGATGTACGCAATTTTGTGGTACAACTCGTAAAATGACAAAGCACAAAATAATATGAAATCTCATGGTTTTGTTCATATTCTAGAATCTGATGTCATAATTTCAGATGGAGTTATACAGGGGCCTATATATCTCTATGGCAGATTCACTGTTTTTGAAAGAAATTTCCGAAATAAAAATCCACAAATGTTGAACGTTTTTATTATTTGTTTGGGATCGGCTCCACAAACTTGTTATATTAATCTAATGGCCTAAAGTCTTTTCAACTGACAGCACTCACGCCTCTAAGGCTGAATAATGGCACCACTATTGTGAAAAAATAATGTCACTTTATTTGTAAAGACGTTGAACTTTGTGCCAGTTTTTGTTTCATGTGGATAGGCCCAGTAATTGCAGAGATATGAACCATAAACTAGGTCAACAAGTTAAACGGCCAACTCCACCATAGACTACTGACCTGTCCTCCTGCTTAATTTTTAAACTATAAGGGATTCAAGAATGTTGTATTCATGTACGGAGCCAAAAATAACACTCCTCAACAAGTAGCACTATCCTCCCCAAACAAAAACATAGCATTATATACATTTTAGTAATATTTAGGTTTGGAGGAGAAAGGACAGGTGTGTGAGGTGGGCGGGGCCTGCAGGTGCGGTGGGAGGGGCCCAGTTTACCTGATGCTGCTGCCAGGAGGCTAACGCAGTCGGGGGAGGATGGAGGGGGAGGGGCACATGCTGCGGCAGCCGTCTTGGTCTGTCCAGGCGATCACATGACAGTCACATGACACGGTTAATCGCACACGACACAATGGGACACAAACATATGCAGCAGTGGAACAGTGAGGCTACTGGTAGAGATTAAAAGGTTTTACACAGAAATTTGGGGGCTTGGGGCAGGAAGCTTCATATGGGCCCCCACTTTAATATAAATTAATAGGAAGTGGGTCCAGTTCTGGGGCCCTAAAAACCTGAGGCCAGGGACAACAGACCCTTTTGTCCCCCTCTGTCTACTGCTCTGCTTGGAAATAAACTACCAGTCAAAAGTTTGGACATACCCTCTCATTCAATGTTTTTTTTCCTCTATGCTTACTATTCAGATCAGATATGAAGTAAGATGTATGGAATAATGTAGCAAAGAAAAAAAGTTAAATAACTAACCATTTTTTAAAATATATTTTAGAACCAAATCCTCAAATTACCCCGCTTTTACTTTGTCGAAAAATATATTTTCCCAGATTTATTTGCTGTCTTCCGTTTGGTTATTTGGGATTAGAATTTGGTTATTAGTTATTTAACTTTTTTCCTTTCTTTGCTACATAATTCCATCTTACTTCTACTACATATGTTTGATGTCTTCTGGATGTATATCAAATGTAGAATGTAGAAAGTAGTAAACAATTAGAAAAAAAAAAACATTGAACGAGAGGGTGTGTCCAGACTTTGCACATTTGTGGTCGTGGGGTCTCTTTATACAGATGTTATGTTCACAGTATGGCATTAAAGTCCCTGTAATTTTTTTTTCATGTATTTCAGCAAAATTAGTCTTGCCCCACTACAGATATAATGTAAAAGAAGCTCTTGAGGTCAAAATAAGTTCACTGTGTACTGTCCATGTCTAATTATAAAGTGTCTTCTTGCCCTATAATCAGTAGTGGTTGCTTTAGCTTTAGCGTCACACCAAAGTTAAAGCTGTGATTAATTAAGATGCTTCAAATGCATTGGCTAACCATTTAAAACAGTATATCACTGGGCAGAACTACGGACAATTTAACAGACAAAAAGTGATTCTTTGCTTTGTTTGCCCACATTTTTGGAGCTTTTTTTAAAATGAGCTCAAATTAGCTTTAAGTATATTCTCTGTTGCTGCTGTGACTGTGATAACTTGTTAGCAAACTAAATAAAGGGGGATAAAGGACACTTCAAATGACCCCAAAACAATTAATATCCTAACACAGGGACTCAGGGACAGAAAATTTTAACGAGAGAAAGGTTCAGTTCAACTATGTCTGATCCAGTGGTGGAAGGTAACGAAGTACAAAAGTAAAAGTACAATACTTAAGGACAAATTTTAGGTATCTTACTTTTTACTTTTACTTCTGAGAACGTGTATCTGTACTTCCTACTCCACTGCATATTAGATTTGGACTGAAAAGTAAAAAGTATTTCTTTATGGTTTCAGATCTGCTGAAATGGCAGAGACTATATTCTTTTTGCACATTTAATTTTAGTTAACATCCCAACTTTGAGCAAACCAAATACACAAAGTTACTTGAAAAATTAAGAAGTCAGATGAATCACTTAAAATCAGCTAAATTCTCTTTCAAAATTTCATCCTTAAACTGTTCTAAAAATCTCTGCAAAATACTTTTATTTTTTACTCTTAAAGTACATTTTTAAACAGGTACTGTACTGTACTTTTTCTTAAGAAGATTTTTCAGGTGATGCTTACACTTTAATTTGAGTAATATTTTGCCATTGTATTAGTATTTTTAGTTAAGTAGCAAAATTGAGTACTTCATCCACCATGGTCTGATCCCAATGTCTGTATCAGTGACCATGCTGTAGGAGTCCACAGTGTCCCTGTTGTTTAGTTAACTGTTCACTGGCTTTCTACAACTGTTTACTTGATTTTCTTGTTTTAAGTATCAGTTACAAACAAAATCTTTTGCTGTAGACTTTTATATTTGTTATTTGTTACTGACCTTGAAGAATTTTATTTTTTTTGCATCAGTATTTATGTTTACATTTTCTTTGCGCTACTGGGAAATTTGTGGTTGTTTTTTGGCCATATGATTAAATTTGAGCTGTAGACGGTTGAATAAATAACTTCTCTAACTTGCAAACAGATGCAAACTAATTACAAAAGTGTTTGATTCTGCTGTTTACAATATTGTACATTTAGAATATTTTTGTGCTTTAAATCTGTGCTTGGGTTTTAGTGTCAATGGTGTAGTTTTAGTATCATTGTTTATTGTCTATATTTACTTATATATGCTATATATCGTACTTCAAAATGCGTTATTGTGACAGGCCTAACTCTAGCAGCTTCTTTCACGTTTTAGATGGGTTTTGAACTTTTACAGAAGAAAACTACTCCAGACTTCTCTACCAGAAACATTACTATTCCACATCTAACTATATTTAAATGACTCATGCATGACATATTAAATACACAGACTTGAGTTCACCACCGCATTCACATACAGTAGCTCCTTCTACCTGAGAGGCGGCCAGCGGAGGTACCAGGTCCAGCGCCGGTTTGGGGGGCAGTTGTGGTGTGATCTTTAGTCCCCCCCTGCCCCCCTCCCCCGCCTTCACGGAGGGGGCGGGGGTCTGCGACAGGCCCGGCTTTTTGGGCGGGATGGGTGGCGGGTTCCCTCGGTCAATGCGGGCGACGGTGGGGGACTTCATGCCGATCGGGTGGCTCAGTCGCCCCGGAAACGGCCCGCTCTCCGAGGCCGAGTGGGGAAGGCCCGGTCGCAGCGGCGTGGAGCTCGGGGGACTCGTGAACCGCGATAAAACCTACAAAAAAAAGTAAAAAAAGGTCATAAATAAATAAATATACCGAAAAAAAAAAAGAATGAACAAATAATACTGTTTGCTGAATATTTTTTAAAGCTTGTTTAGATCTTGCATCAAACTACATTTCAGAGCCCCCTGCCCTTAGATCCTCAGGTCCCAAAGTCGAAGCTTTACTACTGACTTGCCTGAGGAGATAACGGTTGCATCAGTATCATCTTTTGAATCACTTCTTCAAACTCACTTATTATTGTTTAATATGCATTTTGAGAACTTTTTCCAAGTCAAAATATGTACTATACTATACTTTATATGTGCTGTTTTAAATTGTTAAACACTATGGCTACTGTCCTAATTTTTTTCCTATTTTTTATCATTCTGAAACCCATAGATAGTCACAAATGTGCATGGTGTAAATTTTCGATCTGAGGTCTGCCAGCTGCTTTTCTCCAGAGGTGTTTTTGCTTCGTGAAGAAAGTTAAAGTTACAGGTCAGATATGTGGAGAAGCAAATCCACTCACAATTTTAGTAATAAAAACACAGAACATTCCAGGCAAAGCAATAATCTCCATGGAAACAAGCTGATCTGACTTGTAATTTGGCCTGGTGGTGACATCTGCTTGTCTCCACGTCTCCAACATTTCAGGCAAAGCAAAAACATCTCTATGGAGACAAGCAGGTGGCACAACTCCACCAGAAAAGTTACTTAGGTTACGTTCAGACTGCAGTCTCAAGTAACCCAGTTTTTTTTTGCCCCTGTAAGACCTGTATCTGACAGTCTGAACGATACAGATCAGATTTTTTCAAATGTGACCCAGGCCACTTGGATATGTGCTCCTAAAACCGATACATATCCTTTCCTTTGACATGCGACTTCAGTCTGAACAGCCAGGTCGCACATTCATCCCACCTACACGTCAGGCTCGGAGTCTAGTCAATGGATGAAAAGTGAGGTTACCGAGTTTATTAATATTTGGGGGGATCATTGTATCCAGGCCAAATTGGAGGGGTCTTATTGGAACTGGGCGGTTTTTGAAATGATTGTCAAAGAAATGGCTGAGCGCGGCTATAGGCGGTCCTGGCTCCAATGTCAACAAAAAATAAAGAGCCTGCGAGCCAAACAAAAGGAGGCTCAAACAAACGAAACAGCCGTGTACGTGTAACCTGTCCATTTTACGAGAAACTGGACTGTATTTTAGGAGACAAGCCCAGTGTTTTGGTGACTTCTTGAGCACGCTTGATGTGTGTGACGCTGTCGTGTCCTCCAATGCGTATTTTGGGGTGTTTAAAGTTCACACTAGAGATCACAATCAAGTCGCATTTAATTGGAAATGTGAACGACCTCGCAAAAATTGTATTTCACAAAAAAATCCGAATTGAGCATTAAGCCCTGCAGTCTGAACGTAACCATAGTGTTTGCCTGGCAGAATGATATTGTTCTGTATGCTGATGACATCCTCTGTTGTGTCTGGAGCCTGGCCAAACATGATCGTCCAATCAGTTAAACTTTTTTCAGTGATGCATGTGAAATGAAGGAGCTCCTTGGTCACACATCATTTACAAATAATTATTTCAGCTCAGATGAATAGAGTTTAGTGCTTCACTCAATGATTTTGCAGAAATCCACCATGTTTTTCAGTCCCCTATGACATTTTTTTCAGAAATGCACGGACCATGCATGTTCCAGGGTAATCAACCTGTCAGTCATGCCCATTTGAAAAGTTGGAGATTCACCAGTGACCTGACTCACATCATCGAATCTTCGAGTATTGAAGAAGTGTGTATTTTGGAGCCCAGGACAAACATAGTATCGCTTAATAAATAAAAAATGAATCTCTGTCAGACTCACCTGTGTGACCGTGTGCCTGGCCTGCTGTTTGGCTGCGAAGTTGGTGTCTCTGTTGGTTGGGGAGAGGTCTCTGGCGGGAGGACTGCTCTGAGACCCGTTCTGATTTTGGTCCTGCTCCTGGAACTTGTACCTGGCGGCCTGGACTCGAGGGCTGACTCCAGTCGGTATTCCACTTGCGTGCTGCGCCGACTCTGATCCGTTTTCCGAACTCAGCGCCCGGGTTTTCGGTAAACTCAGCCCCACGTAATTCGCTGGACTTGGCTTCACAGGGATGCTCAGAGGGCCCTTTTTCGGCGCCTCGACCTCGCTGTCCGTTTGGCACGATATTGTTCTGGATGGTACCGGATCTGTCGCTACGGAAACCGAAGCAGTTTCAACTTTACTAATTTCCATTTTGCTAGAGGGCTCGTTAGCTTTAGCCTCTTTGCTATCGCTCTGACCAGTCCTGAGTGTTTCGATTTGTTGTCGCAAGTTTTGGTTCTCTGTCTCTTCTCGGCTTAGCTTGGCGCGTAGCTGTTCCCGCTCCGTGTCGAATTCAGACAGCTGTTTCTCCATCGTAGCCTCCATTTGTTGAGATTTTTGCTTCTCGTTTTCCAGCTCCTCCTGTAGTCGCCCGGAGCCACGCGTTTCCTCGTCGTATCTCGTCTGTAGTTCGTCGAATCGTTGCGACTCCTCTACGACGCGCGTGGCTAGCTGCTTGCACTCGCGCACTAGCATCATGACGATATGCTTGTTCTTGTCGCGCTCGTCCTTTAGCTGCGCCGTTAGCTTACGGTGCTCCTGCTCCAGGCTCTGCAACTGAAGCTTCTCCATCTCCAACTGTAAAAGGACAAACAATGAAAGAGGTCAGAAGGGATGCAAAAGATGTTCCTGGATTACATGGATACTATAAAAACACTTTTTTTTCAGGTGTTTAGAATGAAAATATAAAATACGTAGACCAGAATTTACATTGTTCATTGTGAAAAATCCCGCACACTGTCTTACATGCAAAATGTGAGATTTATTATTTAGAAATTTATTTGTTTTGGGTACACTGTTCCTTCACGACCTGTTCCCCTTGGGTGCTTACCACACCCTATTTAAGATGGCCACCTGAGCTCTCACTCTGTACATGCATTACGAATTTCGGACTTCCAGTCATTGCGCAATTCATACTGGGAAGGATTTTCTGAAAAAGTGAGCCTCAAACCGTCATGTTTGTTTTCCCAGTGGGATGCGTCTATTGACAAAGCCGATCTTTTCAAGTCTTTTGAACCATATCGCTTTTGTTTCTGGTTCTAATATCATCATATTTTAGTTTTGGGATTCAGACATTGTAAGTGTGTGATTGTTGGATGTCTTAACAGAAAATGGCTCGAGAAATGGGCTTTGGAAGTTTGCCGAACTCCATAAATGCAAAAGGGAATCAGATCTGAGTGACTGCAAACCTCCATTCAAACTGTTTCCCTTCCCAACAGAATTGAAAAATAGTGAAAGGCGAAGGCGATGGGCAGTATTGATCCACAGGAAATACGAAAAAGGAAACCTTTCACTGCCTAAATCATCCTGAGTTTGCAGCGAACATTTTGTATGTGCAGCGCAAATTTCTCGAGCCGTTTTCCACTGTTAGAACATCCAACAACCACACATATAACGATGTCCGAATCCCAAAACTTAAATATGATGATATCAGAACCAGAAACAAAAGCAATATGGTTCAAAAGACTAGAAAAGACTGGCTTTGTCAATAGACGCATTCCACTGGGAAAACAAACACGGCGGTTTGATGCTCACTTTTTCAGAAAATCTTTCCCAGTATGCATTCTGCGCAATGACCGGAAGTCCAAAATTCATGATGCACAAGAGGTGGTTTAACAAAGACTTTTAGTACCACAGCTATCATTTAGCCTTTATTGTTATTGAACCATATAAAATCGATTTTAAATATATCATATCGAATCAAAAGTGCACTGTATCGAGATATAGTGGCCTATCTGTTGGGGTACGTATCATCTCGGCAACTTCTTAATGATACCCAGTCCTACCAACCAATGAGAAATATTTCAGTAGATAAATAAATAAAAAAAATAATTATAATGGATCAGTTTTACACAGCGTTATTTGAACATTCAAAGACTTTAAGGCTTTAAGGCAAAGGCTTTACAGAGCATTATTTATTCACTCCACACTCAGTAAAAAGTAGTGTAACAATTCATACACACAAGTATAAATGCTTTCAGTTGGGTTGAAGCCACAAAATATATGGCTTACATGTGGACCCATTTCATGACAGAGAAAAGGATATGGTTCAACACTTATGGATTTTCTTTCTTGTAATTTCATTCAAAAACAGGCAACCACCCATAGAGTTACATAGGCCCCTGCTCTGTGTCTAAAATAAGACATCTTTCAGGTTCAAAACAGTAGGCTGAAAAAGTTTAAAGTTCATTTTGAGCAAACTTCAGGGTGTACCATCACTCACGCAGCAGGGCTCATGTCTCAGTTGGAAAAGTCATTAAAGCTGATGACAGCATTATACAGAACTGCATGTTACCAGTCTGAGCTGTTTAGCCACTGATACAACTGTTCACTGTGTACTGTGGCGTTTCGGGCTTGAATTCTAAAAGAAGGAGTTTTTTACTTTAACTACTAACACATAACATATTTAGATCACCATGGTACCTTTTATTGTTTTGAAAACGATATTGTCACGGTTTTGTCCAAAATAAATGTAAAGAAATGATGGCTCAGTCGAAAAAACTTAACTGAAAACAACGCATTTATATGTTTAACAAGCTTATGAGGAGTCCAGCCCGTTCCCCGGTTATGTGTGTGCCAACTTGTGTGATGACTGAGTGAATATTTTAGGCTGCAGATGGTTCAAAAATTGCCAAAATTGCCTATCCTTTATAACGGCGTGACCTTTCAATTGACCTGTGTGACCTCAAATGACCAAACTTTTTTTTTTGTGGCATCAGGCACAGGGGCTTGACTCACGTACCAAATTTGGTGACAATCGGTCCATAAACGATGGAATTACCGCAGGTGGACAGACACAGAGACACACACACACAGACACACAGGGTGAATACAAAACCTGGTCAACCCTTCGGGGACCAGGTAATAAGTTTTGTTTCATTTGTGAGTCATCCATCCCAATGTTTCCTATGCTAAGTCATTCCCCCTTCAAAGCACTATCACAACACAATCTGTGTGCAACCTACTAATGAAACGAATGCATCATATCAGATAGGGATGTAACAATAACCGAAATATTGTGATATTGTATTGTCAAAGTTCTGACAATAATATCATGGACAATCACAATATATCAAATCACAAGACTCTTTGCTTAAATTAAGAGTTATGGTGCAGCAATAGCTAAAAATAAAACAGAGGGAACTACATAGACCAGGGGTGTCAAACTCATTTTGGTCCGGGGGCCGTATCCAATCTACTTTGATCCCAAAGGGGCCGGATCAGAAAACTCATGGCATATATACCGCAAAAATAGAACAAATAAGTTCAAATATTTGTGCAGAGAAAAGCAAATCTATTACAGAATTCTTTTTTAATTGATGAACTCTTTCTTTTACAAAATATTATAATATTATAATATTATGAACAACCTGAAACTTTAAGAAAAATGCTATTTCCACATGTATGTAAATAGAAATAAGTCAGTTTTTCTTGGAAAATCCTGCACTCGGCTCCACTTTTCTCATTTTTGACATTTTGCTGATGAGGGTGTCACGGTCAACAGTCAAAACAACCTTTAGGAGCGTTTAGAAAGAGGCAAGTCTTCATTTGTGCTGCTCTGGTGGGAGGGGCCACGCACAGACGCGCTGGAGATGCTGCTATGCTAAGCGGTGCAGAAAATTACCAATGTTTTAATAGAAAATATAATTAAAATATTTTAGTAGAAAATCAGCAGAGAGCCAGATTAAAGGTCTTGCTGTATGTTTGACACCCCTGACATAGACCATGATCTTTTGCTCCATTTCAGTGTAGACTACATGAAGAAATAACAGTTCTAAGCACTTTTAAGTCTCAGTTGTTTAGATTAAGTCTTGTCAAGGCATTTTAAGAAGAAAAAGTAGCATATTAACAGTTCTGTTAGCCTCCACAAAATATCGCAATAAATATCATACTGTGAGGTTCATACGAGACGATATCGTATCGTGAGACTTGGATATCGTTACAGCCCTAATATCAAGTTTGTGAAGTTATAGTTTATTGTTTGTGTCATACTTATGTATATTTACGAAAAACTGGCATTAGAAAACTCAAGAAATAATAGAAAATGGATTTAAACAAGACATTTTCAGGATCAGTACAAGCATTCATGGTCCTGTTTTAGGTTTTAGGTAACAAAAAGGTGAGACAGAGCAATGACTACAGTTAGCATCGCTGTAAGCATCAGCTGCAATGATGACATAAGCTGAAAAGTATCAATTGTCTAAAGAAAGTGTTTTTAAAATTATTATTCTTATTGTCTTATCCAAATCGGTAGTGAGTCTATTCCTTAGTATGAAAATCATGTTTGAAATGTAAGTATCATGACAACACTACAAATGACTCTAGTGTAAACTGGTGAATGCATTTTACCATAACACACTTAAATACTGCGCTACAAGTTTGTTTGCCTTATTTTTACAACCGGGAACTTTAGCTCGGCTGTGAAGTGCCTTGCTAAATATTTGCTGAGTCGTGGGGAGGAAGTGGGGTCATTCTATTTAAAACTCTGTAACTGCAGCTTCACTGGTCGAGCTTCGGGCTAAAATTAACCCAACAACACTGGAAGATCGAGAGAGACCAACCCATACCCCTAAAAACAACTGTTAAAGGTTTGGGCAAATATTGTGAATAGTTTTGCATATTTTCAGTGAAGATTTAAAATGCACTGCATAACTTCTCTTCCTGGAATGTTATGTTATGTTATGTTATAGTATGACATTATCTGTTTCCATGGACACAGGCCAAATTACAGTTTAGATCCATGTTGGTGCGAGCTTACAGTAAGAATGCATGTTTTTTATATGGCAGATCATTTTAATGCCATAGCCTGGAACATTTTGGCTCAACGTTAGAAGAGCAAGAAAGACCAAGCAATACTAATAAAAACAACTTTCAAAGGTTTGGGCAAATATTGTAAATATTTTAGCAATATTTTCAGTGAATATTAAAGGTGCACTGCGTAACTTTTCCGATTGAGTCTCTGCCTGTATGTTATGTTATGATATAGTATGGCATTATCTGTTTCCATGGAGACAAGTCAAGTTACAGTTTAGAGATGTGTTAGTGTGAGCTCGCAGTAATTTTATTAATTTATTTATTATTTTTTTCATCTTTTTTTTTCAGATCATTTTAATGCCATAGCGAGGAACATTTCAAAAATTTCCTAAAAACACTGGAAGATCAAGAGAGACCAAGCGATACTACTAAGAACAACTGTTAAAGGTTTGAGAAATATTGTGAATAGTTTTAGTTTATAGTTTTCTATAACAGAAGAAATTCTACAGATAATTTAAAGGTTCTGTATTACGCAAAATGAATTCTTGTGAGCATTTAGTCTTGTTGTAATGTTGTTACGTCATCAAAAACATGCCTGGAGTTGTGCTTTGTTTCATTCCCACATGTTTGAGTAACCCTTTATTATTAGTCTGTCTCAATAGCTCGAAATGCTCTGTTCCACCTTGTGATGTCATGAAGCTGTATTTTTCAAGTTATTTTTTACCTTTTGTTCAGCAGAGAGTGGCAATTCCAGGGTTGAAATTATCCAAATAATTCTACTGAAGGTGTATGGAGTTTAAAAACACGGCCGTGCACTTCCTGTG